CCTCCTCCGTTCCTCCCTGTCGGCTGAATGCGCACGTGCGGCAAGAGCTGCGCGCGCATTCAACCGGTCGCATAGGAAAGCATTTACAAGCATTGAGAATCACGCAAGCGCCTCTAGCGGCTGTCAATGAGACAGCCGCTAGAGGCTTTGGGGGAAGGCTTAACCCATTTATAAACATAGCAGTTTCTCTGAAACTGCTATGTTTATAAAAAAATGGGTTAACCCTAGCTGGACCTGGCACCCAGACCACTTCATTAAGCTGAAGTGGTCTGGGTGCCTAGAGTGGTCTTTTAATGAATGAGATAGCTGAAGTTTGGTGCTGGTTGATAATGTAATATCCTTTTAATATATTACCAGGCAATGTATTCCTTACAGATTGCAACATATTCCTGTGACCTTTCACTGTTGTCAGATAAGGTGGCTATTTGGGCAATTAACCCCCCTATCTGTTTATGACTGCTACATTTCATTATTTACAAATTACTACTAGAAAAGTTCCCAAAGATAAGGGCGTACGGAGAGAAGATCCAACGTCTATCTCTCACAATACGCTCAACTGAGGGTATGCCCACTAAAAGGGTCTATAACATCCCCTGGTTAACAGAGGTAAATATAGATAAAAAATAGAAAATAAAAAATACTTTATTGAAAAATGAAATTAGATAAAATACAAGGGGTCCGGGATGGGGGGATGGCTCATCGTGCCGTGAGGTTGTAATGGTACTACTTTTGAAAAAGGTGCCACACAGCGCCGAAACGCGCGTCAAAGTTTTCTAGAATCTTAGCTTAGCCAGTTGTATCTTTTACGTCTTATTACCTATTAAGTTAGATTTAGATCTAGGCGGATTCCTTTCCTATCACCTCGAGCTAGAAGCTCAGTATAGCGGATTCATTTAGAATCTTTAGCCTAGCCAGGAGCTAGAAGCTCAGCATAGTGAATTCATTTAGAACTTTCAGCCTAGCAAGTTTTACTTTTTATTCTCATTTATTAAGTCTGATTTAGATCTAGGCAGTTTTTCTTTTTCTTTTTCACTACATCGAGTTGTAAGCTCAGTATAACGACCGATAAGCCTAGTCCAGTCAACCACTTCTCATTTTGTTGTCTGACTTTAGATCTAGGCGTACACTTCGAGTGAGCAGCTCAATTTACTTCTTATATTTGTTACTTATATGGTCACTATTTTGTATTATTCTGGTATTTTTTGATTTGGGCAGCAGGGGGCTGGGCATTTGGGGGATGATGTGCCTGTCGGCTGGGAGCCGCTTTTTTTCTACCTAGGAGGCAGGGGCAGACTTTGGAGCTATACTCTGTGCTTAATTAGCTCCATCCAGTGCAACATTGTACACTTTTTCCCTGAAGCAACAGCCTCAGGGTACATAGAACAATGTTTAAAAACTTGATAACATCTTGTTACAAGTCAGTAATATATTTTTAATATCGTTATCTGATCTGTACTTGCAAACAGTCCTTTATTTTCTGAACTGTGGGGCTGACTTTTATACAGAGGAATTGAGGTATCTGGGTATCACTACATAGAAGAGGAACTTCTTTTGATTTTACCTCTCTTTACTCAGAATCATATATATTTTAGATTCCAGTTTACCTCACTGTTATTAGTCAGCAGTTTTTCCCGCTTGATTTTTTTACCATCTAACAAACAAGTTTATAGCTCGTCACATACTCCAGGGAATCACACCCTATCTACTGGGTGCTATCCCCATAATAGGAGTCTGATCACATTTTGTGTAGATAACTGCTGTTTACCAAGGAGCTCCCTGAAATGTATCATATCACGGATACTTTAGTATGACTTGTTGCTTTGAACATACAAGCTCCTTGTTATTTATTGGCTTTTAGTATCACCTTAGAGTGAGTCATATTTGCCTGGCTGCCTCCCCCTTGTACCATTACAACCTCACGGCACGATGAGCCATCCCCCCATCCCGGACCCCTTGTATTTTATCTAATTTCATTTTTCAATAAAGTATTTTTTATTTTCTATTTTTTATCTATATTTACCTCTGTTAACCAGGGGATGTTATAGACCCTTTTAGTGGGCATACCCTCAGTTGAGCGTATTGTGAGAGATAGACGTTGGATCTTCTCTCCATACGCCCTTATCTTTGGGAACTTTTCTAGTAGTGGTTTTGTTTGGGTTATCCCCTTCTATGTTGCCCACTTAGTCCTTCTTTGACTCCAGGAGTGGATTGTCCCCAGTCCTGTAGTCATTGTCCTCTTTATTTATTATTTACAAATTACATTACATTATTTACAAGTAACCATTGAAGATCTGTGTCTGCTAAGCAGCACAGTCCCTGCACCTCCAGAGGGCCAATTCTGCCTATGAGGGTTATTTTCTGATAATTTCTGTCTGGCCTGATCATGGGACAATAGGTGGGAAATATTAAAAACGGGACAAGAACTAAGCCTTACATTGAATTAAAATATGAAGGGCAAGGCCTGACCTGCAAGCTGAACAGTCGCATGGTGAAGGGGTTTCCCACTGCTCATGCTGATTATAGGGAAATACTCACGGACTCAGAACTTACAAAGATGCCAGGGTACGCTACCCAAGTTAGGGGCTCCCTGGTGAATCGCCTGATACCAGACACGAGTGTATCCCGCAATCACGAACCCGAGGTGGCATGCTGTGGCCTGCGGTGGATGGAGCTGGGGGGAGGTGGCCGCTCTTCTCGCTCCTACGCCGGGGGTACAGAGCCACTGGCTGCCCGGTCCCCCCCCCAGGACCGGTGGGGGTGATCCTGGTCCAATCCCTCAAGACAGCCTGGCTACAACAGACACAGGCAGCAAAGCCACACAAGCAGCCTCTAGCAACAAAGGCTTGCACAATGGCTAACGCCGCGTGCGACTACAGCTGCTGCAAAGTAAAGTTCAACACCCTGACAAGGCTTAATGCCATATTAGATGCCTTCTGGGCGAAATTGGCAAGCAGAGAGCGGCAGATTAAAACACCTGTATACTCACCTAGAGAAAGGCCTGCGCGTCCCTGATACAGCCACGCTGGTCCCCGTCAGAAAGGAGCAGGAAGAGGGCGGCGAAGACGGAGACCTCTACCACCTGTCCGCAAACCAGCACGATTGAACCAAGCAGCGGTGCAAGCTCGAAAGATCCTACAGGTTCTCCCTGGATCCTGCATGAAGCCGAGACCCGCTGTGCAACTGCCGAGAGGTATACTTCCCTCACATCACCGGATCCTGACAACGCCACAGAGATTCCAAGAGTCCCCGACAGGGGCATCATCTCCCTAGAAACACAAACGCTATTCTCCAAAGCATTGGGCGGACAGGCCCGACGCGGGGACTCACGTAGCTGGACTTTGTTTTGCCCAAGCAGGACTTCCATGCATCTCTAACACCTTTTCCTATGCTGGGTATAGGCTAAAGGGGAACTCACATTCTGGGAAAACGCGGCAGAACCCGCTCAGAAGCCGCCTTTGCCACAACGGACGCTATCTAGTCCCTTTTGCAGTCTCCTAAGCCGAGATCTACAAACATCATCGCACCCTTATGTACTCTTCTCTGTTTATTCTTTTTGTTACCTCACTAGCTTAGCCACCAAACAGTGCAATGAAGTATCATTCCCTGTTTAGAAAACCTCAGGGAATGTACTGCCAAAACGATCAGCTACAACAGTTAACATTTACAGAGTTAAGCAAAATGACATAGCTCTCTACACCAGGTGGATTTGACAACCCCATAGTTATAGCTAGAGGAGGACTTTAATACCTACCAAGTAATCTTCAACTTGTACTACTTAAAGCAAAGGCTATCTTAAATCACACAAAAGTATATCCTGTTTCACATCAGTGGTGTTCCCAATTATACGGCTGCTCACAAGCAGTTACTGCTGGCTCACCTGTCTCGCTACCTAGAGCTAAGCATCTTGCTTTCTTTCCTTTTTTCATATTTTCTCCTAAGTATAATCTCTGCCAGAGAATAGATTTCACCTATCTGTCAGATAACTTTGTAAGTTAAGTCTCTAGGCACGGTGTAATGTGTTTTTCATAGTTTCTTGTACTTTAAAAATAGTGTACTATCGACATGTACAGTATACTATCTTATGACAATCTCAAATGTTATCTTCAAACATGTCTTGTCTATTTGTGAAACTGGAAATGCACTACTAAAAATAAAGAATTATATTAAAAAAAAAATCTGAATGGCAAAATGTAGGCTGAAGTAATCAATCGGTAACCTTAGCTGAGTTGTTAAAGAGAACAGCTCTTTTAGTCTAAATTATTTCATTCAAATTGCAATATTATTATCACTTTTAAATTGCCAAAGTATTCAGCAGCGCAAACAAACAAGTAGCTGAAACAAGACAAGTTTAACGTACAGAAACAGAAGATAAAGAAAGTCATGTTGAAACTTATATTATAATGGGAGTGGGGTAAATCACCACAAGACAAATGATGTGGAGTTCAGTGTACAACTGCATACCTCCTAAGTTTGGGACCAAATCTCTCTCTCTTTTTTTTTTTCTATCCTAAAATCATTCTTTTCTCTATATTGTTGGTTTGTCTGACCTGTGTAAACTGTAAAAATAAAGGAAAAATACATGACTGTCTCAGGAAAATCAAGACAGTTAGTAAGTATGAACTATATATATTGAATAGCGCAGCCTCACAACTGTAGACAGCACCGTGTGACTTTTAATGACCATGAGGAGGCCAGCACCCAATAATATGCATTATAATTAGTAAAGTTATTCCACCTGTGACTCAGTTGTAATATTCTATATTCTATCACCTGAGTCAAACCAGACCATAGTGTAAATCCATATATACTGCTATTTCACACAAGGGATGTTGTTAGTGACATTTAAAGGTGACTTCAAAACTCAGAGGGCGTCCCTTTAAGACGGCAACCCCCTCCCCAGCCCCAGGAGAAGGCCGCCTTCTTTGCGTTCCGAGCCTCGCTTGGAGGAGAATCCACGCCCCTAAAAGTGACCTTTCGTTGCCCTTCCACATCTGTCTCTCCAGCTCTATCCGAGCGTTAATTGGCTACGAGACATTGAGGTGATGTGCCACGCCCCGTGTGGGCGGGGCCGGAGTGCAGACACTGTCACATTACAGGTTACGCTGTGGCGTGTAGCTCCGCCCCCATCATGGCTGCTGCTCCTGAGTAGTGCGGGAGCCGGGAGAGAGAGACCCGCTTAGCCCGAGCTGCAGCCGAAGGTGAGAGGGGGCGTGTGTCCGGAGCTAGTGACATGGTGCAACCTTACCTGCACGGGGAATGGCTGGGAGACAGTGTCCAGGGGGCCAGCCAGTACACACTCACTGTGCAGATAAGATACGCCTATAGTCCAACATGTGGGGTCTGTTCATTAAAGCAGGGCGACATGTGCTGTCTGTGCCCCATGTACTAAGGATGTTACATGTACTGACTGTGTTATATGTGCTGTCTGTGCCCCATATAATGAGTGTGCTACATGTGCTGTCTGTGCCCCATGTGCTGTGTGTGCCCCCATGTACTGAATGTGTTACATGTGCTGTGTGTGCCCCCATGTACTGAGCGTGTTACATGTGCTGTGTGTGCCCCCATGTACTGAGCGTGTTACATGTGCTGTGTGTGCCCCCATGTACTGAGCGTGTTACATGTGCTGTGTGTGCCCCCATGTACTGAGCGTGTTACATGTGTTTATATTAGAGTAATTCCTGATCTTACATACCAATTACGGAGTCAATTTGCAGAAGTTGGTTTATGGGTGTGTGTCAGATTCTGCATTTCACTACAACTCTGCACTATGCCCAATGTTTGTGTTGTCTTTAAAAATGAACTTAATTATATACAAATATTGCACTCATAAAAAGTGCAACAAGGTCAGCTCACTGTAGGACATGGCTTACATAATCTACATAAAATAATTACTGTAGCCATGTGACATGAAAACAGTTCTAATAAATCTAGACTTGTATCAAGATAAAATATATTTATGCTGTGCTTTACAGCTACCTAGTTTAAATTGAAACATTGCATGATCTTACATGTACAACTGCACGAACACAGATCACGTGCCTTTGATGCCTGTCGTCTGCATGATTTATATATGCTTCAGTGGGGCAAACGAACATGGGTCCGGAATGGAATGTTCCAAAACATCATGACTTTATATAATAATGAGAAATGTAGAGGTCCGGTATGTATTTTTGAAAAACTATACAATTTATCATTTTTATTTATTTTGTTTCCCTTGGTATACACATTTAGTTTTTATTCTCTCAAAAGCCTTGTTTACTCAGTCTAGGACACCAGAATAAAGATTCCACGATGAAAATAATTGGACTCTGTATTGATATATAGCCACTTGTGATTTCTTCATCTTTGTTTTGCAAGCTGTTTTAAAGTAGTGTCAAATACCCAGAGCATGTGTTGAAATAACATTCCACACACTATCAGTTTTAAGTTGCTTAGTGTTAATATTCTTTTGGACCTACTGCATACACTTTTCAAAAGCTCAACAAGAAAATCAAATTATGTTCATGGCTCATGTTTTTATTAATTATAACTGACCCAGTACTATCTCAGAACCTTCTGTTATATACTCTGATGTTAGAAATATGTTCTTTGAATAAATCCTTTCTCTGATATATGGAACTATAGCTGAATTTGCAAAAACTTTGACAGTGAAATTCAGATTCCTGTGGCGCTGTCTTATATTTGAGGACTGTCCATTACTCGAGTACCTCAACAATGGTCAGAGAGCAAAAACCGTCAAATAGGGAATTGTTATTACAAGCAAATCCATTGCTCTCTTTTCCAGACAGGAGCTAAAATCTATGGCCAGTTTGACTTAAAATATTTTACGCTCTGTCTCTTTGTATATGTTCATTGCAGTTTGTAGTACTCTGCACTTCAAAAAGCTTGGGGGTTTCTCCGATAACATAAAACTATACACATTCCAGCCGTGCATTTTCATGTCTATCAGTCTCATAAACAACAATTAGACTTAATCAGTTAACGTAACCTAGCATAATGACAAACTATTCTTGACTTGTTCAGGAAAATCTGCAAAGGGATTTCCTTTTAGCATTACACAGCACATTTATCCTGCAGGCTTGTACTTCTGCACTGTAACCCATAATAAAACACAGGGGAAATTTTGCTGTGATTTTTATAACACTTATAGAATCCTATTAAAAATATTGATCTCTTCCAAAGGCACTTTGCTAAACCATTAGTTGTTTGAAGATCCACAAACTGTAATATGGCTAGAACTAAAGAATTAATTGTGCAGTGGCTTTAATCTTCAGTCACTGTAACATCAAAATATCTGTTGGGTCACAAACGTGTAAGTGCAGGAAAATCCAATAAATGGATTGATGCTGAATAGTTAACCCCTTTATATATTGATTCAGTGTTAAAGGAGAACGGTCACATCTTTGTATTTTTAATACAGAAGGGTGAGAACTGCAGGAAATTTAAAGTGAATTTCACGTTAAAGGCCAAAGTAACCAAATGAAAAGCATAGCTGTGCATTTGTGCCCCCTTGTCGAGTGACTTTGGAGGAGGTGGAGCTGCGAGGGAAGGGGACAGCAGAGGAAGCTATAATGCCGGCAATACAGCTTTGTATTATTGGCACTATAGTACCCCTTTAAATGTTGAAATACACACATCTTTTTAAAGGAACACTATAGGGTCAGGAACACAAACGTATTCCTAACCCTATAGTGTTTAATCCATTATAAAGGTGGCTTGCCCCCACCCTTAGCTCCCTTAGAAAATGTAAGAACTCACCTTATTTCGAGTGCAGCGCGGGTCTACTGATGCTGGCCCCGTCTCCAATCCACCTCCTTGGTGACATCTGAATTTCCGATTTGTATTTTTATTTATTTATTTATTTATTTTTTGAGCTAATCCATAGGGAAAGCATTGGATTGGCTGAAATCAGCAAAGAGGCAGGATGGGGGTGGGGCTAAACACCAGTTTGGCAAATAAACACCTCCTCATAGAGATGCATTGAATCAATGTATCTCTTTGAGGAAAATTCAGTGGATACACTGAATGGTAATGCTGCTTACAGTACAATACATCTGATGAGTGACCACTTGGAGGTGTCCCTAGAGGTAATGTAAACACTGCCTTTTCATGAAAATGCCTGAAGGCAATGATTATATTCACAGAACAACTACATTAAGCTGTAATTGTTTTGGTGACCATAGTGTCCCTTTAATGCAACTGGGTGCTTCTATCATAGTTTCCCGTTTATCGTTGTTAAATACTCTGTGCTTTGAACCTAGCAGTCAGCATATAGAAAGCATGCAGAGAAGAGGAGAAATTGATGGGTTACGTTAAGCATTGTGTCCACTAAAGTGTTTTGAAATGGTCATGGTGCTCGGAGTCTGTATGTGCAACATTTGTTAGAAACATTGCATATACAGAACTTTTTCGGATTTCTAATTCTGAATCTATGCAGAAGAATTTTATCTGCGCTGGCGATGGATGGCAAATGGTGGCACATTCCACTTGCTGCGCTAAGTCCTCATTTAGCTCAGCCTCTAGGACAGTGATTCCCAAACCATTCCTCATGGCCCACAAACAGTCCAGGATTTATGCATTTCCCTATTTTATTCCAATGGAGATACTAACAAAACCTGGACTCTTGGTGGGTCTTGAGGACTGGTTTGGGAAACGGTACTCTAGGACATTCCTCTTTGGCTGTAGTAAGAACTTGGCTTCAGTGCGTTATTGCAGGTAAGTTTATTCACTTATGTATTTTAAAGAAGGGGGTGCTTGCCTTACTCGAGGAGGTGGGGGGGAGAGAACTTATTTAAAAAAAAAAAAAAAAATGTTTAAACAATATTTCTATTTCTCCTCTCTGTTTGTTCTAGTTTTGCTTTGTCTCAGCTAGATTATGTAACTTGTTAATTCAATAATATAACTTTAAAAACAAGCAAAGCATTTCATGAAATAAGAATTTGTAGGTAATTTAAAAAAAAAAAATTTATTGAAAGGTGTAAGTTGCAGAAAAGTGACATTTTCTCTTTTGAAGGTAAATATATAAAAATTGACTCTATTTTTAATGTGTTGTATAGATTATGCTTAAATAGTGTTCAAATAATAAAGGTTACCTTTTTAAAGGAATTTAAATGTTAGGAATGCAAACTTAAATGCCTAACGCTTCAGTGTCCATAGATTTAGAAGTGTCTCCCTCCTTCCCCTGTGTGCCCTAAAAATAATCTACCTCTACCATTTCTGCAACGTCTTTGTGACGGCCTTTACTCCTGTCGTTGGTTCAATCCAATGTTCCCTATAGAGTAGAATTGGGAAGTTGAAGCACATCCAAGCATCCCTATAGGAAAGCACTGAATCAGTGCTTTCCTATGTGGAAATCAACATCACGTGAGTTTTATTCAGTCAGTGCTGCAGAATTGCCTCTAGTGACTGTCAGGAATTCAACCACTAGCAGTGGGTTTAACCTTGTAATGTAAACATTGCAGTGTTAAAAGGACAGGGTCAATGCCAGCTTCTCGCTTCAGCAAGTTGGGATGAGTGGACAGGATCACTGCCAGCTTCTCGCCTTAGCAAGTTGGGATGAGTGGACAGGATCACTGCCAGCTTCTCGCCTTAGCAAGTTGGGATGAGTGGACAGAGTCCAAATGGGACTTTACCAGTGACACAAGCCACATCACTAGCCATGCCTACAATGGGCGGTCTGATCTGAAAAAGGGGCAGGCCCATCACCTGAAAGACTGTCCAGTCTCCAGCTATCAGGACCATGCAAGGAGCGCTGCTGTACACTCCCTGCATGGTCTTGGTGCCTGCGGCACAGCGAGCACATCTAATTAGGCGCTCACACTGTGCTACCCTGGTATAATGTCCTGATGATCCATGATGCAGGACCGGACCCTGAAATTGGGTCAGTCCTGCTGAAAGCTGGACCGTTTGGAGCCATGCACTGCACCCAGACCACTTCATTGAGATGAAATGGTTTGGGTGACTTTAGTGGTCCTTTAAGATCTTTGCACAGCAAGTGTCTGGTGAAAAGTGGGGTCAAAATTTTCTCATTCTGGTTTTTGGTGTCCACAATTTTGACATTTTGGCATTGATTTTAAAAATGACTTATCATGCAAAAAAACTAATAAAAATATTTTATTGAAGAATAGTGATCACATAGAGCCATTTCTTCATAGAAAAGACTGTTTACATTGCTTCCTAGTGACACCTCTAATGGCAGTCACTCAAATGGAGTGCAGAGCATGAGGACGTACAGCATCAGTTAGCGACCAAAAGTTCGGTAACATTCTGGAAGCGCCTCTAGTGGCTGTCTGAGCTTAGTGAGCTGAAGGGATCTGGGTTCCTATAGAGTCCCTTTTAAAGTATATGCTTGAAGTTTACTATGTTTGCTGTTCCTGTAATTCTGTCTTCGTCCACCATACACACAACTTAATTCCAGATCTCTCCTCTGTCCATAGAATATGCATTTACCAGCATTTTGATTAGCTTAACATCTAAACTTACAGACACCATAAAAGCTACATCTCCGTGATTTTTTTTTTTTTTTTTAAGGGTGCCTGTAGTTTCCTGGCTCAGTCTTGCCTAGTTTTACTTCATCAAAAACTGTTATTCTTAAAAAAAAATTGTTTTAAAAAATTGGTTAAATGGAGTAATCCTTGCTGGCAGCCCCTTAAAAAAAAAACAAACAAAAAAAACCTAAAAATACATTTTTTGTTAGTTTTAATAAAAATAAAACAATACATTTACCTGCGTTTCACATGGAGGCCAAGTTCTCCCGGCAGCCTGATCAACCTTCAGTGATATCACTCCCCCTGCTGTGGGAGGGACTGTCATCGGTCTCCAACATACTATGCATGCTACTTGAAGTAAAACATTAAGTGTAAATGAGTTTAGAGAAATCAAACAAAAATCTCTAAATTGGAAATTAGATGGAACGTGGAAAAATACATAACATGAGCTTGACTGCAGTCAAAAGCAAGGAAAAGGATATAATGTAGTGGTAGTTATTCGCCTTGGTTTTCATTCAGTAATTTAATCGGCTTAATTCATTTCCTGCCAAAAATAACTGAAACACATATTTAGGCATTTTACTGACAACAGATGTGGCACGTTTGATGGAAATCAATTTCTTAAATTTATTAAAAGAAACAAATAGACTATTAAAAGAATGGAGGACCCATGAAATATCTTGGTGGGATAGAATTAACACGATTAAGGCCTATATTGTTCCAAAATGGATCTATTTGTTCCGTATGATCCCTCTTAAAGTTCCAGTACATTGGTTACATTTAATTCAGAGTAGTTTTACAAATTTCATTTGGAGAGCTAATGGCTACAAAGTTGTTGATCGCAAAAGCTTGGAAAAAAATAGATACCCCCAATATATATCAACTAATTAGCGAACAAACCACATCGGGGAGGTATGGGATATCCGTTAATAAAAAATACCTATCAAGCAATTATAACAATACATGCCTTGAATATACAAGCTATAGAATGCAAAGAACAAGCATGGTATAAACTACAAGCATATAGAGAAGGCATAACCAACTTAGAAACAATATTATGGTCAATTACTAAGAAAAGGAATAATTTTTTAGAATATAAATCTAGGATCATTCTTCAAACAATGAATGAATGGTATATTCTAAAAAGAAAATTGGGAATTGCAGATTTAATTCCTGACACTATTCGTATTAGAACGGTAGAAAATATTATGACCGACATAAATTTGAAGAATTGGTATATGGACTCAGATATATGTATTAAAAATATCTACCTGAATGACCAAATAGAAGACTTCCTGAGTTTAAAATTAAGACTGAATCTACCTTCTAGAGAGATTTTTAATTATTTGCGTATAAAGAGCTTTCTAAAGAACCATCTTATAAATTACAATGGGGAGAAAAGAAATTTAATTAAAAAGATCTTCTCTATAGATACTACAGAAAATAAATATTCTTTAATACTAGATTTATTAAATTATATTAATCAAACAAATACTCCTACAGCTTTTAAAAATTGGGAGAGAAAGCTAGACACAAAGGTCAATTTTAACTTGTGGTGCCTTGCTTTTCTTAAAATCAAAAAATACATTCATTGTCTAAATATACTAGAAAATTTCATTAAAGTTAGTTATAGATGGTACATTGTTCCAAAGAAGTTGAACAAAATTTCTCAGAATAATTCCCCCAATTGCTGGAGATGCTTTTATATAGATGGTTCCATGACACATATATGGTGGAACTGTCCTAGAATTCAACCACTATGGGATATGACATTTAAACTAATAAGGGCAGTAAGTAATACTCAACTAGATTTCACCCAGAAATAGCATTATTTCACATGTATAATATTAAACTAGATAAGAAAAATGAAATATTAGTCACCCACTGCCTAATGGCTACAAAGTTGTTGATCGCAAAAGCTTGGAAAAAAATAGATACCCCCAATATATATCAACTAAAGGCCCAAATTCAAAACCAACTGGAGATGGAAAAAGGAGTAATCTGGTATACTGTTTATAAAGATAACATGTTAAGATATATATATATATATCTTCTCTCTCTCTCTCTCTCTCTCTCTCTCAACTGATATCAAATCGTACGGAGGGATAGAAAATAAGGAGGGAAAAGAAGATAGGAAGGGGAAAGATAAAGGGAAAAAATAAATAGGGAGTAACAGAAGGTAAAAGAGAAAGAAAGGAAATAAGAAAAATTTATATGCAAGATTTTAAGATCTAACCCAAATTAAACTGCTGGTATGAATGGGTATAATCACAGATATGGCAGAAAAAAAAATGGGCAATAAGATAATCATTGCAGCTTCATAATAGTCTTACAAGAAATAAATTAAAGGTAAACGAGAGAAAAGAAGGAAAAAGAAAAACTAGAGATAAGAGAGACCAAAACATCAAGAAAAAAATAATAAAAATAAATGATTAGAAAAGCCCTAATCACTAAGCCCAGATATTACTAGGTTTGAATAATGGATACAATTGTAATTGCAATTTACATCTGTGAACATGGTATGTCTTTTGTGATGTATGATTCCAGAAGGAACATATAGAATTTGTGTTGTATGTACAAGTATGTTAAATGTATTATGATATATAATTTAATTTAAAAAAATTACAATTAAAAAAATAACTGAAACACAAAGCCTATCTGACCAACTGGTATCGGTTTAATTTACAGAAAAAGTTTTTTTTTTTTTCTATTGGTCTCTGGCGTAACCAGAGTGTTCTTCTGAATTCAGGGATCTCTGTGTAGTGTTTGTTCCACAATGTACAACATTTCTGGGCTAAACTCACCTCTAGTGGCTGTAAATAGATTGGATTCAATGCTTAGCACATTGTGACGATTGCACTTTTAGTCCAAGTTGTCTCGGCAGGGAATTTCAGCTTTTGGACTTTAGTTGGTTGATTTACTTGCTGGCTTTTTTTTTGTTTGTAGGTGGAGGGATTTGCGCTCTAACTGTATAGGGCAAAAAAAAATTTAAGGGTGAAGATTAGGTTATGCTAGGTGGGTTCTTTTTTTTTCTGGGGGGATTTGGTAAATTTCTAGAATTTAAAAAAAAAAAAAGTTGTGTTAAACAAATTTGCAATTTCTCAATTAGTTCAAGAAGTAGATGACAGAATGTATGGTTGTCATTTAGAAAACATTGGTAGAGAGATGAGTACAAAGTAGGATTGAGAGGTACTTTTACTTTATATATTTTGTTTGAGTATTAGTGGTTACTAATGAACATTGGCCGTTTATAATGGACTGGTACAACTGGAAAAAATATTTTAAAAATAGTTTGACAGCTACATACTATAATAACTTGCTCAATGTAAAAAGCCCCAGTGATAAAACATGAATACATGCAAAAAAAAGTAACAGATAAATGTAAATGCAATAAACTGAAAACCATAAAGATTGCCACTAATACTAAGCAAAACATATTTTACAGTAAGTAAAATTTCAGCACTCATGAGCAACAAGTACTCACAAGCAAGATAATTAAATGGGTGGCTCTGGTTTTCCTTACGGCAAAACTACCTGCAAAGCCTTACGCTCAAAAGGGATAAATTCAGGAGAAGGTTTTCCAGCAGATACATAGATGCCAGTTCAATAGTGTCTGTGATATAAGGATAATGTTGACTTTAGCCATTTGGCTTCCTTCAAAAATACCCTTATAAAGCTTGAAGATACAATATTTTTCTCTTAATGATTAAATCACTTCTAAGTACCTAGACATGTTACTAAGCTTCCGTTTCCAATGATGGGTTCTGGCACAAGGTAACTCCTAATTAATTGTAGAGCATTCACATAACTTTAGGGAAAAAAAAGGTTGTAACTGAAGAATTATCTTGGTGAAAAGCTGGGTGCTAGAGAGGTTGCCAAAGCTCTTTTTGTTTGGCTGCCTAAAATGCATCAAAACATTCAGTATCTCCTCCCTCTGCATGCAGACACTGAACTTTCCTCATAGAGATTCATTGATTCAATTCATCTCTATGAGGAGATGCTAATTGGCCAGGACTGTATTTGAATCGTGCTGGCTCTGCCCCTGATCTGCCTCTTTGTCAGTCTCAGCCAATCCTATGGGGAAGCATTGTGATTGGATCAGGCTACCACTTCCGATGATGTCAGAGGAAGTTCAGAGGCAGCAGATTCAGACTTGAATACAAGTAAGATTTTACCATCTTTAGGGAGGCAAAGGTGGCCAAGGGGGCTAAATAGTGGGTTTAGCACTATAGGGTCAGGAATACATGTTTGTGTTCCTGACCCTATAGTGCTTCTTTAAGTTTTCCTCTGCAATTTGAGTTACAGTAGCTCTTATTTGTGATGGGAGCAAAGGACTAGCCTTTGCTCCCCAGGTGCATGAATGAGCCTTGGGTGCCTATTATTTGGTTGTCAAGCAGCACCAAACAGATGTCTTTCTGGTAAGGTAGATTAGAAAGGCAATTTTATTAAAGGACACAGAGGTTCATATTATTATCTCTTTCTTTATTCCTCAGCAGCATGTCCCATGTAACCTTCAGCCAATCCTCTTTGCTGCTGCCTCCTCAGCTAAGTATCACTCCAACAGTCTCTGTATTAATTTGAGTAATTGTTACCATTTATCACTGTATCTCTTGGTATTTTGTATGGTTTTGTTTCCTACTGTTTGTTTTCTCTGGGAACCCTACTGGCTCCCTCATTCCCTCACCACAGTTTCCTATTTCCTCGCTCTGTCTCCCCCCCCCTCCCCTGTCTGGTCGGGTTGTTTATTTCCTGACCTATTTCCTCTGCCTGCACAGAACCTGTGACCCTCTCACTGCCGGGTACAGTATCGCTTGTTTGGGGGCGGGGTTTGGTTGTGTTGTTGGGCAGCCTCACGGTGTTCCCCAGGAGCCATTCCTGAGGGAGCACTAAGTGAGCCTGTTTTTCTTTGGTCATTCTGCCTAGTAGCCTTCCTACTATTCAGGTAAATGCTGTCAGTGCCTATATATTCTTTTTCACTGCCACTATAGTACTGTTATCCAGTAGTGTGGATGTGAGCTCCCTCCTCTATCCTTAGGATAATTTGTCTTGTTATTTCTTATGAAATTTTCATATACACTTCATTATATTAATGTGTCATGCAGTCCCAAATGAGTTGGAAGTTTCCGTCGCCGGTTCTTCCACTAGTGTCATTAAATCCTCTACGCCCCTGATGGTGGCCAGTCCACCCACACATGCCATGGTGGATGAAGCATCACAGGAGAAAATGAATTCAGAAGAGTTTAATTCCCTCCTGGATGCTACCATGTTGAAATCAGCCAGCCACTTTTTCAGCTATGGGCACCATGTCTGATAATCTATCACATGAACAATAATGTCCACCCAGAGACCACCTACTCTCATTCCTGCTAAACCCCCCAGAGAGTAAACCGGTAGCTCCCAGTGAGCGTAAATCCACCAAAAAATCTCATCAATTGGATGAGGATGCCTCCAAAGACTGTCAGACGGACAGGGTACATCCTGTCACAGAGGATGTGGTTGCACCACAATGAAGAGCCATCCACCGGGCAAAATTGTTGAGAAATTGGAAGAGAGCAAAAGCCCCAATTGAGTCTTCCAAATCATAATCTGAGCAAGAGGAGGCACTGAGCGAGTCTGATGATGACTCTTGTGACTCAGGCGCATATTTTCCTGACCATGGCTCCTTGTCCGGACCTAGGGTTGACCCGAAGGTCGGAGTGGATGACTCCATCCTCCTTTGTCCTCAGGGTGAACCCCTCTATGACCCCGTCAGCCTTCAGCATCCGGGATCTTTAGAGCGGTACCCATTGGATCATGTGGCAAAATACATTGCCACTCACATTAGAAAACCGCTTGACAAGGTTGCACGGAATTAACTCAGGACAGAATGGTCGAGATAGCCTTAGCAGGTGGTACTCCTGCAGACTTGTTAGTCATCAGGGGATGGATCCAACGATCCGTATGTTTGCTTGGCAATGTCAATGCGGCATTAGCTATTGAGAGGTGCAAGGCAATACTCTTAAAATAGAATTTAAGCTAGTGAATCTAGCTATCTCAGAGCCTCGACCATAGGCAAAACGCCTACTATTTGGAGAAAACTTTGTGAAGGGGTTAGACACTTGCATATGGCCCATCTTGAGAAGGCGCAAGCCAATATGAAGCAAGTTCTCTCCCAGAGAGTTCCTCCTGGGGTTCATACCGGGTTCCAGTGGCTTTGATCACACAAGGTTTCTAACACCTAAGCACAAAGCCAATTCACTGTTTTTCCCACGCTGAGGCAGACCTTGAGAGTCTCGCAGACCCAGAGGTTCCTCCTATGACCGATGGCCTTATGGTAAGTTCAACTTCATGCTACTTGCCGTCCGTTGCAATGGGGGGCCAATTAAGACATTATGTTACGCAGGTTAACCTCAGATGCTTAGGTCCTTGAAACGGTCCTGGGTTATTTAATAGATTTTGTACAATATCCTTTTCAGAGATTTTTACCCAACCGCATCGTGTTCTCCGCACACGACCGACACCTGGTGTCGCAAGAAATACAGCATCCCTAGCATCCAGGGGCGCTTTAACGGAACCTTCCGTTAATGGACGCTTCCTAGCTTGCGCCGAGGACCACAACCACCGCAGACTCCACAACAGCCGTAGCTTAACTGGAGTCTCGCCTTCTTCTGTCCACCCTGGATCAGCTTCTGTCCTCCAGGACCGTGTGGGGAAGACCTCTCCTCTAGGAGAGCGTAACAGGAACAGCTCTTAAAAGCTCAAGGGAGTATGCAGAGCATAGCAATCCCCAGAGAGATTATAGCAGTTCCCTCCAATAACGAGACAAGGCTATGCATTGAGGGTCAAGAAGATCTGTATTACTTGGCCCAAAAGGGCCTTCTTTTATGCAGGTTTTTTTATGCAGGTTTTCCTTACATAGCATCACCAACAGGGTTTTAAAGAACAACCAATAACACACATACAATACAGAAAACTGGGGACACAGGCTTAAAGGGGCAGTGTCCCAAACAAGTCTGGGGACACGGTCTTAAAGGGGCATTGTCCCAATTTTCTCTGTCCCAAAAACGTGCTTAAAGGGCCAGCACCAGTCCCATAAAAAGTCCAAAAGCCCCAATATGCTCACAGACTGTTCTTAAAGGCCATACACACCAGGTCCATGGTCATGGGGGAGGAGGCTGGCAAATAGGCTCCTCCATAATCCAGGGAAGCAGGGCAATTTGTCATTTAAAGGAACAGTTACAAAAGGAATTTTGTAACAGGTGCCATCTTGGAAATTCACCCTCAAACCCCAGGTTTCCTGAGCAATCTCTTCCTAGTCCCAAGAAAGGTGGAGGCATTCGACCTGTCATCAGTCTACGACCTCTAAACGTTTTTGTCACATACCACATTTCAAGATGGAGGGTATTCACTCTCTTAACCCCTTAAAGACACATGACGTGTGACATGTCATGATTCCCTTTTATTCCAGAAGTTTGCTCCTTAAGGGGTTAAAGACCTTCTCCTTTTGGAGGATTGGATGGTCAAACTCTACTCACTGGATTCATACCTCACCGTTCCGATGGCTGAGGACTCCCTACAGTTCCTGCAATTTTCGGTGGGAAAAATTTCGGTGGTGCTTCACAAAACTACTGAAACCAGCAGTGGCCATTCTGTGCAGCAGAGGAGTTTGACTCATATATACTTGGACGATATTCTCGTAATGGCACGGGACACTCACATGCTCCACGTACACCTGTCCTGGACAATCACTCTCCTGAGCAACCTAGGTTTCCATCAATTGGGAAAAGTCGGTTTTCATACCTTCTCAATCCATAGAATTCCTGGTTCACGATAGATTCCATGTGCGGGGCACTCCTACTACCACCTTCCAAGATCAAATCCATAAAGAAAGAATCTGTCGGACGCTAGCCCGTCCTGTCCTGACACTGAGACAACTAGGCCAGGATCATCGGGCTTATCTCAGCACCGATTCAAGCTCCATTACAGAACACTTCAACGACTGAAAGCCAAACACCTTCATTTGGGTCATTCTTATTTGGACTCTGTTACTCTTGACTGCACAGCCAAAGAGGAACTTCTGTGGTGGCTACAACACATGAAGGTGTGGAATGGCCGACCAAGGTTTGGAACCGCTCCAGACTTCGTCATAGAATCAGATTCAAATACGCTCAGCTGGGGCCTACCACCAGGGGGGGGAAATGGTCCCTGGAAGAACAAGAAATGCATATCCATTGCCTCAAACTGCTGGCATGTTCATTTGCACTACTTGGGTGTATCAAACAATTGCTCCATAATTTTACTGATGCATAACATCTCAGTGGTCCGGTACATCAACCACCTTGGGGACACAAAGTTAATAACTTTGGCAAACCTAGCAAAGGAATTCTGGCAATTCTTCCTGGATCGCAATATCTCTGTGCAAGCAGAGTACATTCCGGGGATGTCCAATATAGTGGCAGATTGGAAGTCCAGACACTTACGGGATGCCAGCGATTGGCGGCTGAACCCTTCCCTTTCTTCTGTTTGCAGTCTCTTTGGGGCCCTCTGGAAATTAACCTATTCGCATCATGTTTGAATTCCCAACTACTGAGATTTTTCAGCTGAAGACCAGATCCAGAGGCTCTTGTAGTAGATGCCTTCCTGCAACCATGGCCAAGTACTCGCCAATACGCTTTTCCACCCTTCTCTCTCATTGCTCTTACACTTCTACATCTCAGGCGTTACCAGACCTCCTTGATCCTCATAGCCCCGTTCTGGACAGCTCAGCCAATGTTCCCTACACTCCCTGAAATGTCAATAGATTACCCAAGATTGCTCCCAGTCTTCTCCAACCTATTGCTGGATCTCAATGGGAACCCACATCCACTTCTCGTTCAGGGACATCTCAGGCTATTAGCTTTGGCCCCAGGAACAAGGAAATCCTATCTCCATGCCTGGAACTCATGGAATGGTTGATGCATCGAAGAACACGTGGATCCCATATCTGCATCTGAGAGTCATGTTGTGAGTTTCCTCATTTCACTTTGGACCTGGAACTAGCATACCGTAGATCAATATATATAGATCAGCCATCTTGGCAGGCCACCAAGGTTGGAAGGGATTTCCAGCAGGTTAACATCTTTAATATGTCAACTCCTTCGTGGCATCAGGTTTGCACGTCCTAAATATACCTCCTTATGGCAGGTGAGACTCGTCCTTCGACTATTTGAAAATTGGCCTCAAATGAGGACCTTTCGTTCAAGCAGCTCACGGAAAAATTAGTCATGTTTTGTCTCATCCCCTGCTAACGTGTCTCAGACATTCGTGCACTGGACATTACAGCACATTCCTTTACTCCAGATGGCGTTTCCTTTGACATTTCAAGGCGTACGAATACATCCATTAGCTCGGTCTTTTATCCAGCTCTTGCACATAATGTTAACCTCTGCCCAGTGGTCTGTCTCAAGGAATATGTGTAGAAGACCTCCTCAGTACGTGAGCCTCAATATGCTGATTTATTTCTAGCTCTTCGATGCCCACATAAAACTGTTTATCTTTTCTCGTTGGGTCAAATGGATCATGACGTCGGCTGTCGTTGACACTTCCACATTTGGAGCACACTCTGTCTAGGCGCTATGGCATCTAAAGCTAGAAGACTTCCTCCGTGCTGCGGATTGGTCCCGGGGATCTACTTTTCGGGAATCCTATTTTCATCCAATTAATCATTTTTCCACTACGGTTGGTTACACAGCTTTGAACGAGCATAATATGAGCCTCCGTGTCCTTTAATAAAATTACCAGATTTTACTAATTTCATGACGTAAAGTCATGATTTTTTATTCAGGACATGGAGGCGAGTATTATCCCACCCGATACAGGTATGTTACAACCTCCCTGAGGTATATGTATTATTTTCACAATAAGTATGCAGTCTTTAGGGTATTGTTGTTGTTCACCTAATTGACTAATTTCTGTTGACCAAACCCACAAATCTTATAGGAGTATAAACACAATCAGTGCATAAAAATACAAAGAGAGATAAATACCCCAGTATTTTAAGATCTTTAAGGGTCATAAGTTTTTGTCAGATCCCATATAGAAACTGGTTCAAGTAGTATCACTTTAAGATATCTCAGATCAAATCTTGAAGTTACTCTCAGGGATGTAGCTTGATCCTCAGAATATGTAAATTGTAGAACAAGCAAACATCAAATTAAGAGAGTATAAAAAGCAAATTTATTATAAGTAAATAAAAACCTTACATTGAGGTCTTGTAAAATCAGCAAAAGATGACAGCATAAATAGCAGCACAACGCGTTTCAACGATCAATCTCGTCTTCCTCAGGTGCAGTTCACATTGTTACATAAAATTCATACATTTAAAAGCCTTTTGGCGCGGAAAAGCGGGTATTTAGGACCCGCCCCCTTTGCCATCGGACCAATCAGCAGAGACTAGATGATTTCCTCTTCACAGTCTGATTTCCGGATTCATGCGTTCCATTCCTTTTACTTCCGGTATCGCATGCGTTCCAATATGCGTCTCACAGGGGGCACTTCCGGTTTCACTTGCAGTCCGGTTTACCCAGCGAAAAAGTTCCTTACCAAGTTCATATGGCTGCTAAACCTCAAGTCCACATAAACATAATTGAATAATATACATGTGCACATAGGTGCTCATGTATATGTGTACAAAACATGTACATGGGGAACAGGGAAATAAATAAAAAAGGCAAAAGTTAATAATAGCCACAAATAACTAATTATATCTATATATATCTATATATATATATATATATATATATATATATATATATATATAGATACATAATAAAATATATAATAAAAGAGTAAGGTGGAACCAATAAAAGTGTATTCACCAGGTGTGCAGAAAATTAGATATAATTGTACATTTCAAAATCAATGTTTAAACCACATGGAGAGAGGGTTTCCAGCTCAAAGATCCATTTCATTTCTGTTCTATTCAGGATCTTGAGATGGTCCCCCCCCCCTTTCCATGGTTTTTGAACCTTTTGGATTCCCAGGAAATGTAAGCATTTAGTGTCCCCATTATGTTTTTGATAGACATGTGCTGATACTGAATGATTAAGAACTCCCTTTTGTACATTCCTAAAATGTTCACAGATCCTGACTTTTAGGGGTCTAGTGGTACGCCCTATGTACTGCAGTCCACAGATACATGTTAATAAATAAATAACATTGTTTGAGTTACATGTTATAAAGTCTTTAACTGTATATTCTTTTTGTGTTTTATTTGAAATAAATTTCTCAGTTTTTTTATTTATGATTTTACTCATACTACACGCCCTACAGTTCCCACAGTTAAAAAACCCTTGTAATTTTTTTCCTTGTAAATCATTATCTCTAAGGGGTCTTTTAGGGATATAACTCCTGGTCAATATATCTTTAAAATTATTGGCGCCTCTATAAATTATTTTCGGCTTTTCTCCTATATATTCACTAAGATCTTCATTTTGCTTAAGAATATACCAATGTTTTTTTAAAACTTTGTGAAAAATATGACTCTGTGAGTTATAGTCACAAATAAAAGACACTTGTTTTGTTTGTGTGCATTCTTTTCTCTTTTTATACATTAGTAAGTCTTTTCTGGGCTTAGTTAAAACTTCCTCCAATTGTGCCTCTACATCAACTTTTTTGTATCCTTTCTGATAAAATTGTTCTTTTAACATATCAGTTTGTTCTAAAAATGTTTTTTCTTCCGTACAGTTCCTTTTTATTCTCATGAATTGGCTTTTAGGGATGTTTGAAAGCCAAGATTTAAAATGGCAACTCTCACTGTTGATGTAACTATTGACATCAACAGTTTTAAAAAAAGTACTAGTCTTAACAACTCCATTATCAATAAAGATCTTTAAATCTAGGAAGTGTACTTCTTGATTACTTATTTCCGAGGTAAGCTTAATACCCCAAGAATTAGAATTTAAAAAAAATTAAAAAGTTATCCAGTGATGTCTTACTTCCCTTCCATATTAAAGAGATGTCATCTATGTACCGCCTATAGAGGACCAAGTTCGCCACCCAGTCATGTTCAGCATATATGTAGGATTCTTCCCAAAATGCCATAAAAAGATTAGCATAACTGGGCGCGAACTTGGTCCCCATGGCGGTACCTCTCCTCTGAATATAAAAATCCCCCTCAAACCAAAAGAAGTTGTTTTGTAGGATAATTTCAATGCCCTCAATAATAAATTCAATTTATTCTCCTTTAAATGCATTTGATGTTTTCAGGAAATATTCCACCGCCTTACATCCTTTTTGATGTTCAATGACTGTATAAAGGCTACTAACATCGCTAGTAACGAGAAAGTAATCCTCTTTCCAGTCTATTTTTTGTAAAATCTGAAGGAGATTAATGGAATCTTTCAAATAAGCTCTAGTTTTAATAACAAGGGGTTGTAACAGAATATCAATATATTGTGACAGGGGTGATAACAAAGAGTCAACCCCTGCCACAATTGGTCTCCCTGGAGGTTGTACAGGATCCTTGTGAATTTTGTGAAATTTGTTGATTATTATAATCAACAAATTCGACACATTTATAGAATTTTTGTGAAATTTGTTGATTATTATAATCAACAAATTCGACACATTTATAGATTTTAATCGATATATGAGGAAACTTTGCCTTAAAATTTTTTTCCAGAAAAAGGAGAGGAAGGAGATAAAATCAGAAGAAGTAGTTGAATTCAATCATACTACTTTAAAACCGACTTCGTCATTTTTCCCATACCAGCTTAAAACATCTAGTATGAAGGCATTCGAATAGGCGTGTATTAATGATCTCAAAAAAATCAAACCACTTTCCAAATTTGAATTTAACCTCACATGGGGAGAGAAAAAAGCCCTTGAAGATCTTAGTAAGGATGATAGTATTATCATCAAACCCGCAGATAAGGGGGGAGGGGTTGTTATTATGAACCAAGCATTCTATGTGGAAGAAATTTGTAGACAGTTGAAGGACGAAGAAACATATGGAATGCTTAAGAATAATCCAGAACAGAATATTAAGAAAAAGTTAGTCAAATTTTTGGATCAAGGTTTACAGCAGGGAATTTTGACTAGGGATGAATATGGGTTTTTTAATAAAGAACATACCATTATCCCCGTGATCTATGTTCTCCCCAAAATTCACAAGGATCCTGTACAACCTCCAGGGAGACCAATTGTGGCAGGGGTTGACTCTTTATCACCCCTGTCACAATATATTGATATTCTGTTACAACCCCTTGTTATTAAAACTAGAGCTTATTTGAAAGATTCCATTAATCTCCTTCAGATTTTACAAAAAATAGACTGGAAAGAGGATTACTTTCTCGTTACTAGCGATGTTAGTAGCCTTTATACAGTCATTGAACATCAAAAAGGATGTAAGGCGGTGGAATATTTCCTGAAAACATCAAATGCATTTAAAGGAGAACAAATTGAATTTATTATTGAGGGCATTGAAATTATCCTACAAAACAACTTCTTTTGGTTTGAGGGGGATTTTTATATTCAGAGGAGAGGTACCGCCATGGGGACCAAGTTCGCGCCCAGTTATGCTAATCTTTTTATGGCATTTTGGGAAGAATCCTACATATATGCTGAACATGACTGGGTGGCGAACTTGGTCCTCTATAGGCGGTACATAGATGACATCTCTTTAATATGGAAGGGAAGTAAGACATCACTGGATAACTTTTTAATTTTTTTTAAATTCTAATTCTTGGGGTATTAAGCTTACCTCGGAAATAAGTAATCAAGAAGTACACTTCCTAGATTTAAAGATCTTTATTGATAATGGAGTTGTTAAGACTAGTACTTTTTTTAAAACTGTTGATGTCAATAGTTACATCAACAGTGAGAGTTGCCATTTTAAATCTTGGCTTTCAAACATCCCTAAAAGCCAATTCATGAGAATAAAAAGGAACTGTACGGAAGAAAAAACATTTTTAGAACAAACTGATATGTTAAAAGAACAATTTTATCAGAAAGGATACAAAAAAGTTGATGTAGAGGCACAATTGGAGGAAGTTTTAACTAAGCCCAGAAAAGACTTACTAATGTATAAAAAGAGAAAAGAATGCACACAAACAAAACAAGTGTCTTTTATTTGTGACTATAACTCACAGAGTCATATTTTTCACAAAGTTTTAAAAAAACATTGGTATATTCTTAAGCAAAATGAAGATCTTTGCGAATATATAGGAGAAAAGCCGAAAATAATTTATAGAGGCGCCAATAATTTTAAAGATATATTGACCAGGAGTTATATCCCTAAAAGACCCCTTAGAGATAATGATCTACAAGGAAAAAAATTACAAGGGTTTTTTAACTGTGGGAACTGTAGGGCGTGTAGTATGAGTAAAATCATAAATAAAAAAACTGAGAAATTTATTTCAAATAAAACACAAAAAGAATATACAGTTAAAGACTTTATAACATGTAACTCAAACAATGTTATTTATTTATTAACATGTATCTGTGGACTGACTAAAAGTCAGGATCTGTGAACATTTTAGGAATGTACAAAAGGGAGTTCTTAATCATTCAGTATCAGCACATGTCTATCAAAAACATAATGGGGACACTAAATGCTTACATTTCCTGGGAATCCAAAAGGTTCAAAAACCATGGAAAGGGGGGGGGGACCATCTCAAGATCCTGAATAGAACAGAAATGAAATGGATCTTTGAGCTGGAAACCCTCTCTCCATGTGGTTTAAACATTGATTTTGAAATGTACAATTATATCTAATTTTCTGCACACCTGGTGAATACACTTTTATTGGTTCCACCTTACTCTTTTATTATATATTTTATTATGTATCTATATATATATATATATATATATATATATATATATATATATATAGATATATATAGATATAATTAGTTATTTGTGGCTATTATTAACTTTTGCCTTTTTTATTTATTTCCCTGTTCCCCATGTACATGTTTTGTACACATATACATGAGCACCTATGTGCACATGTATATTATTCAATTATGTTTATGTGGACTTGAGGTTTAGCAGCCATATGAACTTGGTAAGGAACTTTTTCGCTGGGTAAACCGGACCGCAAGTGAAACCGGAAGTGCCCCCTGTGAGACGCATATTGGAACGCATGCGATACCGGAAGTAAAAGGAATGGAACGCATGAATCCGGAAATCAGACTGTGAAGAGGAAATCATCTAGTCTCTGCTGATTGGTCCGATGGCAAAGGGGGCGGGTCCTAAATACCCGCTTTTCCGCGCCAAAAGGCTTTTAAATGTATGAATTTTATGTAACAATGTGAACTGCACCTGAGGAAGACGAGATTGATCGTTGAAACGCGTTGTGCTGCTATTTATGCTGTCATCTTTTGCTGATTTTACAAGACCTCAATGTAAGGTTTTTATTTACTTATAATAAATTTGCTTTTTATACTCTCTTAATTTGATGTTTGCTTGTTCTACAATTTACATATTCTGAGGATCAAGCTACATCCCTGAGAGTAACTTCAAGATTTGATCTGAGATATCTTAAAGTGATACTACTTGAACCAGTTTCTATATGGGATCTGACAAAAACTTATGACCCTTAAAGATCTTAAAATACTGGGGTATTTATCTCTCTTTGTATTTTTATGCACTGATTGTGTTTATACTCCTATAAGATTTGTGGGTTTGGTTCATGCGCTGCACACTTTTTCTGTTTTGTACACCGTTGTTTTTGTGGGATTATTGTGATTGTACCCACTAGTGTGTTCTAGCTGCTATTTATTTTAGCGCCGCAAATTGTATTTTTTCTGTTTTATAATTTCTGTTGACGAATCGGATATACTGTTATGATACTTGATACTTTGTGGATAAGATTTAATATCCAAGAGAATATTTTACCACTTATTTCTCTGTCTTTACAGCCTCTTATTTGGTTTCACACTAGTCCACATTGGTTCAATACACGTTCAATCAGAGGATTGCAAGTTATCCACTAAGTTCCATTATTGGATCATCTGGCAGTCGCTGTCCTTAGCATCTAGTTGGTTGTACATTGCGGTATTGTTGAGATGTTCATCGGCCTCATTAAGAAAGAAGATTGGCTGAAGGTCAGATGGGACATTATACTACAAGGAGCATTCCTATTGGATAAGATGCTATAGTGTGGTTAACCCGCTAGGGTACATGTTAACTTTTTTCTTTTGTATATTTACAGTATCCTTTCTTTGCTGCTGAGGAATAAAGAAAGAGATAAAGCATACTAGCCTCCGTGTCCTTAATAAAATCATGACTTTACGTTATGAAATTAGTAAAATCTGGTAATTCTTGGCACCAGGATTTTAACCACATAGAATGCTGGCTGACTGTGGGTATTTTTGTGACAGATAACATAAGATCCTCACCCACAGCATCATACAAAAAAATCAATGTGCCAAATTGATACTATTATTAACCCCTTAAGGACACAACTTCTGAAATAAAAGGGAATCATGACGACGGAATATTTCCGTCATGTGTCCTTAAGGGGTTAATAGTAGTATTGTGAAGTGATGTTTCCCAATGGGCAATCCTTCTCAAGCCACCATCAATACAAGCCAAAAATTATTGGTATTTTGCCCAGTCTGAAGACATATGTGGTGAAAAGAGTGAGAAGTGAAAGTACAGAGAAGTGAACAAAGAAAAGATGTTTGTCTCCCACTGCGGGTACATAGCCACTCCTGTAGGCTACCCTACTAAAGTTGATTCATTTATATTATATTCCAACCACAGGTCCCAGGTTTTTTTTTGAAAGGAGGGCAAACCTCCACGAGTGCACCCTGTCACTGATCCATTAACCTACTAATAATCGTCTCACTGACAGCTTAATTCTCTTGCATAACCTTTGTGAATGCCACTGGGTCTTGGTCGAAAGACCCATGGGAAAAAACCTCTCTAAGAAGGGCTCCACTTATCTCCAAAAAACTAATCACATATGGAGGTAGGATCATTTTTTTTTTTAAATCCGTAGCCTCTCCAACAGAGGTCCGAAGGAAACCATCCCAAATATTTTATACATTTGTTCCTGAGAGAGAACGAATACTGACGCCTTAGCTGCTGCCTTTCTCGTCTTCCCATGGCATGCCCTCAAATTCTCTTCCAGGTCCTCTTCCCATTGCTCAACATATAACAAACTCTCCAATTTCCCAGAGTGGAAACAGATATTGTAGTTAAGGGTTATTAAGCCCTTCCTCTCACGCTCTTAAAGAAAGTGAGTTAATTCTCTGCTGTTTGCTGAATTCCTTCAGATTAAGCATAATTGCAGAGTTGTGTATATACAGAAAGTAATCTCTATTGTTGGGCATAGAGCCTTTATTTCTTATAACATAGGTATACCCACCCGCCCCTCCAAAGATACAAGTACCTCTAAATCGCTGTGTTTTCTAGTCCCCTAAAATTCCAAGACCTATTTTCTGGTGGAAACAGCTGGTTACATAAGACTGGGGTAAGTAGCAAGGACAGAGTCACTTTGTTATCCACTCACATGTAAAAGGGTGGCATGTCTGATTCCCTCAAACCACACACCAAGTTGACCCATCTCCTCTCATTTGCAGGTGTATGTTGCATGACTCTTCAGGCCAACTTTGCTGCGTAGTAATCCATTTCTGCACTCATGAAATTGATTACTACGCAGCAAAGAGATTGGGGAGCCCTAACCCATCTGCCATTTTAGGTCTGTTTAACATATTTCTGGCAAAGACAAATGAACTTGGGCTCCATTAGAAGTGCATTCTCCATGCCTGGTCAGAATATGTATAGCCTGGGTCCAGAATGTGAAACTATAGGGGCAGGAGAAGCCTCAGTCCTCGGCAGAGTGGTAAAAATTCGCTGAAACTGAACCTTTAAGCTCTTCGTATGCACTTGGCTATTCTGCCTTATAAATCTAAAGAAAAGTGATATTTGAAACTGTTCATGCAATCCTGTGGAGGCATAGTTCCAACTTCCATGAAGTAGTCGACTATGGTGGTAGTAAATTGTAGTGTCTGTCTCCTCTACAACAGTCCGAAGATTCTCCAGCCGATATCCATTACCTCGGCAGAGGGGTGAGGGCCTGCGATGGCTTGGCATGTTAATCTAAGTTCTCTGGCATGGTGCTACCATGCGTTGGGTTACCCTGTGGGAGACTGGTTTTAGTTTTGCCCCCTGTAAAATGCAAGCAGTTTGAAATGGTACCCCCATGCAAACAGAACAGGGAAGGTCGGCCTAGGACTTCCAAGCCCTGCACTTTTGTAATTGGAGAATGTAGTGGAGCTCCCTGTACCCCTGCCAAGGACCACTTCCTAGCTGGAATAGGGGAAAACCTCAGCGCTTCTGCCCCAGTCTGGGCATGTCTGTCCTGGAACAGATAGGGGAATAGCTCTATTCCCTCCCAGGGACAGGACGACACACAGTCCAGGGATCTCTAGTCCTTACAAGGACTTTCCCCGACTGAATCCTCCACGAGCTGGAACAAGGTGCTAAGCAGTGATTATAGCTCTTACACTCCCAGTAACTAAACGACACATAGCAACTAATTTTAATGAGCCAAACTTTTATGCACAGACCTCAGCATGGGGTCTCCATTGTATTCAGCACAAGCCCCTCCAAGCAATCTCTGGGCCTGGGAGATAATTGCATTAAAGCCCGGTAAGATAATCTTCCAGGAACAGAGAGCCAAACACAAAAATATAAAAACATAAAAGTACCCCATAACATAAAATAACCCCACAAATAATACATTCCCATATAGAGCTCCTGCAGCCGCAATATGAGGTGCACCGGCAGGCTCTCGGGTAGTGTTTTGTCCCCTTAGTCTCAGGCACCTTCCCTCCAAAAAGCGCTGTCCTAGCGCATTTCAAAGTGGTTCAAAACCGCAAACCAAATTGTCCAGGAACCGCACGGTCACCTCATGCCGAAAACTGTTTCATAACATTCGTGGCTAAGTCCCTCTGAGGTAACCAGGAACCCACAAAGTCCTCATGCTGAATTTAGTTTCATAGTGGTCCATACACCCCGGGAACTATTCGTGGGTTTAGTTCATGCGAACGGCCGCCAGAGAACCAGTGTTCGGTTCTATTCACATGAAGGGAAAGTGCCGAACCAGGGGCATCCAGGGAAAGCTACTAGTGGGGGCTGGGCAGGGGAACTCCCAAACGGTGTCCCAGACCTGGACCATAGTCGTTGGGCAGGAGGCCGGCTTCTACACTCCTCCAGGAGTCCGTGGCAAACTTACGTGGGAAGGAGCATTTGTCACAGAGATAAATCTTGGAAAATTGAGTGGCTTTCGCTTATAGGGCTTTATTTGCCTCAGCACCATTTCATGGTCGTATCTCTGGTATATTAATGATGAAACTTTACTATGACTTCTCAGGGCGGCTAACCTTCTCCTCTGTGCACTTGTAAATTCTCTTACTTAGCCTCTGGAATCTTTGTCAGCAGAGGTTGGAATGTGACCAGAATCAAGGGGCCTAGCAGTCCCTCTTGAGCGTTTTCTAGATGTTATTCTGCTGTGCGACTTGCCAAGCCTTCAAGGAGCATTTCTGCCTCAACCAACCTAGCATGGATATTGTTGGTGTGAGCAAGTGAGTTATTATGGGTGATCACCACTGCTTCCACTCTGACCTAAAAACTCAGCAGTGCAGGTTTACCAACCCCTGTATTTCTGCCTTGACTTCTGCAGCACTGAACTCTATTTCTACAGCCAAATAGGAGGGATCCACACTAATCTGATGTAACATTCAGGAGGTATAGTCCAAGTCCGAAAGAGCTCCAAACTCTGCACAACTGTGTGGGCTAGTTGAGGTGATGTCTTAGGAGGCCACTGGAGTTCGACAAGCAGCCTGAAAAATGTGGGCGACTTGTGGTTCTGAAGTGCCCTTGGTGCCTCGGCCCTGTCACTTTTGTCTTAATTAAGTGCTCTGTGTGTAGTGGCCCACAATTTAGTCCTGCTATGTAAAACGCCATTTTGTAGATACGGCAATGTCTTCATTGCAAGGCTAAACAGTGCTAGTGACTGGCACTAGAGGGTCCTTCAGCTATAACAGAGCCAGACTAATTTGTGACTTTCGATGTCCTCATAGATTGCCCAAGGACTGTGAACATCAAATGCATTTGATTGGGCGAGTGTGGCGTATTCTGTATATGTGCTCTCCGTCCTTAATGCTTTTACTCTTTGCCTCTATGAGAAGATGAAGAGGAGACCACTCCAGGAAGATGGTACTGGAGGTGAAGTTGGCAACTGAATGGAATGAGTCGCAGTACTGGAAAAAGTTTGGTAAAATGCTTGTGTTTTATTACATTTATGGGCGTTGGGGTGGGGGCAGTGAATCTAAACGGAGTAGAACATTATACGGTTAGGAATATGTTTGTATTCCTAATGCTATAGTGTTCCTTCTTAATCCGTCTATTCTTAAAATCTTAATCGTATGTATTCATAAAACATTATTCCCCAAGGTGTGAAGGAGTGTGGCTGTTTTAACAGTTGACAGAGCCATGTGAGTGGGCAATAAATGTTCCAGGCCCTTATTAAATCTCAGCCTGCTTTCCGGTACTGTTGAAGGTCTTGTCCTTTGCACAGTTAACTAATTAAATATTTCCATACTCGCATTGGGTGTGTAGGTACAGCTGTATTCACTCTGTATTGTCTTGTGATTTGGTCTGCAATATACTCAGCCATGGGTACAATGAGATCTAAGAACTGGAAATATTTCAAGAGAAACACATTTTTCAGAACTAAAATTTTTTGTTTCCAGCACATACATTACTATATAAGTATGACTGGCGACCAAAACAGTTTAAACAAAATTTTACCCATGATCTTTCAGCAAATTAAAATTGTGTTGATATACGTAGTTTAAGAGTTCCAATCTCTTGATACTTTTTTTTTTTTTTTTTTAAGTATCTATCTTGCATGGAATAAAAAAAAATTAAACATTTGAAAAATGTACGTGCCTCCCACTCCTCCCTTTTCAATTTTTTTTTTTAAATTGAGTATGGAATATGTTTTTACAATGATAAATGTTTGACATAGGGTACATATATTTAAAACTTTGAGGGGGCGGAGGTCGGGCGGCCATGCTAGCAGGCTGCAAATCACCACGGCTCCTGGGGAAATCAGCTAATATAGGGCAACAACCCACTAAACTCAGCCGGAAACGCCCTGGAAAAACGTGGCACAAGTTCCTGGAGTGTCCCGGTGCAGCTAGAGCACCTGAAATCGGGTGGATCTGGGGCTTGAGGACTGAGGCCTACCCGGGAGGGGCGCATACGGCCGCTGCCTCGCTCTCCATCCCGGCTACAGTGAACAAAAACGCAACTGGAGCCCTCCCTAGGCGACTTGGCGCCGACCGCCAATGACTGCCATGAGGCCTCAACAAAATGGCCGAACGTGATGCAACTACCCCACAGGCCACACTGATGCAGACCCTACACACCACGTAGCCATGAACAACCCTGGATTGCAAATGTGGTGGAGAGGAGGAGAAGGCAACCTACAACGCTACTGCCTATTCACACTGCAAGCTCAGTGCAAGTCCCAGGCGAGAGCACCTCACCTCAACCTCCTACCACCAAGATCGTGGGCCACCACTGGAGGAAACACCATCCACTTACAACAGCTCTGCTACACAGCTACCAGCACCTGGACGCTGTGGTCTGCACAACGCAACACCTATACTCACCCTACGACTGGGTAACACGACCATAGCGACCCTTGGATACTATACCCGGTTGCGGGCTTTAGGAAACCTAGTGGACTTTGGGTGCCAGTGGAGGAAACCTATCAACAGCATGCACAACGCAAGTAACACCAGCTGTCCTACCTCCCCACGAAGTCAAGGAAGGCACAAACCGCGAAACTCACCATTGACAGCCTCACCAAAGGACACTCTGGCAGCACTCACCGCTACACGGACATAACCGGTAGTAATGTCTCAGCCAAACCTGTAACACATAGCGGTCTTTAACACTCTGACTACCGCAGATGATGACCCAATGTGCCGTGCTCTGCCTGGTGGTACCTTTTCGTATCTTTATTTTGTAATACTCTACCATACCTTCACTGTATAATCGTCCTAGCTAAGCTATTTGCTAGTTATAAATGTCTGACCACATGTCTGTTTTTCACATAATTCTATTGACTACACACCCAGCCTCAGACTCCAGGCAATTCCCTAGTTTGTTAGGATGATCTAGCAATTCAGCATGCTAATAACCTGTGTCAGTCATGTCAATTACACTAATATCCTGATCTAACTAACACTACTCTGATGTTTCAACAACAACAAAAAAAAGTGCCGTTAATCTCATTGCTCCAAATGTTATGTCTGAAAATGTGCTTGAGGAATGCTATTGGGGCACCAAGAGCTTGTATGTTATTTTTCATTCACTCACAGCACGATTAAAAATAAAGAATAAAAAAAATAAAAAATAAAAGCTTTGAAAAAATATTTTAAAAAAGTGTATAAGGAGATTTTTATGAAAGACTTGTGAAACTTTGTGCAGTCTCAAATCTTTGCAGGCAAATGATGGAATAAAGACAGGCAAATGATGGAATACAATCCAAATACTAAAGGTTCTTTAGTAAACTAAAACTTCAAATTAAAAGTAGATTGGTGTCTTATTTGCAATTCACTTTAAATTTTCACTTTAGTGACTGTGCAAGAAAATATTGAAGATCCAATTCTCAGAAAGAAAAACCTGCATTTCTATCTCCAGGGAAGCTACACAGAGAGGGGGGGGGTCTCCATCTTGATTGTTGTTTCTGTCCCATTAGATAGGCCTTTAATTGAAAGGTACAGATTTAAATTCCATCTGAATTTTGAAAATTGAATTATATTTTACTTTTTAGTTTAAATTAATTGAATTGATACCTTGATTCCTATTAATGTTCTGCTTGATACAACTCCTCCACCAGCAATTGCTGCAAATGTGCAAATCTGATTGGATAATTAAGATTGGTCCCCCAGTCAGATTGTTCTCACAGGCAAGCACTGACCAATGCTCCTATGACAAAACTCACCTCAAGATAACTAGTGTTCTGGTACTAAAAGAGGAAGCTCTCCTGACTATCAGTTTGACAGTCGGCACTTTTATCATTTTGTTTTTATAGTCTTCTCTTGAAATAGGGATTTTAACAAAATGTCAAAGGGTGGACTCATAAACACATGTAAAGCTAAGTGCTGTATGGGTCTGGAGTGTCTCTTTATTGGAAATGAGTGCTTTCTCTCTGTTGAATCAGTAGGAGGGTTAACGGAGAGAAAATAATGTTCTTAGTTTTTATATGTTAAAGGGGAACTTCATTCCCCTAAAAGCACTTGTGCTTTATGTGTGAGGAGTGTCTTTTTGCTTTTCATTTTACACATTGGTAATCCTAACGCTTTAGAGCCCTGGTAGCCATTTAGGCCTAGACCTCAGCCATAGAGAGTAAAAAATATAGTCTGCCTTTTTCCTTTTCAGCACGGCCTCTGCTGCCACCCCACACCCTTGGCTGAAATCGAGATTGATGATCTGAGCCAATACAATGCTTTCGCATAGGAAAGCATTGGTAGGCTAATGTGCAAAATGTTTCACTGGGCCAATTAGATGGTCTCTATGAGACCATCAGCTTGAAATGGCAATAATTTGCCTCTAATGGTTGTCTACAGAACTCTGCTTGGCTTTTTTGTTTTCACTTGCAGGGTTAAAATGGGGCAGGTGGGAGATGGAAGTTGTATGGGTAAGTATAATGTCCCTTTAATGTTGAATGTAAGGACATTGCCAGGGGACTCCAGACACTATAACCACTTTAATGAGATGGAGATGTTAGAGTGCTTTCCTAATACTCCAACCAAGTACCAGTGCTTTCCTAATACTCCAACCAAGTACCAGTGCTTTCCTAATACTCCAACCAAGTACCAGTGCTTTCCTAATACTCCAACCAAGTACCAGTGCTTTCCTAATACTCCCACCAAGTACCAGTGCTTTCCTAATACTCCCACCAAGTACCAGTGCTTTCCTAATACTCCCACCAAGTACCAGTGCTTTCCTAATACTCCCACCAAGTACCAGTGCTTTCCTAATACTCCCACCAAGTACCAGTGCTTTCCTAATACTCCCACCAAGTACCAGTGCTTTCCTAATACCCCCTGACCAAGTACCAGTGCTTTCCTAATACTCCAACCAAATTCCAGTGCTTTCCTGAAACACTGGTGTTGGTTAGAGTAGCCTTTTATGAGGCGCTCACCCCCACGTCCCAACTATAAATAAACTAAACTTATTTTGGCTGAAGTCACTCCTCCAGACAAGGTGGGAGATCAGTGAGGAAGGACTGATGGGAGGAGTGATGGCATGAAGGGGGTCCTGTGCCACCATTGGCTGTCTAGCACCAGTATACGGTGTGTGTGCTGGCGCCAGATGCCAATTTTAAACAGAATCGATATTAGCAAGTCCTTTGTTTTGGGCTGGCTCATGACACTTCCAGACGTAGAGTTACTCTCTGTATGTCCATCGTTTCAAAGCAGAAAGCTGTACATAATCACTTTAAAGTTAAGGCTTCAGAGATGCCTCCAACACACTGGAAATTAATGTGTTGGACACACATACGGCGCTCAAGTGATTAAATGTAGTAGGAGCTTCGACTGGGGGAAAAAAAAAAAGTGGAAATGCAGAGGGATTAATCACTTGCATTTTTCCTCCTCATGTCACTGAATAGAGAGGCCATGTTTGAATAAGGTGAAATTGTACAGAAACCAACTCTCACAAACATACCTGCCTGCGTTCATACCCTTACCGACCGTTCATGGTTATACAAAATGTAATTGAAACACAAAATTCTGTGTCTATGCATTTGTGGTACAGGAATTTCATAGGCCTTGTCATAATAGGTTAAGACCTGAATTATTGATCCATGTCTATAAATATTTTATTTATATTTATTTTACTCTGGGTACCTTGCAGATGATACCCTAGGTGCTGTGTGTACACTGTTGTAGTTATATGTACAGGGACTTTTTTATCTTAATTATGTGGTTTTAGTGTATAGATAATGACCCTACAGTCTCCATGTTTAATTTTATGCCATTTAGGTGTTAAATCACTTTGTTTATACAGGCGTAGCAACAACCCATTACATGTGACTTACACAAACTTCTTAAACATTCTCTGTAAAGAGAGAACTAATGTTTACACTTCCTTTATTGCACAGAGTGTTTAATTTAGAATCTTATCTCCTGCTCTGTTAAATAGTCTTCTAGAGTCTGCAGGAACCACGTGTGTGTTTGACTAAAGTTCAATTTACAGAGCAGGAGATAAAAACTTCTAAAGTAAGTTCTGCAACCATTATTTCCATGAAAGCTGTGTCTGTTACAGCTAAGGGAGATGTTACTAGGGATGCACAAAATAAGTTATTTAACTCCTAAATGGCAGAGAATTAAGCATTGAGGTTGCATGGTCATGAGCTGTACACCAAAACCACTTCATTGAGCTAAAGTTGCTTTGGTGACTATAGTGTCCTTTTAAAGCAGCAAACACAATATCAATATCTGTAACTTTTTCCTTTTCTTTTCTTCTTCTTTTTTTTTTTTTTTTTTAATCCTAGGATCATCCTGTGTTCTCCCTGGCTATTTCTAGAAGAAACTAATGGCGTCATCGGCCACTGTGCCTATCGGGTTCCACTATGAAACACAATATGTCGTGCTCAGCTATTTGGGGTTCCACCCACAAGACCTTCTGTCAGGTGAGCCCCTCTCCATCAAGTCTAGTGAATAAGTCTTTTGTGAATATCTATTCAGCATGCTTTTATCACTTACCAGTCTCTGTTTTTACAGGATGTAACTGTTTAGTAAATGCTTATAGCAACCTTAAGAGGTTATAGTGAACCATTTACAAATTTTCACCTAATTGGGGACTTCATTTACATAATTATTCATCTGATTAAAGTGGAACTTTCTCATTGGCAATTCTAGTGCGCAGGGGCTGGGTCTCAGGGGCCTCTGTTTTCGTTCTTTGGTTTTTGAGCACCTTTGGTCACCATGTCCAGTATCACAGCATGTAGTGGTTATGCTTTGTAGACTGCCCATTTAAACTTAATATGCAACCAAAAATTACAAAAGTTTTTTTTTTTTTATGACAATCTTTATTTAAATTTTCCGTGTTTTACTTTTTTTCTTTTCTTTTTATTTTTCTCCTTTATTTTTCCTTTCTTATTTCTCTGTTGTTAAACTTATTTCACTGTGCGACATCAAATCAATGCACATAAAAAAGGCTCATGAGTGCTGTGATAATCGAATCATTAACAGTAGTAGGTAGATATACAGCCAGATTGTCCGAACCTTTGTTGTGTTTGTGGGTAGCAATCCCCCATCGATAAACATGTATCGGAGAGTGGAGAAGACAGTTGAGAATGGGGGGGAAGCAAGTGGAAGATTGGAGGGAGCAGAAAAGGTGGGAAATAGGAGACAAAAGTTAAAAAAAAAAAAAAAATAGAGGGAGGGGGGGAAATCTGGCACAAGCTCTGGTTGTCTTTGAGAGTCAGTAATTAGATTTGTCTGCATTTAAGTTTAAATCTATACTTTTCTGCTAAACCATTTTGGGTTTCTCTGTTGGCAGATGACCATTAATGTGAAATTAAAGATTGAACCAAGCTTTGAATGGTTTTTAAATTTTTTTATTTTTTTTTAAAGAAATGTGCATCTGGTATTTATGTGTGTTCCTCTGCATATGCATTATTGCATATTTTGTGCCTATAACTTGCTCCACTTCAATTAATCGATGTAGACCCAGTGTGGTTCTGCATTTTGCTAGCTATTGATGTTCCCCTGCTTCGTATGTTAAGAGAGCAAGGTAACATCTAACTTTACAGCAGTTAAGGGATTGCATGCGGTCTGTCCCTTCTGGTTTAGAGATACTGTGTTTACTTGAATCTACTACGCACTTCAATTTTTGAAACCGGGAGGCCAAAAAAACGTTTTCACTAGCGAAAGTTATAAGCATTTGTTCGAAAAGATACTGTACACAGAAACCAAGTCTCGCATCCCTGTCATAGCGATGCGAATTGCGCACTATGGAAAAAATACCGATATTTTAGTGGAAAAAGGTAAAGGACCGTTTCATAATACCATAGCCTACAGATGTTCAGTATTAAATTCAAAACAAATGTTGCACATATGATGGCTCAGCCAGCTATAGTCTGCATATTTTTTCTTTATGTGGTATTTTATATTTTTTGGGAAACCATGGCAATATGTATAGGTGATAGCAGGTACAAACAATATTAGTGTAAATATATGTGACTTTGAGTATCCCCACTGCCACCTCAAAAATAAAATAAATGTACACTTAATGCCAATTATTTCAGGCAGATGTCTTCGCAAAAACCTGCAGACTAGTGTCTGCTGTTTGGTAGCGACTCGTATAAACAAATATAACTTTTGGCCCACACAGCATGTTTCTGCCTCTTGTTACTAACCATAATATAGAACTTCTAGTGTTTCTTTAGCCAGTAACAAACAAGCCTTTCTGTGCGTAGCAAAGCACCCGGCCTGTGTTCCCCTGTGTTTTACGCGTGGCTTCTGATTCTGTCTGACAGGCTGTCGAGTGAAATCAGGCTGCGCATGAGGCCTTCCCAGCCTATCATCGAGCTATGTGCTCTCTGCCTCATTCTGAGCATTTTACCTTCTGTGAAATATGACAGTCTATGGCCACCTGCTGCAGCTACAATTTTAATCATCAGCTTGTTTGTATGTGAACACGTGTGATACATAGGAATGGCTGTAAAGGTCACTGGTGTTCAGTATATATGTGCAGCAAGCCAGATAGAAATTTACCTTTTGACAGTCTCTGCCAGGAAATAATTTATTCTATTATCTATTTTCCCCCCCTCTGCCTTGAATTTACATTCATTTTCTAGATCATCAGTGGTTTTTTTGGGGGGGGGCAGGAGGGGGCTTTCTATAGTGATCACTTTTAACAAAATATTGTATCGTTGCCCTTGTTAACAACATGTTGGATCTGTTCAGTGTTCTAGCAGAATCGCTCCGTGAGGTCAGTAGATATTAATGATTTAAGAATGGTTGCTCTGTCTCCTTTTCATCCGTGGGGTTCATATTTATAAAGATTTTTTGTATGTTTAGGGGAGTAAAACCTTACAGAACAAAAGCAAAATCTAGTTTGATGTCTTAATTTCAGAATTGCCTAAAAATCCCTTAATTTGTAATAACAAAAGAAAATGCCTTTCTTTTTACTGTGTTGAGAAACGTCACAGGTTTATTCACTTAGGGACACTTCACCGCCTATATTCTAAAAATAAAATCAGTATCACTAGTGCCACTGATTAGTTGATAGTGGTAAGCTAATGCTCTTAGCCCATCCGTTACTCCCCATTCACAAACCTGATTTGCAAAAGGTAAGTTTTTTTGCAAGCCAGTTTTGTGCATGGGCAGTTTATGATTGGCTGAAAGTGTCAGCTGACCGCTATCAGCTAATCAGCAGTGCCCCTGTCCAAAATCACTTTGCACTTCCTGAAACTGACATTTCAGAAGCAACAGGCCTACTAGGAGGGAGTTCAGTTCGGTGCTGGAAGCAACTTCGAATTAAACCCATTTAGGTAAGAGTGCACTTGGGGGCCTCATTGCACCATAACTATAGATGAATTGTTTTGGTGCCTGGAGTGTTCCTTTAAGCACCACTGGTCTAAAAAGTACCCGAATGAGTTTCTTATAATTGGAATCTTTTGTTGCAATTGTATGTTAATCTCCTGCTTATGTTAGCTCTTCTCTAATGAGTGTGCTATTGGGTAATTTACATAGGCACTTAATCCTAAATGCTCACAGGCTTTAGTATAACACAACATTTTCTACATGAACAAGGCAAGTTAAATGGCCACATGCATTGTTTACAAAAGAAGAGAAGTAGTTGTAGTTCAGCATTCTCTGGAGAATTACATTTCCTAAAATGTTTCACTTGCATTTGGACTTTCAAAAGCCTGGGGAGTATTAACTGGGGTTATAGTTTTCAATTAAGATATGCATAAATACACACTTTAGTTGTGCTGGTTATTATGTTGGTGAAAACCGCCTTTTCCATTTTATCCTATTATTTTTTAAATATATTTTAAGTTTCTTCAATTAAAACATAAATGGCAGTCCAAGTAGCAACCTCTGGCAGCAATACTCACTTGGGATTTTACTTGTGACTCTTTAAAGGTAATTTTGAAAGCTCATATAAAGTGCTTGGTATCTTCTGAGATCATTACTGAAGTCAGTCAGTCTCTCCCTGCTACTGCTATGTTCATGTGATACAATACAGATTAATTGATCTCCATTTTGCAGGTGCCCAGCACGCTGCAACACCTCCCGTAGCCAAAGAGCAGCTGGAAAAGATTAAGATAGAAATAGAGGAGGAGTTGAAACGGCTGGAGGATGAAATATTTGCTGGTAAGGTTGTTTTGCTTGTTTATTGTTTGTGGGGAAATTATTAGTTTTGTTTTTTACTCTTGTTGATCAAGCGAGCAGAGTGGACCTGTTTCAGCACTTATGTGAACACTATAGTCACCAGAAAAGTCACAGCTTGATGTAGTTCTTCTGGTGTCTACTGACTGTCTCTGCTGGATTTTTTTGCAGTAAACACTGCCTTTTCAGAAAAAAAAGCAGTGTTTACATTACTGCCTAGGACACCTCCAGTGGCAGTCACTCAGACGGCCACTAGAGCTGATTCCTGGGTCACTGCTGCACAACCTGGAGGTGCAGAATGTTCCCCATAGAGGATGATGTTGGAGATGCTGATTGGTGCAGCATTTTGCCACCCATGTGCGACAGCCTTCAAGGTGAGGAGGTCTGGCCACCTTAACAGAGATTTTAGTGCTATAGTGTCAGGAATACATGTTTGTATTTCTGGCACTGTAGTGTTCCTTTAAATAGGCTGGTGGTGAGATATAAATACCAGAAACCTTGGTCAGTGTCCTCTGTAGCTATGTTAACTTTAATAGCAGACCTGCAGGAACAGTTATGGAGGGTGCAAAACTCAGTGCTGTCCCAGCTCCTGTAGTTGGAGTGTGTGAGGCTGGACAGGAAGAGCCCCCTAGTAATCTTTCCCACAGGGAATGCATTTCAGGAGGAGCAGGGAAAGCTCTGTGATGCACATTATATAAGAGCTACAGCAGCCCTGATATAAATCTGAGGAGACTGACTGGTCTATAGAAGACACAGAAGTGTGAGCACTTGGCAAATAACCTTCAATATTCATGTGTACTAAATTCCCCTTTCCCCAAAATCTAAATAAACCATTTCCTTAGTCCTAGTTTAAGCACTCAAAGCCTAAACCTGAAAACAAAATCTTTACATTAATCCTATCTTTTACTCCTGTGTACCCAGATATTACATCTAACCCCACTGCAACTCTAAACCGAATAACCTGTATAATCTGTACACCAGAAATGTGCACATACACAAATCTGACTAAATGGTTTTTTTCATTATACTTACTTTATATACCTTTCTATTTGGGTTGGAGACCAGGGAGGTGCCCTAAAATGAGTGCATTCACGCACCATTTCTCAAAACCACATTAATACACTTGATGCTTGTGTCCTAGAAGAAGATTTACATGATATGTCTTAGAGAAAATATATATGGCATCCTAAATATGATTTTGCAATCAATTGTAATGTCATTCATGAGAGCATCATTTCATATTTTTTTTCTGTAGTTTTGTTGATGATATGCTTTTTATTTTATTTTTTATTTTATTTTTTTAGCCTTCCCCACAACTGGATTTGACATGCACACCTCCCCAGTCTTCAGCCCAGCCAGTCCTGAAATCTCAATTGAAGAATGCCTGTCTCAACTTTCTGAGAAATTGTGTCTAGAGATCCAGGAGCCACTGGATAAAGCCACGGAACAGCTCCTGAGTGTGTAGGTTTCCATGTGCTGTATGTGATGGCCTAGACCTAGAGGATGTACTGTAGGCACATCTATAAATATTCCGTATCCCAACAGCCACCCCGAAATTTTAAATACAATTAATAAGAATTTATAGTTATCCTTTCAAGGAATACTCCATTAAAATGCATATCCTCTTTCCCCCTTTTTTTTTAACAATGTTAACAATCGTAAATCTCCCCCCTCCCCCCCATATCCTCATTAAGCGTGCATGCATTGTTTAAAGCATGTTTTCTATCGGAGTATACAAAAGTATGCAGTAGCGGTAGCTTTTGCAAGCCCTCCCCTTTATCCCCAGCACATACTTTCAGTCATTCAAATGTGAGTGCATCTTTCCTATGCTTCTCAATGAGCTGTAATACAGCTTATTAAGAAGGGGGAAGGCAGGAGGGCATTAGGACACTTCAGCAAGCTGGAGTACTTTGTGTGTGGAGTGTTCCTGAATTAAAACAAGCACGGAAAGGGAAGTTCCCAGCTATTTCATTTATTATTACATGCAGAATAATTGAATAAGATGTTCAGAATGGCTGTAATCATTATTATTTTTTTTTTAAATCCATTTTCTAGTGCAGGGGTAGGCAACATTTTAGTAGTGCTGTGCCAAAACAAGGTCTTGAAGTCCCTTGACGTGCTGGTCCTATTTTGTTTTTTTAAATTTAAATTGAGGTGTGTGTTGCTGTATTCTGCTTGTTATTTATGGGTTCTGCAGTTTTTTTTTTAGTAGCATTGTATTTGTGGGGACTGTGTGTTTGGCTGTTTATATTATTTGTATGAGGGGTAGGCTTCTTTTACAGCTCTGTATATATCTAGCAGTGTGGTTGGCTTGCCTGGGGTCCTGAGTGGACTATGCTGGCCAGGTGCAGGTCAAGGGCAGGAGCTGGGATGACTGCTGTGAAGTGCTCCTGTACATATTCCCATTAACAAGTGCTGGGAGGAAGTGAACTGAGATCACGTCCTCTAAGTGCTGCAGTGTGTAAATTGAGGATTGTCCCTCACCACCTGCAATCTCTGCCATAGGTTGCCTTTCATCCCTGCTCTATAAGTAAGTAATCAACACATGTATCCTTTGATCTATCCAAACTGTGTGGTCCATTGCAATGAGTGTTAAGCATCCCTGATCTCCAGGTCAGTATTGGAACAAAGGGAAGAGAACATATACTGAAAGTTAGGAACCTAGAATTGTCCCATGACGCCTCTTGTTAGTAAGATATTTCACTGTTACTACATTCATGCATTTAGCTAAACCAGAAGTGCTGATTATTTGTTTCAGGCGTGTGTTTCTGTATACATCTACACATGTGTATATTTTATTAACTAATAAAATTCCTCACTAACAAGTAATGCTTGTTAGATCTGTTCTTGTTTGTTTGGTTGTCTCTAGTATAGGAGGGATTAGTTATATGAAACATTAGCTAAAAGTAGCATTGTTCTAGGTGGGCTCAATAAAATTGTCTTTTATTCTAACAGGAACTTAATATATGCTGTGTTCAAGATGGAAGTAGAGACTACTGCCGCATACACTACTGGCTGGAATAAGGTACCGGTATTTATTCACTACTCAGTAGCTTTCTCCTACTGTGATGTTGGTATCTCATGTTTATGAGCCTGCTTATGGTAATGCATCAAATTTAATTGACATTTTCAACATATAACATGTAGGCAGTTATCAATGGATCATTTTAATTTATTAAATTATAGTTTTATTATAGTTTTAATTGCTTCCCTTGGAGGGAGCAAATACCGAGTGAAACCCTAAAGAAGTTCATTTGTATGTTGTAAGTCAAAATGTCACATTTTATGTTTTATCATAATGCCAGTATGTTAGTCATTTACTGAACACTTAATGTGTTTTAATTTTTGCCATAGTTAATACTACTAACTACTATTGGGGGATTGCTCATTAAGTTTGCTTGGCAGGTGAAATTTTGTGTTGGCAACCAGTGCTAGGGTGGTATTAAGTGCAATAAAGTCTCAGCTGCAAACACTTCACACTATATGCAAAAGTTAAAAAGCATAAACCAAAATTTGTGCTGCGCTAGAAACCTTTAAAGTACAGAAAATACCATAAAATAAGTATTTATACAGAACTGTTTTCTTTGTTCCATAAAATACAACTTTTCTAAAAGTGTGTAAATATCACACATGTACAATACCTGTATTATTAAATGTTTCCTTATTCCTCTGTAATAAAAAAATAAACAAAGTACACAAATCCATAGTGCATACGGGTTTAAAAAGCTTTCTTTTCCCAATCCCCTAAATGGTGCTCTCACATCAGCCAGAGTCTGCTTGACCCGGCTCTAGGTTTCAACAGCTTCCAGGTAGAGGGCTGAATACACGGATCCTTATGTGGCAACTGCAGCAATAAAATAGGCTAAAAGGAGAAAAACAGAGCGGCTCCAATAGTGTTACACCTTTTTAATTCAAATCCACAGTGCTAAAATCAGAATTTTTTTGGGGGGCATAATGAAGATAAGGCCCACAAAAAGCACTTTTGGTACAAGTTCTGGTTCAGAGCTGCCGTTCAGAGAAAGGCTTTGTGACTCTGACCACGTGGAATAATAAATCTCTCCCCTTGTGATGCATTTCGCCCAATGGGCGTCATCCAACAACGGTTCTTTGCCTTCTCCTTATGAAAAGAGGGCTGCTCCTTTTTATTCCTCTGATTGGTTCTTGTACTCTGAACAATGCCCGCATATTGCATCTCCCCAAATTATAGCTATTAAGATTGTGTGTAATCTCATTAAGATGTCAGTCTTTCAAACAAAGACTGTGTCTATTTCAGCAATATTAGTAGGCTAACTGAATCGCTTAACAACCGAGGAATAGATGGATCAACCAACAAACATAAACAGTATGTCAGGAAAGCTGCATAACTAAAAAAAAAAATCTGAGGTTTTCATATGTATATAAATTCTCTTCAAACAGCACATGTATATCAATAATCCCCAAAATGAGATGTAAATTAATTTTTTTTTTTTTTTGAAGATTGAGATATGGATGTAGATTTATAAAATTTTGGTAATTTAGATTAGACTTAATCTGAACTGATTTAGGGGTTTAAGTAATCTACCTACCCCATAACCCCCCCCCCCACCCCCCCCCCTCAAATGGATTATTTATATATATATATTTATTTATATCATTCAACCAGATGTTTAACCAGAAAAGGTAGATTTAGCATTCACTAAATTTCCAAATATGTTCTGGAGCCTAGCTGTTATTATTGTACAGCATAATTGTACTATTTTATTTTTCATGTATTTTTTTTTTTTTTTTTGACCTCTGAATGGCTGAGCAAACCTTGCCCCTCAACATTTGTATTGCATTTGGGGCTGTAACCACTATCTCATTCACCTAAGTTTTACCAATGCAGTGTTCTACTTCCTCGCTGCACACATTCTGGTGTTCCAGTGAAGTAAAATAATTGGGCCCATCCTTTCCCTCTAGGTCTACATGCATTCTCTGCTTTCAACTTGATTCATTTGATTCATCTGTCCTGCGGGAAGTAGGGTGCATGCAGGTGTTTCTCTTATTAATCACCATTTCCATTTAACTATAACATTGAAAAAGTGAGGTAATGACTATGGGAGTCTGAATTTTGTCCACATAGGCTAAAGTTTTGAAAAGTGTATTTGCATTTCTCATTATTACTGATTGCAAATCTAGTTGAAACTGTCATTGTTACTGAATGAGCAGAATTTAGTCAGTACCATTCGTCCATTTTCACATGCAAATGATAGATAAAATATAGCATTGGCTTATTTACCCAACACCAGTTGTATACCAGATTTCTACTAAATCTTGCCTAGAAGCATGCAAATCTGTTAAAGAAATCCACTTTCTATTTGACAAGTATTTAAGTCTGGACTTTTTACCTGTTGCAGCACTAGCAGCCAGCAGGCTAATACTTGCAAAAAACCTTGACAGTTCAAAGGTTAAATGTGTGGCTGCTGGCTAATTCCTACTAACCAGCCACCAAAGAAAAACTGGGAGGAGAGATATGGGGTCATTAAATCCTTCCTGTACTCCCATCTGATGGCTGCTCACCCATTTCCCTGAGTAATATCTTGGTGTTTTCATTTAACGGAATAAGGGGGGGACCTGTGTCTGCCCAGTAGTTAAGAGATTAAATGGTCACAAAACACTACTAAAAGTACAGGGGGAGGAGGGAACAGCACCATGCTTTACCTTTAGAATAGTATTTCACAGGTGATGAATTATAATCCTTGAACATTAGAATAAACACCGTTGACACCTACAGGTGTACCTAATGCTATTATAAGAGAACCTCCTATTAGACCTCCTAAAAAAACAGCCATTCTACAACAGTACAAAACATTTCAGTAGAGACTATATTTTTTTAAACTTTTTAGAATTCTAGGTTTTGTGCTCCTTTTACAAAGTTATGCATCTTTGCATTAACTGTATATGGCAGCACTGCCATCAAATACATCTTTGTGAAGCCCACAAGTACTGGTGTAACACGGACCTGTTAGAATTATTGAGGCTGGATTTTTCTGGCATTTGGCAGCTGTGCTCTGCAGTGTCCTTGTATCCTTGATGTTGAGCTTTGCCCAGTGACCGCTGTTCTTTATAACCGTGCAGTGCATATTTGTGGTGAATGCTTTCATTTCTAACACTCTTCCTTTTTCTTGTAATCAATAGACCTGTGCTTTTGTTTCTAACAAATTGGCCTCCTTGAACATCTGCTTTTAAAATGGACACATGCAACTAATTGTCTCTCCACTGCTCCTGACATCATCCGGGAGGCGGGAGTTCTCCCTAACTGTTTCACTGAATATTGCCTAGTGTACTGTACGCACAAAAATAAAGGCTTCTAAATCCTCCCCCAGAGTTATAATCACACATCTATTAAGAAAATTAATCTTGAAACCTTTATAAATGATCTTTAGAAGCTCCAATGGCACAGATAGTCTAATCCCAGATCTAGACTGTGAATTTACAGATTTTTTTCAGTCTGAGTTCTTGCAAATGTGGTATATACATGAACTGCTGTGTAAAGTGCGAGTAAAAGGGAACATCTGTCTGGGGTTACAGCTGACCTCATTCAAATGTATCAGTGTAGAGATTCATTGTGGTCAAAGTTCAAACTTACCGGCTCAATTAACGATTACTGTATCTACAGACAATCCCGAAATGCATGCATAAAACAAAAATGGCAAAGGCCCAATGTTTTCAATAACATATTAAACCCAAAAAACGTCTGGGAAATCATAAGTAACATACAAACCTCCACTGTCAAAATGGACAACCAAACCATAGTACACCCCCTAGATATAGCTATTGCCTTAATAATTATTTTGTCGGATGTGCCACCAACTTGATTGCTAAGCTAACTGAAATTACCAAAACAGATAAGGCTCAACTAAATTTGCAAAGACCTCATTTAGAGAAACTCCGTTTTAGTTGTGTGTCTGTTAGCATCATAAATAAACACCTTAGTTATCTAAAAACCAAAAAACAATGTGGACCTGATCAAATCCCGGCAATATTGCTGAAGCTCACTGCACCGGTAATTGCCAAACCAGTCACAAATTTAATCAATGAATCCTTGGTGACTAGATACATACCCAAACTTTGGAAGGCTTCAAGAGTAGTACCATAAATGTGGTGACGACACTTTGATATCCAACTAACGACTGATATAATTGCTCCCTGTATTGTCAAAAATCTTGAAAAAAATGTGTTGACATGCAACTATGTGAGTATTATCAACAATCAAGCTATTTAACCCCTGATCAAGCAGGCTTTCGTCCAAATCACTCAACTACAACTGCACTCTTAAAAGTTTGCAACAACATCCAGACTGGCATGGAACAAGGAGACCTAACTGGAGCTATTTTCCTTGAATTTGTCAAAACCTTTTGACCCAGTAGACCACAGCATTTTATTGCAAAAACTTAAACTCTGGTATTGGTCATTATCTGCTAACCTGATTTAAGTCGTATGTATTGGATCGCAATATGTGTCCATTTCTGACAGCTCCTCCCTCTCCCGGTCACGTGTGGTGTTCCCCAAGGCACCATACTCTGCCCCCTATTATTCACATTATTAATATATGATCTGCCTAACGTCTGCAAAGCCTCCACTGTACACATATATGCAGACAACACCGTACGCTATGCTAGCAAACCAAATTTACTGCAGCTTGAGGCTGTGCTCCAAGACCAGTTCACAGATGTAGAAAAGTGGATTGCGGATAACAAACTTTTCTTAAACACTGTCACAGTGATCTTTGCATAAAATATTCACAGCTGTGCATCAAAAAAAAATCAAATAGTACACTGACCACAGTTCGTTCTTTCAAAAATCTAGGTATGTTGTTAGACCCCAATCTATCTTTTGACCTCCACATAGAAAAACTCTCATCAAAACTTTATCCAAAACTTGGTACCCTGTACAGAAACAAATCCTGAATATGCCCCACGGTAAGAAAACAGATTGAGCAACAAATGCTCATGCCGGACTTTGAATGTGGGGATGTAGTGTATGCACCTGCGCCGCAAACCCAACTTCATAAACTTACAATGTTGTATAACTTATTCTCCCACTTTCTACCAGAATGTAATTACATGATCCACAATTGTGACATGTTAAAAAGCTAAACAGGCTATCGCTGAAATCCAGTCGCACCCTCCATCTTTCCAGCCTTGCGTTTAAGAGCCTTTTTTGGGATGCTCCCACTCTGCCGCAGTTGAATGCTCTTCCCAGCTGTTCCCACCTCCTATAACCTTCGATCCAGTACCAGCACTTTATGTAGTATGCCGCATTATGAAAAGAAAGTAGCTCGATCTTCATTTTCCTACAGAGCACCGCAATTATGGAATAGCCTTACAGACACAATTAAATCTTCATCCACACTAAAATTCTCTGTCAACATATCTCCGTACAGAATGCACCTGTAATCATGGTAAATTATATTTCTGAAACCAGGGGGCTTTACTCACCTGAACATGCATAAATGGGGTGCTGTTGGGGGCCAATCTACACTATACACACGATCCAGCGCACTCCCTTATCCACTAAACAGCAACTTCAATGCTGACCGATTTTATTTTTTAAAAATCCTAATAGAGACAAAAATAATGGTGATTTAGCTACATTATATGATCATACATTGCATAAGCCTGCCACAACGTCAATGTACCCCATCTTTGGCAGGTCCTACTCTAACAGGCTAATTTCTGCTCTTATTAGATTAACCCACTTACCTGGGGGAAAACAATTCCATCTGGGGCTCTCTGCAGTACAAGGCTAAATAGGACCATGGAATGAGGCACCTGTGACCGGTGGGGTGCAAAACCAAGGAGATTGCTTGACTCATATAATATTATATGATATATGATATCATATCCGGGGTTTAAACATGCATAAATGGGGTGCTGTTGACGTTGTAGCAGGCTTGTGCAATATATGATCATATAATGTAACTAAACCCCTGTTATTTTTGCCTAGATTAGGTGTTTTTTAAAAAAAAATAATAATTATGAAATCTGTCAACATTGAAGTTGCTGTTTAGTGGATAAGTGAGTGCGCTGGATTTTGTTAATTATATTTCTTGTTCTGTGTTAAATTTGTGTATTTTAATATTACGTTGTATTTTTAATATTCTACAGTACCCTATGCAATGTTTGAGGGCCCAAGACATACTTAAAAACCAATGAAATCTCAAAGTATTTTCCCTTTAAAATATTTTCTAAATAAATATAAAGTGACTCACCTGGGCAGTCAACCAAATTCACGTCCTAAGTTAAAGGCCTTCAATGACTCTTTAATCCTCCTACCCCATGCTACTTTCTCACTTCTGCCAATTCGTTGTACCACATTATACAACTTCTTGTATCACCTGCTCTCAATCTGCCAGTCGCTGCACCCTGTCATACAACTTCTTGTCACGCACACTCAATCACTGATTTAGCCATTATCTGTACCATCAATCCGCCACACGTTCCCCCCAATGTTTATCCCTAAAGCTGTTGTTTGAAGGTCTGTGCTCTTGATGTGGATGCACTTTTACAATGGTTTATAATTTTTTATCACTGTGATCAGTATTGTTCATGTTTCTAAATAGAATAGTTTTCTACTCTCCTGCTGCAGGTGCTGGTACCACTTGTGCTCTTGCAGAGACTTCTTCTGGAGCTCACGAGACGGGGGGAGCAAACCTTGGAGGTCCTTGTACAACTTGGGGTGCGATACATTGAAGAAATATCTTCAGACTATATTATCCAGCAAGGAGGATGGGTAAGTTCTTGATACCAAAACAACTTTAGCTTAAGTGAGTGGTTAATGTGTATAGATCATGCCCTTGCAGTCTCGCACTTCCTGTAAAGAGAGATCTAATGTTTAAACTTTCTTTATTGTAAATTCTGTTTAATTTAGAAATTCTTATCTCCTGCTCTGTTAACAGTCTTCTAGACCCCGCAGGTGCTTCCTGTGTGTGATTAAAGTTTACAGAGTATGAGATAAAAACTTCTAAAGGAAGTTAACATCTGATTGAAAATGAGACCATTGTTTTCATGCAGGCTCTGTCAGTCATTGCCAGGAGAGGTGTGGCAATGACAGAAACAAAAGTGATTTATCTCCTAAATGGCAGTGAATTGAGCAGTGAGACTGCACTAAAATTTCTTCATTAAACTAAATTTAATTTGTCGTCTATGGAGCACCATTAACTTTTACCTCTTTCATGCTGTCATACAGTTATTACAAAAAAAAAAAACTTGTTATTATTCTTTGTGTTTACTTTAGTTTTGTAAATAATAGTGCTTCAACATGGCAAAATAAATGTCTGGTTCCCTGTGCCGATGTGTCAGATTATCAGCATTGCAGACATATCTCAAGTGCTCTTTAAATTTATAAAGAAAGAGTAATAAAGCCACTCCCTCTTAGACGTTACTGTCCTTATCACAGAGCTTTAATTATAGGCATGCCAACACACCGCTAGCCAAAAGGAATTTGTTAAACATACTTTGAGCTCAGACTGTGTGCACACTGCCAGCTTCACCTTCATCTATCCCAGATTACAGGCAGGGATTAGAGGAGCCATTCTATCAAGCTGGTTGCCACTGCACAGATTGTAAAGTCGCTCACCGAAAACCTCAGATGAGAGGGGGTTATTTTTTTATGGATTAAGCTGTGCATGTTTCAGTCCAGTACAGCTGTCACATGTAGAAAACTCTGATCCATCCTATTCACCTCTGGACTGTTACTGCTAGCTGTTTTGAGCGTTTTAATAATCCCTTATTTTCCCCCCTTGCAGGCCAGGCCCTGCTTTGCATGTATGTTATTAAATATTAACTTGTTTTAGGCCAGTGACTGCTCAGCTGTTTGTTCAGTTTTTTTGAAAACCTAATTTTGTGGCAGGGATACTTTCAGGCTCGGAGATAGTTAAAGAACACTATAGTGTCAGGAATACAAACCTGTATTCTGTAACAACAGTGCTGAAGTGGCTGTTTAGTGGACTGGCGCTCCTCTATGCAGTAAAAATGTGATTTTCCTCACCTTTTTTTTTTCCTCATGCCATGCCGGTCTCGCAGCGGCTGGCTCTGCCTCCATGGCTGAGATCATGAATGTTGATGATCTGAGCCAATCTATGTGAAAGCATTGGGAGGCTACTTTGCATACGCAGCAAAATGAGCGCTCCACCAATCCGCATCTCCTTATAGAGATGCAGGGAGTCAATGTATCTCTATGGAGAACAATCAGCACCTCCATGGAGACATGAAACACCAGTGTTGCACACTGTGCAGAACTGGACTAGAAAGCACCTCTAGTGGCCATCTGCGTGGCTGCCACAAGAGGTGTTACTAGCCAGTAATCTAAACACTGTTTGTTTTTTTTCTCTCTGAAAAGGCGTGTTCAGAGTGACACCAGAACAACTACATTAAGCGGATAGTGGTTCAGGTGACTATAGTCGCCAAAAAGCCTCTTCTTTTTATATTTGTGTGCCTTGTAAAACTGGCAGAATATAGTATAACTTGATTTATTAAGGATACAACATCATTCCTATTTTGGAACAAGGTAGAATAATTGAACTCTCTATGAATTTAATTAGCTATAGTCACACCACCGGCTTTAAAAAAAAAAAAAAAAAAAAGTAAAATAAAAAAAGGAGTGCATAGTGCTCTTACAGCCTTAATGCTCCAGAGCAACAACAGGGGAGATCTAGTCCACAACACCCGCAGTGCTGAAACTTGGTCTAGAACTCTAGACCAAGGTTGCCTAAAATGTAGATCCACATATGTTTTCCATGATTTGCTATTGTAAAGAACCATGGCATTTGTAATTCTGCAACGTTTGGGAAGCTGCAGTTTGAGCTTTCCTGGTCTAGACTTATTTGCATGTTGTGGGAATATAACTTCCATAACCCTGTTGGACCTTTTTATGAGCCTGAGAAATCAAAAACAGCCGTAACACGACAGTTACTTTGGATTGACTGATTAATTCCTAATGTTGGCACTGTGTTCATTAAAATATAAAACAAAACACGATATTTAACATTTCTTCAGCAATCTTTCATACAGCAGTTCTGACAGTGTTTTCAAATGCAGCCTGTTTTAGCAACCAGCAGGCTAATGTGTCGCATTGTTTATGTAACAAGATTAACTCTACCTGTGCATAAGAAAATCTTTTCATGTGAAGTGGGAATGCCTGTTTGAGGACTCATAAGTAGTGATGTGCCGAACGGTTCGCCGCGGACGGCAAACATATGCGCTGTTCGGTCCGCCCCCTATTCGTCATCATTGAGTAAACTTTGACCCTGTACCTCACAGTCAGCAGACACATTCCAGCCAATCAGCAGCAGACCCTCCCTCCCAGACCCTCCCTCCTCCTGGACAGCTCACTAAGAATGCAGCTTCACAATGAATGTAAAATGGATGCTGTCCAGGAGGTGGGAGAGTCTGGGAGGGAGGGTCTGTTGCTGATTGGCTGGAATGTGTCTGCTGACTGTGAGGTACAGGGTCAAAGTTTACTCAATGATGACATAGGGGGGCGGACCAAACAGCGCATATGTTTGCCGTCCGTGGCGAACCATTCGGGACATCACTACTCATAAGTATAAAAACGTGGAACTTCATGTTAACATTTTTTCACCGAGCCACGCTTTTCTACTGGATCTGATGCAATGTGCAAAGATTTGTCAATGCAATTAATATATATGTAGAAAATTTTCAATCCCCAGTTTTTTATTGGAGAAAACATGCCCTGAGAATGTAAATCAAAGAAAATAAATGGAAAACTCCTGAACATGGAAATACCTGAATCCTTTATGTCAACTATGCTTTTTATCTGTCTCGTCTCTGAGTCACATGGCCTCGGCCTAAAATTAATCGTATCCAAAGACAACAAATTGAGCTTTAAATGCTAAAATAATAAGTTCTGAGCAGTGTAGGTACACTAACCACTAGATAAAAATATGGTGGCTATGGTGCCCTTAGGCTGTGGTTGACGATTCAAAGTCAAACAGAAAAAGCTTTTAAAGCGTCCAACCTAGAGTTTTGGTTAAACTATAAATGCTTCAGCAGCACTGGGCCACGTACAGGACAAAAATACCACACATCCATCTTATTGGTTAAAATACATATTTTATTAAACATGAAGTATTACATTGGAACACAATGTGTAGATGGGACCCCAAAGGAAGAAGATTCTAATGCAGTTTGTGCCGTACAAGGCACTTGCTTAGAGTTTAGTTAGCCTCCCAGCTTGACTAAGAACTGCAGGTCGGCGCTCACAGCCTAATGGTACCATAACCAGTACATTAACTATTAGTGCCCTGAGTGTTTCTTTAAGGCTCTCAGTTAGTGTAGAAACACTGTTTCTAATTCTTTAAATGTAGGAGCATCACTCATGTGTGTCTGTTTCCCTTGTTTATAAGTAGTTATAGCCCAACATGGGATCTAGCCTCACTCTCTTTTTACAAACATTGCGTTCTGGGTGAGCATGATTAAAAATTAACATATGAGAAACCCCATATACTAAAATATTACAGGATTGTGGGGTTTTCAAATCCTATTCCAAAGGGGATTTTATAGATGCAGACTAGTTTGGGAGCTACAGATATAAATGTGGAAGTTGTTTTTTTTTTCTCCTCCTCCAATTTCATTACACCTTCTGTAGTATTTGTTGCTGATTTTTCAGTTCGTGTTTACTGAAGTAGCAAGCTCCTGCAAGATGGTGTAAGTTGCCATTATCTATTGATTGATCTACTCATTGTTGTGCTTTTTCATCCTGGCCCTTGCCAACCCTTGCTCTCTGACTTCACATATCCAAATGCTGCATTTTCCCAGCACTGTTTTGGCATCAGACGCCTGTTTGCCCTGCAGCTCAGTTAGAGCATAAACAAATCTGGGTCGCTCTGCTCGTACACATTCTGTGCTCGTGCCTGACTCCGTACATTCGGCTACTCCTGGGTGTAGTGCAGCTGTATTCAGCTTCCTACTCTTCTCTGGACACTGCAGCAGACCAGCTGCCACATCTGGTAAGAGCAAGCTTATTGCTGACCTTCATCTGTACTACTTCAAATGGTGGTGTAATGTTAAGGATTTTTTATTTGTTGTCTAAAATTTTGTATTCTGTGTTCTGTAACCTGCTTGACGTTGATGTTAGTGAGATAACACTTTGACAGCCCCTATACTCATCAGTGTAGGTTGTTACAGATTCTTCTTAACCAGCACGAGCAAAAAAAAATAAATGTTTCCCAGTCATTTAACCCCTCGGTTGAAGAAAGGCTGTCTGCGTTATGTCGGCCCTACATTTACTATTTTTAGAAATGCTTGTTCTTTCTCCATGTGTTTGTTTTTGCAACATGTCATGTATTTCAGAAAAATCTTAACTTTATTAGTCCTGTAAAAGAAAATTAGTGACTCCCTGCAAATTGTTTCATCATTTTAGTGAATTTGTAAAAGGCAGCATTGGGCATTTGATTGGCTAAAGGACATAATTTTGTTCTTCTTTTATTAATCTCTTCAACATCTGGGATCAGTCATTTCCAACTATAACTATAGAGGTATTCCTGCTGAGTTGCAGTAATAGGCTTATGAACTATTACATTAGTTGCATATATATACACATAATTAAACGGACTAACAAATCTAAAGTTTGGATTTACTTCTTTAAACTCTAAAATGAATGGCAGACTACACAGGGTGTCTATACATCTTAGTACAGGGTATATGAATATTTAGTAAACACCTTTCAATGTTTTACCTTTGTTTATCTCATAAATCCTGTAACTGCATCTAGCTGGACTCCCCTCCCCCCATTGTTTAGGATATTTTACTAAAAGTGGCATCTGACAACCCAATGACATACAAGTGTACCACAAGGATGCTTTATGGCAGGGGTGCTATATAACACTTAATTTTAGCATTATGTCAATATTACAGTATATACTTTGCATTATGCGGTTTTCACCTATACACGCTGAGAAAAGTGATAGCCATAATTAATGGCTAACATAAGGTAGAGGTTGGCTGATAATGAGAGATATAATTGGAAAAACTGCTGTTCCCATTGTCACTGAAAAATAGTTAAGTATAGCAAAACAATAAATAATCAAAGTGAATTCAAGGTAACATTCAAATTTAAGTCAAAAGTAGCCAAAGTGTGGAGGCACATCTGACTCAGAGAACTTTCCAAATTGGCTATTTTGGCCTTAAATTTAAAATTCACTTTGAATTTTCACTTAAGTAAATAACCCTGTTGGTAGAATGTACACAACAGGCAGCTATAGGTTAACTGGCACATAACAACATTCCCACAGGTTGTTAATCCTTTGATTGCTATCCATGGGCAGGAATTTGTCTATTTCTTTTTAAATAATTTTGGAGATCCCAAAACTGTTAGGCTAGTGGCCATCACCCACGAAGCTCCTGGCTGTTAAGGACAGGGTTATTTACAGTTTGCCCCTCTATTTCATTTATTGTATTGCCTCAGGGTAATTTTGGTCTACAAGAAGCTTTGCAGAACTGTTCTCTGTAGCCCATTGCACCATGTTATCCTGAATGTAAGATGTTCTGTGCCACACATGATCACATTACTTTGTGCTAACCGCGAAGATATCAACCCAACTTCTTACATTATGGACAAGGACTCAAAATGCGCTGGTACTAGGTTCAGTTGCTGTGTATAGTTGGGAGATGTTTAACCTTTTAAAAATCAGATGTGTTTAGATTTCTGGCACTTATTTGGTAGTCCGTTTCTGAACTACCAGTGTCTATATTCACTTAAGCTTTTGGCAGTTTTATTTTATTTAGGCACATTCTTCTTCCTAAAATACATTGCAGACTATTTCTCTGCTGTATTGTGGTGTTCTTGCTTTGTGTGTGAGTTAATTTGTTTATTTCTATATAAGTATTTATATCATGTATCCAATGCTCTTTTATTTCTGTCTATTTAAAATAAAATGCGCTTGTATCCAGTTTTTGCTTAGTCCTCTCTGTCCTTGTGTAGGCTGCAATTCTATGTTAATCCAGTTTCGTTTAGTTTTTTTTAATCTAGACCATTATTGGACTCAGCCTGCATATAAAGTTGTGCTTTCTCTATGGCACTCAGAAGCCTGTTGTGTTGACAAGACAAATAATTGATAAAAGGTCATTAACTATCTCAATATAGCTAAAGTGCGCACACCAGAAAGCTCTTCTTACAAAACACCCATGCACCCACCAAAACGATGCTTCATAAGAAGTGTAAAGTATTTCACATCTCCTCAAATATTTAAATGATTTCTGTATTCAGTGAATATTGAGGTGTTATGATGGTTACATTTTTAAAGTGTGTCAGATATACATGTGATGCAAGGAAATGCATTGTTATAAACCAGTCGTAAAGCCCACGCCTTACTTGTTCTTTTTAAATGCATAAAGGAGAAATGTAAGCTGTTTGAACTCAGTTCATCAAGCTCATGGAGATTATTTCCTGGCTGACCACTGTAGGAGTTGTATTTAATCAGTCTAAGGGCCCCACTTGGAATACTGGTATTGAGATGCACTAAAGTAGACTATGAAGCTTGCACTGGGCAAATTGAGAGGCAATTGAAAAGAGAAAAGAAAGCTCTGTGAGGAAATTCCTCCCACATCTGCTCTTTTCAGCTCTCACAAAACCGCCGGGACCTGATCCTACCCACCTCATCACTTCTGCTCAACTGCTCAGCTAATGCTTGCACGGTCATGCCATTTTTTTTTTCCAGGGAGAGGAAACTGCTTTGGTACAAACCATTCTAGTGCAGTTTTTTTGTGTCCCCTCTAACATGGAAACGTTTCATGGTCAGTCTCACGCACCAAATATTCTCATAGTGGGCCTGTGTGTGTATGTGTGTATATATATATATATATATATATATATATATATATATATATATATATATATTAGATATACAGTATCTCACAAGAGTGAGTACACCCTCACATTTTTGTAAATATTTTATTATATCTTTTCATGTGACAACACTGAAGAAATGACACTCTGCTACAATGTAAAGTAGTAAGTGTACAGCCTGTATAACAGTGTAAATTTGCTGTCCCCTCAAAATAACTCAACACACAGCCATCAATGTCTAAAACGTTGGCAACAAAAGTAAGTACAGCCCTAAGTGGAAATGTCCAAATTGGGCCCAAAGTGTCAATATTTTATGTGGCTACCATTTTCCCTCCCCGGTGTCATGTGACTCGTTGGTGTTACAAGATCTTAGGTGTGAATGGGGAGCAGGTGTGTTAAATTTGGTGTTATCGCTTTCACACTCTCTCATACTGGTCACTGGAAGTTCAACATGGCACCTCATGGCAAAGAAATCTCAGAGTATCTGAAAAAAAGAATTATTGCTTCACATGAAGATGGCCTAGGCTATAAGAAGATTGCCAAGACCCTGAAACTGGGCTGCAGCAAGATCGTACAGCGGTTTCACAGGACAGGTTCCACTCAGAACAGGCCTCGCCATGGTCAACCAAAGAAGTTGAGTGCACATGCTCAGCGTCATATTCAGAGGTCGTCTTTGGGAAATAGACGTATGTGTGCTGCCAGCATTGCTGCAGAGGTTGAAGGGGTGGCGGGTCAGCCTGTCATTGCTCAGACCATACACTGCATCAAATTGGTCTGCATGGCTGTTGTCCCAGAAGGAAGCCTCTTCTAAAGATGATGCACAAGAAAGCCTGCAAACAGTTTGCTGAAGACAAGCAGACTAAGGACATGGATTACTAGAACCATGTCCTCTGGTCCGATGAGACCAAGATATACTTATTTGGTTCAGATGGTGTCAAGCGTGTGTGACGGCAACCAGGTGAGGAGTACAAAGACGTGTGTCTTCCCTACAGTTAAGCATGGTGGTGGGAGTGTCATGGTCTGGGTCCACCATGCTGCAGCCCAGTTTCAGGGTCTTTGCAATCTTCTTTTATAACACCAAATTGAACACACCTGCTCCCCATTCACACCTGAGATTTTGTAACATCGAGTCACATGACACGGGGCAGGGAAAATGGTAGCCACCAAAAATATTGACACTTTTGGCCCAATTTGGACATTTCCACTTAAGGGTATACTCACTTTTGTTGCCAACGGTTTAGACATTAATGGCTGTGTGTTATTTTGAGTGGACAGCAAATTTGCACTGTTATACAGGCTGCACACTTACTACTCTTTTTGTGAGATACTCTTTGTGTATATTTATAATATAATGTTAAACAAAAATCTGCACACCAGTCAAGTCATAAGACTTGCTTTTTCCACAGAAATCCTAAATTTGCAGGGATGTTACTACCACAAAGGATTCTGGGTGGACATTTGCAAATTAGTTTAATAAAGAATCACATTTTGCCTCATTCCATTTTAAACATGGATTCCTTTGAGTCTGTGTTTGCTGTACACAACAGCTTTGAAACAACTTAGGAAAAGATGCAAAGCCAGTGAACTGCTCGTGGACAGCTGTTTCATTGTTAATGCAAATCATCAGCATGAGGTTTGTTACTGGCTTTGCAATTGAAGCTTGGTAGTGCTTGGGAAGCAAAAACCAAAAAGGTTATGGTGAGGAAAGAATTGTGATTGAAAACCCCTTCCACCTAAAGTCTGTGGATAGTTAATACAATGTTAAACAAAAATCTGCACACCAGTCAAGCCATAAGATCGATCTCTCTCTCTCTCAATGCAACACTGATTTTGTATCTTTTTTTTTTTTTTTTCCTTTAAAGGACCACTCTAGGCACCTAGACCACTTCAGCTTAATGAAGTGGTCTGGGTGCCTGGTCCAGCTAGGGTTAACCCATTTTTTTTATAAACATAGCAGTTTCAGAGAAACTGCTATGTTTATTAATGGGTTAAGCCTTCCCCCTAATCCTCTAGTGGCTGTCTCATTGACAGCCACTAGAGGCGCTTGCGTGCTTCTCACTGTGATTTTCACAGTGAGAGCACGCAAGCGTCCATAGGAAAGCATTGTAAATGCTTTCCTATGTGACCGGCTGAATGCGCGCGCAGCTCTTGCCGCGCGTGCGCATTCAGCCGGCGGGGCGGAACAGAGGAGGATCGGAGGAGGAGAGCTCTCTGCCTAGCGCTGGAAAAAGGTACGTTTTTACCCCTTTCCCCCTTCCAGAGCTGGGCGGGAGTGGGACCCTGAGGGTGGAGGCACCCTCAGGGCACTATAGTGCCAGGAAAACGAGTATGTTTTCCTGGCACTATAGTGGTCCTTTAAGCTTCTCCAATATTTCTCGTAACTATTAATATGTGAAAAAATAATTAATTGTAAGTCTTCCTGCTGTTTTGCTGACATTCAGTTTTTTTTTACTTTGGTTTAAAAGGCTTTGTTAAAAGCTGTTGCTAAAGTGATAGTCCATGACAGCTGGATGTAAATCCTCACTGCTTACTTTCATATAATAATCTGCCAGGGAAATTATGGTGATTTAGAAGTCAATCTAAGTCAATCTTTTCCTTGCATTATAAGTCAGTCTAAAGCTAAGCACAAAAACAACATTGTATAATGGAAAGGTTATGGTGCAAAGAGCACTCTTCGTCTTATGTCTCAGATGTCAGAACAGGAATTTTACTTTCCCATTTACAGTGTGAAACCTCTCCAACATTAGCATGGTTCACGAACATGCTTTACGCACAACAACAATAGACAATCCACTTCTTCCCTGTGGGTGCACACGTGCAGTCAGAGGTTTGGTAATTCGCTGCACCTACCCTGGTTCACACGGCTTTGAGTACTTTCACTCATCCTATGCAACTCAGGTCTAAACTACAACTCTGATAACCATGTTCGTACAAAGACCCCGTAGGCCAGAATAATAGTCTCTTTCTGGACACATAGGAGTTTGTTGCCGGACGTTGTGGAAGTGCAGCAGCTTTTAAAACTTTAAAGGCAATTTGGATAAGTATTTTAGGTATGTAGCATTATAGGTAATAATCTACATAATATGCATTATATTTCGGCGGTCAAGTCCTGCCAATTGTCCCAAAATTAGGAAGTGGGTAAAATCCAGCTTCTTTTTAGTTTGACAGTTTTGGACTGAATTTTGCAGTGTTCCATGTTCACTACAATGTAAAAGTATCATTGTGCACTGAGTACATCACTCTTTTTACCATCCATCCATCTCTGCTCTCCAGATTGGCTGTTATGTAATAGACTTGCCTGCCCTGGGCTGAGATACAGAGGATATTGCTGTTAGTTTTCCAAGCATTCCTTTGGTTTAAGATTCTGTATTTTAATATAAGACAAATATACAAGCCTAGTATCACAATGAGCTTTGAAGGTTATACTTCAGATTGTAATTTTAAGCTTCCCATTTTTGTCTGTTTAGTGCCCTTTTTTTTTTTTTTTTTTTTTGCTGAAGTAATTTTCTTTTAAAGTGACAACATTCTAGACATTTACTGGACTATTGAATTTAGACAGGCAGTTACATTTAGGGTATATGTGTGCTTTTGTCGTGTTTTTGACTCAATAATAAAGTATCTTCGAGATTTTTAAATTCTGATTAATTGATTCTTTATATGTTATACTCGATAGAGTTGGAACAGATTTTCTTTTTCTTTTTTTCATTATGATTATTTAGGGTTACCCCCTTATCTGCTCCTATGTGACATAGAGATATAGATTTTTTGGCCATCGATTTTTTTTCTATAAACATTCTAGACATGATTTGCTATTTGGGTTCTTTTTTTTCTATAGGATTTTTCATTTTTATTAGGGTGTGTAAGCTAACAAGGCAATATTAACAATGCAATAAGAGATATTGGGGGGGAGGGGGAAGGGGGGCATAAGGAAGACATTGGGAAGAAATGGAATTGAAATGAGGAAAGGAGAGCTAGTCTCCAGAAGGTGTAGACGCAGTGAGAGATGGTAAATGTGGAAACAGGATAGGGAAGGAAAGTTTGCAGGGTGAACTAATTCAAAGTGTAACATGAGGTTAGCTCCTTGTGTAACAAGTATTTTAATGTCCCTACTTATATATCTGTATTGTTTAAAGGGACACTGTAGACACTCAGAGCACTTAATGGCATTGCAGGTTTAAGGTTTCTTTGGATGTCATCGAGTTTTGCTTTTGGACACCCAACATTTCAAAGTCTCCACAGGAAATCGTGCTTTCCTGTAGGGATGCTCTAATCTAATGCACGCTGCGCTTGGCGTGCATTTGCTTTAGTTTCCCACATCGGCATGACGTCGCTGGAGGAGGAGACCAAACTAAGCGTGTAAAATTTTCTTAACCCTTAAATCGCCAGATGATGTGGGGAATCTCAAGAAATAGAGGGACACTGTAACACTAGGAATACAGTTTTGTATTACGAACGCTGTAATTTTCCCTTTAATCGTTAGGTCTTCTACATTCCCGGTCTAAAAAATAAAACGTTTTATTAGTATTGTGACACCATTTTACATCTGATGGTAAACTATTTCAGATTTTCAAAATGGTTTTAGGTGCCAAATCTAGTGCCTCACTCACCTTTTTATAATCCCTGAGAGCTAAGTAGAAAGTGACTTTTTATCATCTTCTAATGGGAATAGTTAATGCTTGTTCTATACAGCCGTAAAACTTTTTTACATGTCCCTTACATTAATATAAAAGTGTACTTGACAAGGGTGCATTTATATATACACTAATGAATGATCATACAAAATTAGCTCTGTATTTAATTGGCACAAATGCCAGCAAATATTTTGATATTAAGGGAAAAAAAAATGGTTTAAAATGTAACAATCTGCCTGCCACCTTTCAAATTGTTCCTTGCATAGAGTTATATGTTTCAAATTTAGCCATCACTGCACTTTATCATGTTTTGTGGTGGGACGATTAGTCTGAAAAGTTTTTCCGGTAAGAGTTAAAATGATCCCTGAACATTTACCATTCGGAAAGTGAGAAAACCATAAGGAACAGAAACACGTTGGACACGAACAGGGTGCATCTTCATTTTATTTTTTTACACAATACATGCAAACACAAGCTATTTCATTGATGACTTGTACATTATTCTATAACCAGGCCATGGATAAGTCATACAATGTCAGTTTCCTTATAAAATCTGGACTGCTCACCTGCTGAGTAAAACTGATCATAAAGTGATGTTTTGGAGTTTGCATTATGAACGAGTTCCTATGAAAGAAGAGTTGTGTAAAACGTAATGAACTTACTGTTGGCAGATCATAAGATGGTATTCATTGCAGTTGTTCCAGCATATTTATGGTACTTTTCAGCCCCTTTGAGAGAGAGTTACAGTCTCTCAAGTCACTTACTGTAGAATTAAAGTAATCTTTATCCAATAACTGATGTCAGAACATCTCCAAAACTCTTGGATCAGTCTCTAGGGTCTTTTGAAACACATTACTGCTTTCAAAACCTGGGTCCTGAGAGGCTTAGTCTGCACTTTGTACGTTTTAAAATGATCTTAATATAAATAAATCTACAGCATTCGAATAAATGAAAGTAATGCTTACCTGCAGGTCACTAAACAAACTGTTACATTATGGCCCAGTATTCCTGGACATTGTGCTGTCATTAACACGTTACCTGGTTGTTGGTAGTGGCTATTGGACTTTAGATCTTATTCACTAAATTTCAAATTATATTGAAGTCTAAATTGCAAAAAAGTAGGCTAAATTAGATCTTAGTGAGCGATTTTCTAAATTTTAGCCAAGTGGGATTTGTACACTGAACTTTTTACTAAATATAGTCTAAAAACTCATGTTGAGTAGACTTTTTTTATTTTTACTGCATAAGCCACTTTCTTAAGATGGTTGTATTTGCCACATAGTTAACTTAGTGGTACTTTTACTGGGAGTGGGAACAAAAACAATGTAATATGTGGGTTTGGTTAGATGATGTATAAGTGAAACATTTTACATTTTTTGTTAGGTGATGCCATGTCTTTTTCACATGACTGATACATTATTTTTTGTAAACAATTTTCAGATTTTATACAGTGTATATTATGGTATGTATATATCTACACAAACACACACACTTCCAGCACACTCACTCATCCATTAAACATCAACTTCAATGTTGACATGTTGTATTAGTTTTTTAAAAAACACCTAATCTAGGCAAAAATAATGGGGGTTTAGTTACATTATATGATCATACATTGCATCAGCCTGCCACAAGGTCAATGTACCCCATATTTGGCAGGTCCTACTCTAACCGCCTAATGTCTGCTCATATGAGATTAACCCAATTAAAAATTGCCTTGTCAGCTTACACACCCTAATAAAAAATATATATATTCACTTTATTTTGCTGTTGTCTAGCGCCCTCTGGTGTATATAGAGTTCTATATATTTCAAAAAATGGTTTGTATGCAATGACATACTTTTTCAACTGTAGGGTAATAGCTTCTTGATCCAAAGATAAGTCTTACTACCATTCTGGGGTCAGGGGGGAGTTTTTTTTCCTAGTTTGTTGCAGAATTGGAAGTGTTTTAAACTGGGTTGTTTTTTTTTTGTTTGTTTTTTTGGATCAACAGAAAAAAAACAAATGTGAGGAAGGCTGAACTTTTGATGTACACATGTCAAAATAAGCGCACGCAAATTAAAGAGGAAATATTCTGAAAGTAACAAAAACAAATATAGTGCAGACTATCTGAATAAATGTAAAGCACAAATGGGGTAAAGGGGAGAACTCACATGCGCCAGAGCCTTTTTACCCCTGGCTCTGGGTTTAAAAAGCTCCACTTGAGAGGGAAGTATCCCACACTGGATCTAGATTGTATATTGCCAGTAGTCTGATGGTTCTATGCAACATAGGAAACTGAAAACCACATACCTATTAAGTCCCCTTAATGACATGATTCTTACATTAGAAAAGGCTAAACTTAATAAAGGAGGAACATGTATTATGAGCGAACACATTTACACCAGCCCAAAAAAATGGGGGACAATTTCCATTAAAACATTTTTTTTTTTTTTTCTTTTTTTTTTTTACAAATGGGAGCATAGAGGCGGCCAGCTCAGGGAACATTGTAGCCAGCCGCCCTGAGCTGCACGGAGGCCCTGTGGAGCGTCAAGGTGGTTGCCTGAGGCAGCGTGTGAGGGAGCAGTGATCTTGCTGCAGCTCCTCTCTGCCCCCTCGTGTTCTATAGTGATGCTGGGAGCCATAATATGACATCATTCCAGCCCTGGCATCACTACAGGAAGCAGAGAGGAGCTGCTGGTAGATTACTGATCCCTCACACGCAGGAAGAGAGATCAGCCCACTGGACCCCAGGGAAAGATCCGATCAGCTCACCCAAAGGTAGGGAGGCTGGGTGGATCAAAATGTAAATTTGTGAGTGTGTGTCAATGGGCCTGTCAGATTGTGTATGTGTCAGAGAGTCTGTGTGTATCTCTTTAGGTACCTGCTCTGCTCCAATCACGAGAGTGGTTTTTGCTCACCTTTTTTTCCCATGCTGTGCCTGTTTTGCCGCAGCTTGTCCCGTCTCCATAGGAGAGATCATCAATCTTTATGATCTCAGCTAAGCCAATGCTTTCCCATAGGAAAGCTCTGGGAGGATATTGCACGTGTTCTACTGAGTGACTGTCACTAGAAGTCTTAGTAAGCAGCAATGTAAACACTGCCTTTTCTCTGAAAATGCAGAGTTTACATCGAAAAGGCTACAGGGACAGACTATAGGCACCAGAACAACTACATTAATCTGTAGTGGTTCTACAGTGCCCCTGTAGTGTTCCTTAAAAAAGTTAGTTTTTTGTTTTTTTTAAAGCTGGCTCCTAGATTCTGAGTTAGAATGAAATGCACACACAAATGTTTTTGTCTTGCCAATTACCTAAAAAAAAAAATCCACTTTGTCATTATATAATGTTTCCTCCCTATTGATGGCAGCTTTCTATTTCTACTTGTTTGGTTTTTAGATTATTTATTATTGAGAATTTAGTAATCTGAAAATTGTGATAGTCAGTAAGTGCCACCTTTTAACCCTGGTTCTTGTACCACACATGTGGTTGGATGTCATTATGTTCTGCACTGACCACAAAAACATATCATTTGACTTCATTAAATTACTTTTCATGTAACTGTTTTTTTTGTTTGTTTGTTTTTTTATCATCCATTGAATTGGGTTCACTTCGCCAAACTTGGCATATCTGGAATAACCCCATAAATAGATCTTGTTTAAATTGTTAAATCGCTTAATTCTTAATAGTGATGTAATTGTGTAACAATTTATTGTACGTACTTGACCTTCAAAAACATATGTTTCGTAAAAATGCAGGGTTTAGTATGTGGTGACGATTCTATTCTCTTGCAATTTAGTAATTTGGAAGTGTCTAAATGTACAAAATAGGTAAATCTATTGGTTCCTCTACCCACCAAAGATTGTATGTGAATAATGATTAATCACACCTAACATGGTTTTCTTTTCCTTTCCCAGGGTACTGTCTTTAGCCTGGAATCTGAAGAGGAAGACGTACAGGGGCTTATCGCGGAAGACAGCAACGACATCTATATTCTGACTAGTGACCAATCTGAACAGGTGAGCCCCCCTGAAAGTTTGGCAGTGTCCTCCTCCTGGCAGACTGAAAGCCTGCCCACCTCCTTGGGTCCTGAATCCTGGCAACAGGTAGTCATGGATCCGGAGGAGCTTAAGAGCCTGGACAGCAATGGAGGAGCTGAAGAACGAAGTGAGAACAACTCTTCAAACTCTGACATTGTCCATGTGGAGAAGGAAGAGATAGCGGCAGTTATCGAAGAGGCAGCAGTTGTTGAAGAGACCTTGGAACAAGAAGAAGAGATTGAGGTTGACATAGAAGAAAAGGAGATTCTAGAAGTTCCTTCATCTTTGAGAGAGGTTCTCACAGCGACATTGCCATCTCCTCCTGCAGAAGCGCAAATACCGGTTGTTCAACTGGCGCACACTGATTTAGACGTGCCTGTCAAGGTTGTGCCTGAAAATGAGCCACCTGTCCTCCCACAGGAACCAAAAGATGAGAGCCCCATATCATCTCCAGTAGAAGCAGAGAAAATAGAACGTCCTGTCTCTCCAATACTTCATTCTTCACCTCCTGTAGAAGAGGAACCGGTTTTCCTCACTGAAGGGAAGTCCATTTTATTGTACGGGGGTGCAGCAGCAGTTGCGATTTTGGCTGTTGCTGTTGGAATGGTGATGGCCCTTAGGAAGAAATAGATGCAATTGATCCAGGGTATTCACTCTTCTCTTTATTCCCCAAACCTGCAATGATTCTCCCTTTGTATGCTGTCGTTGCTCTTACCTCAGCCAGGTCTACCATCTAAGTGATATCTGTGGAAAGGTTAAATATACATCCTTATTCAAGAAAAGAAAGAAGCCTTTTTCCTTTCTGTGACCAACCAGGAACTTTGTTCACATTTGGGTTGATCATTATTTTTGTTGGTGGAACTGAAGGGAAATGGCTGCCTGCAGGGACTCCATTGCCAGGCTTCACAAAGCTATTAGTATATCCACATCTCTCACTGCCAAGTAAATGAGTCGCAGAGCAACAAATAATTCACGGTGGCTTACCAAAACAAAAATCAAAATACAATGAATGGGACAGAGTGGTGTTTTGTGTACAATGGATTAAAAATTTGAGCACTTGTAAATGCCCCATTTTTAACAAGTCACATTGTTTAGCAGGAATCTAGTGTTTTGATCTGTTTGTTTTCAAGAGGGTTAAGAAGACCCTTCTCGGAAACGAATTTAGCCATGGAATTAGTGTTTTGCATTTTTTTTCTTTCCTTATTTTTTTTTTCCCTTTGTCCCAACATTCTTAATTATCAGTGCAATGGAATAGCAAGTTATTTTCATTATAGTTAAGTCATAGTAGTCATGTACACTCCAGTTTCAAAACATCTTGTTTAATTAAAAAGAAAAAAAAATTATATATATATATATATATATATATTTATATTTAATTTTTTTTTTAAATAAAACTGCACTTATTTTAATGGCATAGTATGTTGTAAAGGATAAAAAATAGTGCCGATAAATAGTTCTAGAATTTCTCATAAATGCTGTCTTTTCACCTGCTAGTCCTGCCCAGTTTTCTAATGGGAGGACCTATACATTTACAACCACAGTCTGGGCTGGCCCAAAGTTAGTTACCTTGTTCAAACAGTAATATTTTATTTTTTTTGTCCCCCACCCCTAAGCAGTTGAAGGCAACTTAGATGTTTAATGAAAAAAAAACTATGAATTGGGTATTATTGATCTGCAGTGGCATGGTTGAAATGTGACTGACTTATTGGCCACTTATCCCTAAATCTTATTTATAGTATTTTGTAAGGAGCATAACTAAATCAATATGTAACTTGCCAATGAGCTGCAAACTAGATCAAGTCCATATTCCTCCTTTAAGTTCAGATTCTAATTGCAGTCTAACAATTTAAGTAATTTGTTTTGGATATAGTAGCATATGTAACATTTTTCATTTGTGCTGGATATCAAATGTAAGCACTCTAAACAATACATCTGATATATCTTATGGTAAAATGAGTCTGGGCGCTGCCCCTTAATTTTCTGACAATCTTTTTAAGCAGCTTAAGTAAAAACTAGGGCTTTTCCCAGAATCCCAAATCCTGGCCCTCTGCAGCCGCTTAAATAATGTGAATGTATACAGCCTGTACAGTGCCCCATTATAGGGAATGAGGAAGGAAATGCAGCTGCAGAAGAGCTTAGCCCTAGTTTTTGTCAAATGGCCCCCAGAAAGTCTGACAGAACCTGTGGATGTGTCCAATGATTCATTGCACTGTTAGAATGAGGCATAGTCATGGTGTTTAGAGTGACCTTTAAATGGAGTTTCGTTTGCAGTAGAAATCAGATAAACAAGAAAATGCAAAATGCTCCTGCTGGAGTGCTGTAAAATTTGTAGATTTTACTATTGGCTCACTGACGTTATGGCTTTTTTTGTAGACTGCATTGCATCTTCTAGAGGTATCAAATCTACAGTTAGGGCCCAATTTCAAATTGCATCTATTATACAAAGTTTAGGCCTATCAATTAAATTTTTTTTTTTTTTTTTTTTAATATGCTTATGCTGCAATGTTACTATGAAGAGACATGAAATGGTTAACTGCAATACACATTAAAAATTTGCGTGCTAAAAGTTGTGCACATCTTTGCAGCGACCCGGTTCAGTTCCAGTTTTATTTGGCAGTAGACTTAATTTACATTTTTCTTTCTTTCAAAAGATACTTTGTGTTTTAACATAAGCAAAAACACTATAAACTGATGGAGTAGGGCATCTGGCTCTTGGGTTTGATTGGGAGGAATAGTTTTAGCTTGGGACACATATTCTTAAACAGATACTCTGAAAACCATAACCACTACAGTCCATTTCACACTATGTAGGAGTCACACCTAGAATCTTTCTTTAGACTCTTCTCCATAAGCACAAATATATACTGTGATTTATGGTGTGTAGAGTGCCTCTTGAACTTTTAGGTTGTATAGTATTTAACAACAAATGTATAATTTCATTAAAAAAACAAGGACAGTTAAAGGGATACTCCAGGCACCCAGACCACTTCTGCCCATTGGAGTGGTCTGGGTGCCAACTCCCACTACCCTTAAAGGGACACTATAGTCACCAGAACTACAGCTTATTGCATTTGTTCTGGTGAGTGGAATCATTACCTTCAGGCCTTTTCCTGTAAACACTGTCTCTTTTCAGAGAGAATGTAGTGTTTACATTACAGCCTAGTGATAACTTCACTGGCCACTCCTCAGATGGCTGTTAGAGATCCCTCCTGGGTCATGGCTGCCTAAAATGCCATTCAGTATCTCCTCCCTCTGCATGCAGACACTGAACTTTCCTCATAGAGATTAATTGATTCAATTCATCTCTATGAGGAAATGCTGATTGGCCGGGGCTGTGTTTGAATCATGCTGGCTCTGTCCCTGATCTGCCTCCTTGTCAGTCTCAGCCAATCCTATAGGAAAGCATTGTGATTGGATCAGGCTGCCACTTCGGATGATGTCAACAGACAGCTTTTTTTTCTGAGGCAAACAGCATGCAGATCTACAGTTTCATGTTTGAATACAGTAAGATTTTGCTATATTTATGGAGGCAGGGGGCTAGATGGTGGTTTTAACACTATAGGGTCAGTTATACATGTTTGTGTTCCTGACCCTATAGTGATCCTTTAACCCTGCAAGTGTAATTATTGCAGTTTTCATAAACTACAATATTTACCTTGCAGGGTTGAGTCCTCCTCTAGTGGTTGTCTACTAAACAGCCACTAGAGGGACTTGTGTTCATAGAACAGGAAAAGTGTTTTCAGCGACGCTGGACGTCCTCACGCTATGTGAGGACCTCCAGCATTGCCAAAATCCCCGTAGGAAAGCATTGAATAATGCTTTCCTATGGGGAAGTCAAATGCGCAACCATTGCTGCACATGCGCATTAGGTCTCCCCCGTCGGCGGAGAGTAGGCGGAGCCTGACCCAGCTCCGAGGGACATCGGCGCTGGACTCCGGTAAGTCACTGAAGGGGTTTCAACCCCTTCAACAACTTGGGATGGGGGGTGGGAGGGAGAGGGGCACTCTAGGGTCCTGCAGTGCCAGGAAAACGAACATGTTTTCCTGGCACTGGAGAATCCCTTTAAATACTTAAACTGGCGTAAGCCATACAGAGAGGTTGACTAGCCAACTAGCAGTATTTTGTAGAACTAAATTTATTGTCCAGCAGACAGTTATAGAGTAATACCCCCAACATGTAAAAATCTTCCTAGCCACTTTAAGTGACTTGTAGGCCTTACATCACACCTTCTCTTTAGATAGGTTAATCAGATTCAGTCATTTATTCATCAATCTATGGAAGTAGTGGAGCTGCTGAGTGCAAACTATTGCTACATTGCACGGCTCAGCTAAGCTACAAACTAGTTTGCAGATGGCTTGAGGGGCTCTGGTAGCCGCAACCTAACTTTGCGATTCCATTCTAATGAAAGTCTGCATTTTTGGACAGCTTGCAACATCTTTTTCTTTCCCTGGTACACTGATGGGAATTCTATTCATCCCAGTCCATGAGGCACCATTGGAGGAGTCCTACTATTTGTATGTGCAGCCCTATATCTGATGCTTCAACAAACTACTTTGCAAGCGGCAGCTGTCCTTCAATTTCCAATACTATCAACCAGCCAGTGGGTATGTGAAAGTGATTGGCTGATTATTGCAAATATATTGATGTTTCACCTTACTAATTGACGCAATTTATTGAGAACCTGTTCCAGAATAGAAATAAGGTGGGGCAGCTGTTCTATGGACCATTTGGGTGTGCACAGCAGTTTGTAATTAAGAAAGGGCACATTGGGTACATTTAAAGAGAGGTGAGCTTTGCTTGCTGCTGCCAAACCTAATAACATGTCAGTTTTGTGACCGTACACAGTCACAATATTATAATCTTAAACATGTCATTGCACAAAATGGAATGCCCAACTTCTAATTTTACTTTTATGTGTAAGCATAAGGAAAAAAGAATCCACAGCCAAAAATGCACATGTACTTACACCCCTCGGCTGCTGGTTTGTTTTGTTAAAAATACTGGACTGCTGGCACTTATAGCAGAGGAGGGAGTAATGTGCCATGGATTTATAATGGAAAGAAAATTTGAACTATTTGGAAATAATGTAACACTTTATAAATATGTGGACTTTATTTTCCCCAATCTGGCCTCTTGTTTCTTTATGTTGTGGTGTAGATATATCCGTTATATTTGATTAGTGTGTTTAGGTTCGCAATGTATAAGTAAACAACATAGCCCAGAGGTATCTATATTTTGTGTAAACATCTTAAGTTTACAAAGTTGCATAAATCAGACCCTCCTCAGCACCCTTGATGCTTTCTGGGCAAAATGTATTTCTAAATATTCAACACACACCTATTCCAGCAGCCATATAAACCTTCATCCCAAATGGATGTGCCTGCAATATTATAGGTGGTTTCAGACGGTTTGTACTAAGTAAGGATACCTTTACCATTAAGGAAAATTAGAACATTAGAAATACAAATATGTATTTCTAATGTTAGTTTCCCTTCCTGTGCCTCCCTCCCAAAAAGTGAAGTTTAAAGGGGGTATTCTAAGCACCAAACAACTATATCTTAATGAAGTGGTTTTGGTGTTTAGATTATGCCCCTGCAGTCTTACTGTTAAGTTATGTCATTTAGTAGTTAAATCAATCACTTTATGTAGCCTTAGCCACACTATCCCTAGCAAATACTCACACAGCCTACATTTGTTAGCTTCCTTATTGCAAATTGTGTTTAATTTATCATTTATCTCCGGCTTTAATAGCCTGCTAGAAACTGCAAAATCCTCCTGTGCGTGATTAAAGTTCAATTACCAGAGCAGGAAATGTTCTGGTAATTGAACTGTGCTGTGAGATCTCATTGAAAATGAAATCATTTTTTTTCGCCATGAAGGCTGTGAAAGTCACAGGGAAGGTGTGGCTAGGGTTTACTTCTAATTAGCACAGAATTGAGCATCAAGATTGCAGGGGCATGATATATACACCAAAACTACTCAAGCTATTTTTTTTTTTTTTTTTGGAGCTTAGTGTCTTGCATGCTGTAAAATGCCGTAGCTCCACCTGTCTATCATTGGTGCTTATCTCAGCCAATCCAATTTCCCATGTAAGAAAGAATTGGTGGGGGGGGAGATACTGCCACAGGTGTTACAATTGCTGCACAAATCAGCATCTCCTCATTGAGATGCATTAGCTCAATGCATCTCTATGGGGAACGATTTGTATATTAATGCAGAGGGTGAAGAACCTGAACGTTGGTCTCGCAAAGATTGCAGGATCACAACAAGCACTCAGTAGCAAAGTAAACGCTAGAAGTGTACTTAAATTAATTTCTGCTGGTACAAACAAATCAAATTCCCTTTAATCTATACTTGAAGATAAATCCCGGATGGATTGATTAGTTCATTGAATAAGACTCCACTGTTAAACCCCTGACAGATCAATTAATTTGGATTAAGATTAAAAGGAATGTGTCTGTACCAGCTGAAATCCATTTGTGCGCTAGTCTAGTAAACACTCCCTTTTCTCAGAAAGGGCAGTATTTACATTGTGGAGACTGCAGGGACATTGTCTTTACATCAGAACCACTACATTAAGTGGTGGTGGTTCTGCTGCTTTGCTTGTGCCATTCATTTATAATTGTATTCATAAATATCAGTTGTACCCCAGACACTGTAAGCTAAGTCCATTAGTAATACTATGGGGGAATCCCACTATAAAAGAACTAAAAATATTCCCATGGTTTATAGAAGCAAATATATTTTTACATAAGTGACTGATATTTTAAACAGCCTGCACTTTTGAAATTCCATTCTTTGACCTGATCCTATGTAAGCAAAGAGATTCAGAGCACTCCGATGCATTGTAACATTACAGGAAACCAACCTTTAACAATAGCACATTTTATTAAAGTAAAAAAAAAAAAAAAGTTTTTGTGCAATGAAAGTTTAGAAATAAAACATTTAATGTGCTTTTGGGAATCAATTCATAACAAATTTGAGGCAGGATCTAGTAAAAGCATAATTAAAACTTGACTTGGTAGAGGCAAATCTATGACCCGTGTGCCACTACTAGCCACTACAAACACTCAGAATTTTATCAAGAACACATGGCAAATTCACTATCAATGCTTTGGAGCAGGGAAAATGATCTATCTATGGAGTTTATTCAGTAGACTAGACCACATGTCAAGTACAGAAGTGTAGTTTAACTCCAGCTCAGGTGAATTTACTGTATTTGGAAAGATGCAAAGAAAGACAGTCCTAAAGCATATGATGCAATCTATTGGTCTTTTTCAAAATCTTACAACTTCTGGGTAGCTTTTAACATATTGTTTTTGTTTTTTACTAATGCATATAAAAAAACTTGCATTTTCAACAGTGCATATAAATGACAGATTTGCTCTCCGGTGGCTGGTTTGCTGTGCTAGGCTTTGAGTTTTTTAACAGTTGCTGGTGATGACCTGGGTCAATTTTGATGCTTTAACTGTAATCCTCCCTGCTGCTATGAATTTGCAGGCAGTTCTGTTGCTTCACATGCTGGTCATTTTTATTTTCCCACTAGATCCATGTTCACCTCTGAAAAAGAAAACATAGGTATCAAATGCTAATTACATATACCAGTTTACCTATCCTGTTTGAATCTTCCTCCAGAATAAGTGGGTACTGTCATCTGAAGCTTGAGATTAAATTTTTTATAGGAAAGTGTTAAATTAGCTCTTCAAAAAAATAAAAGTATACACAAAAATAAATTTGTGGAGCACAGCTTTAGTAAAGTGCAATGTATAGGTTAGGTGACAATTTTTGTAATTCTTAGATTTAGCTTTGCTTTGTAGGACCATGCTTTCTAAAACTTCCTCTTAACCATCTTTCCCCCCCCCTAGTTCTTCAAAAATATTGCTGTCCATAATTTCATGACTTTGGTTTCAGGGAATTCTAGTGCAGCAATTATCTTTACAGTAGAAAGCTGACACTTGTACTGCATTTTTTTTCTTGTTAACCCATAAGCTAAAAAGTAAACCTATAGCCAGGACAAGCATATTTGCCAGTTGCTGTGACTGGGTGTGTGCAATGGTTAGGGTAGAGTTTTTAAAGGGGCACTTCAACTTTCTGTCAAGTGTGTCCTTTTTGTCACTTTGGAAAAGTGCAGAAATCAAGAGAAATTGACAATGTTATAAATTATACTGGTTACACCCCCTGGCCTTTCAGGCAGACAACAGGCCCTATTACTTCCTGGTTTGGTTAGCTTATTTACACTAAACTCAAGAGGCAGCAAGTGCCCACAGCACCTGCCTTGCAAAGACGTTTTACTGAGCTGAATTGGAAAGTCTTTGATTGGACTGTCACAAAGCCTGGACGGGGTTAGAAGGGGTGGGCTTGCAAAGGCAGCAGACAAGAGATTTGCAGTTTTTACAAGCTGTTTTAGATATATCCCCAATGAAAACATGTATGCATTTAATCACAGAATGAAGCAGCAGAGTGAGGGAGTGCCAAGTTATATATTGCTCAATGTAATAGAGGTAAAGTTTTCAATGTTTATGGTTAGAGAGAATTCTAATTAAAGAGTCACTAAGCACTTCACCCAAAAGTGCATTTGGTGCATATACCCAGTTCCCTCTTTTTTTTTTTTTTGTCTTCAGAAATGCAAATCATTTTGGTTTCTTTTAAAAAAAGGCAATATTTGTCTGCAGCTACGAGACTAGTGGATATCACACCAAAGACTCTGTGTTATGTCCAGCATGATGACATCAAACACTGTAATGCAGGGCTGTCCAACCTGCAGCCACCCAGATGTTGCTGAACTACAACTCCCATGATTCCCTGGCTATCTGTTTCATTGAAAGAATCATGGGAGTTGTAGTTCAGCAACAGGTTGGGCCACAGGTTGGATAGGCCTGCTCTAATGCCTCTCCATGAGAAGACTTGGCGGTGCTCAGCCTGACTCCAAAGCCATCTTTACTTCCTGCTCTCAGGACACTGACTCAGTACTGGTATAAAGGTGAGTTTTATAGTAAATTTTGACATTCTTAAAGATGGGCCAGGCAGGGGTCTTTACGAATCTAAACACAAACAGTAACTATAAAAGGTAGGATTTTGAATTTCATGTTGTAAACAAGTTTGCAGGTAGCAGAAATTTGTACCATTGTAACGGAGGAAAAGTTAGTAAATCTCTATTTTACATTGAATACACCTTGCATCTTTGTGATATATGGTGTATACAATGTATATTGGAGTGCTTACAGGTAAGTGAAATTATTTAGAACATCTTCACTTCAACCAAGTGGTTCCCAACCTTTTTTCACTTGAGTATCCCTTGGCAGCCCATTTCCATAAATTGTACCCCTCCCATGAACAAAATGTTTGTACTTAATATAGTTGCATTTATTTCAAACTTATACATTTTCTGTCCCATATCCCCTTTTTCTCTGGCACCCCCTGCTACTCCTCTGCCCCTGACACACATATAGATGCAGATCCACACACTGATATACATACAGGTACAGACACAATCATACAGATGCATACACAGACACACAAAAACTTACATATAGATACAAACACTGACACATGCAGATACAGTGAAACACAGAAACATACTCTGACACAGATACACATACTGTCTGTGGGGGGGAGGTTGGGGGATGAGCAAATATGAGTAATTAATTTTTTTTTTTTTTAAAGTGCATTATGTATCCCCTTGAGGACACATGACGGAAATATTCTGTAATGATTCCCTTTTATATCAGAAGTTGTGTCCTTAAGGAGAATGGGGGGGAGGGAAGGGGAGGGAAGCATAAACAAACAGTATGTCCCCTCTTTTTATCGTCTGGTGGAGGGGAGGAGCTCTATCCTGTCTGCAGCTCCGCTCACGTGAGATCCTCTGAGCATTGCCATGGTAACCCGCAGCAACGCTCCCAATTGCCGAACTCGCTGGAGGACCTTTCCACCTCCCGGCGTCTCCTTCCCTCTCCCACAGGCAGCTGGTCAGTGCCTTTGGGTTGGTGAGGGAGATCTTTGATCTCCCCACCAGCCTATGAAGGCACACACAGGTGGGTTAGCAGGTGAGATCCTTTGATCCTCGACCCATGCCGGCCCACCAGGCCGCCTCACAACCGGTGCGGCACCCATTACTGAAATTATTTTGCGTACCCCCTGGGGCACGCATACCACAGTTTAGGAACCCCTGGTTTATCTGAATGGTTCTATAGAGAGTCAGCAGTGCAACTCCAAAAAAATTAAAATAACTAAGGATTGATACAGAATCTGTATGCGTCAACACTCACCTGTCTGTCAATTTGTTGCAAATAGGCCAAATAGTTACGCTGAATGAATCCAGCTGTATAATAGAAGAAGTTCTGCAAGAGGCTTGGAACGCTACAACCAACCTCCTTGGTCAGGGCCATTGCAACTGCTACGGTGGCCTTTTCTGTCTCAATGCCAGCGGGAAGATTCTGCATCACAGATTTTATCAGTTCTTCAAAACGCTGTAACAAACAGATAATGCGTTACCCAAGACAGGCAGTGTTTACAGGGTCAAGTGAGCTTGTCACTCTTCTGAGAGTGATAAGATGCTTCCAACTAAACTTTGTGACATGACATACTGGAACATAACAGAATGTAGCCTCTTAGTAATGAAGCATCATAGTAGAACACTGATAATTTATGAGATTACTTGATTAATCAGTTACAAGAATTTTCTTCAGGACATACATTCAACATAGCCTAATCAGTCTTTAGCTGTACTCCACTGTTTACAGAAATGTGTTTACTTGTCTGTGGAATTATTTTACACTCAAAACTTAATACAAAGACAGACTGACACACTGCCATACAGGACCAAAGATGGTTCCTCTTACAAGGTGAGATGGACCACCCCCATACGCAAGATATTGAGAGCTTTAACCTGAGATATTCGAATTTTACACACATGCAATAGCAATGGTTAAAAATATATATATATTTAAAAATAAAATGTAAAAGCAAGCAGCATACAAAAACGCGATTACGATGTAATACATGCATAAAAAAGACTGACATAAAATAAGCAAAGTTAAAACCAAAACTAATAATAAATTTTTTTTAAAAAAAGTATATAGATTGGTAAATGCATACCACATGATCCAGTCTTATTGATCTTTAACACCAACAATAATACAATAATAAAAATTTAACCTAAATAACTCTATACTTACCCTTTTATTTTCTAGTGTCGAGACTCAGTCTGTGCAGCTGCCTGTTTAAGGATCATGTTTCGTCTGCTCTCCTATTTCTTCTCGTTGAATTCAATGCCTCTTATAGAGAAGTATTGTGAATAAGGAGCACTATGCTCCAACAATTAAAACATAGGGAATCTCTGAATCTGCCTCGGTTATCACTCCAGAAGCACCAGCAACAAGCTGCCATACTAACAACCATTAGAGTTGTGTTTAAACCTGCAATGAAAACAATGTTTTACACTGCAGGAGCAAAACACCAGGGACACTGCATACAAACCACTTAACGGAGAACAAGGGATGTGGTATGGGTGCCTATAGTGTTCCTTTAAGGCGAGAGAGCGCTAAGTATCAAAAAGATTGTGGAGAGACCAAACACAATAAAACTCACTACAGTGTAAATACAAAAGTTGCACTTTAAGAAGTCATTCCTGGACATTGAAAAATTATTTTTGCACATCTATCCCAGAGTCATGCTGATATATGGCCCACTGACCATGGGAGGATGAGATGAACTAAACTTGCAACACTTAAACTTAAGTTGAGTTCTGCAGGTGGCAAATTAACTGGGCTGTCTTACTGACTGCAAAGAATGATACACATATAGATATATTTGCATGAATGTGCAAAAGGTTTAATCAGGTGTAAGAAAATGCTGCAAAGTAAGAATGTATTAAAATTTCAAAATGGCAATAGTAATATTCTTTAAAATCAATTAACAAAATGCAGAGTGAATGAAAAATCGAGAATAAAAGAAAAATCCAAGACTGCATCAATTCTTCTATGTTCACTTCCACACAGCTTTTGTAAGGAACTTGGCAGGTAGGCTGTTCCAAACCACTCTGAAAACTAACCATAGTTTGCCTGAGAATTTAGGCAGCTTAATTTGCCTCTGTCTCTTTGTGTAATCTCAGACAGTCTTGGTGTAGAGATCAGGTCTCTGTGGGGGCCATACCATCACTTGTAGGACTCCTTGTTATTTTTAAAACTGCAGGTGCTTCACAGATGGCATGACAGAAAAAGTATGTGCCTGTACTTCTCAGCATTGAGGAGATCACTAATTCCGACCAGATCGCTAACTCCACTTGCAGAAATGCAGCTCCAAACCTGCAAGGAACCCCCATTCTGCTTCACTGTTGCCAGCAGACACTCATTCTACCTCTCTCCAGTCCTTTGGCGAACAAACTGCATTCTGCTTCAGTCAGATGTTTTTTGTTTTCACGTTAAATCACTTCTGATCAGACTTCTCTGGACAGTAGAGGGGTGTATTAGGATGGCCACTGAATTCTTCCAATTCCGAGCTGATGGTACTGCTGGACATCTTTTGATTGTGAGGGGAATTAAGCACAATTTGTCTTATCTGCTGTACTACAGCTATAGTCCTCAATGTTGCTTTGTGCTTCTTGGATAGCACATCTGGAAACCCCTGTCTGTCTTAAAATTATTCCCTGAAGAGACCTTTCTGATGCGGTATAACTAACTACCTTGTTACTTGTGGCTGTGCTCAGTCTTGCCATGGGGTATGACTTTTGACCTTAAGGTGAAAGTGAAGATTTTTTTTTTTTACAATAAATTCACTTTCATGTTCACCTTGTTAGCAGAGTTTGGCAGTTCCTCACACACGGCTGTTTCCATTTCACTAGAAGATTGTGTTTCATCTTATGTTCAGTATAATTATTTAATCATGCACTTGATTATATGCCTACAAATTCCCTAACTTTGCGCAAGAGTACATAGAATAATTAATGATGTTTTGTAGGCAAAGTGTGGTCACTCCAAATATTGATAGGATTTAAATTTTCTTCTATTCACTTTTTTCCCATTTTGTTAACTGACAAAAATAAATGACCATTTCTATTTTTGAAAGCATTCTTACATTACAGCATTTCTACCATCTGCCTAAAACTGATGCACAGTAGTGTATACACACACAGGCAAGCTAAAGGATACTGGCAACAGGCAGAGAGTTTTTCCAATTCCAAATATATACACTAGAGGGCACTCTAGTGAAAGTTTTACTTTTCCGACAGTTCCTATGTTCAGTTGGCTAATGGCTTTCATAATTTTTGGTCATTCTGTTTAGAATGGTGAGCATCATTACAGTGCCAGATTACGAATGTTATCAATCTGTGTCATTAGAACAATGGTTTTTACCAATCACTCATCCAGAATTTAAGCATTTTCCAGTTCAGTTTCAAGGGGATATGAACAAAACTTGAAACACTGGTGTGCCTTGAGGATTCGGTTGAGAACCATTACACTATAATGGTATAATTAGTACATGTGGATTTAGCTCCTGCTCAGGTGAATTAACGATCTGTCTTCATCCAAGAGCAACAGAGACTGTCGATTTCCTACAGAAGATGAAGGGCACCACAAAGTTGTGTTGAAATATATTAAAGTGTTCTTTCAAAATATCTTTATAACTGGGGAGCAGAAATTAAAACATAAAGACATCCACAAAGCTATAGCAATTAAGATACTCAGGATACACAGTTAGCATGATTACAGTCTACAATATACTCACGTGTGTAAAATTGCATGGATCCAGGCAGTCTACAATAAATATAACTGTGTAATACTGAAAGATTACAGAAAACTAGCAGATATATAGGTTCCAGCCAGCAATATGTCTTGCATAGCACTAAACACACGGATTGATGGTAAAAAGAAACCTGCTTTTTCTCTGTACAACACTGTGAATCTGGTATGAAAGTGTGGTTGCTACATCTTAAATACATGGCTATATTATGAATGGAGCAGCAATATTGACATTTAAGTGCATTTAATAAACTGAGTTTGAAAACAATTTGCAAAACCCAAGCCAATATGGAAAATTTAAATATCCAAATCAAATAACTAATCTGCAAAATGAAAGCCAAAATAGTTTAACACTCAACAATGCAGATATTCTCAATTTATACAATACAAATATTGACTGTTGGTATAAGGCAACATTTTTCTGCATTTGCTAACATGATATGAGTGCTGAAACAAATGCAAAAAGCACACCTCCCAACATTGTAAATGACAGACATACATATGTTTCACAAGATACGACTGTGAGTGTGCCTAATTTCAAGCAGTGCTATTACAAGCAATCTTAATTGAATTAGTGACCTACTCAGAGCCATGGAGTATACGGTTTGGAACAAAGCTAAAATATTTCAAACAATCTAAATTTGTTTCAATTTTACATAAAATGCCCCAACAGACAAGGCACATTAACCCAAATGTTTTAACTACTCAAATAGCAATTACCTAGGGGTATATTTGCAGCAGATACTATATGACTATATCGTAAACCAGTTCCTCTTTCATTGCACTGCTTTATATGTGGTTATTACTATTATTACATACCGACTCAGTAAGTGAATTGGTGAGGAGATCTTGAACCACACATTCTACAACTTCTTTCTTTATCCTTCCCTCACGTTCTAGTTTGTCACCCAGCTCTGCTAGCTGAGCTCCTATACGACGACACAGCTCTTCATCCACAAACCCGGAGTCCTCTAACAAAGCAGAGAGTACAGTTTTTAAAAGAACATTTTTTTAAAATCAGCTGCTGCCACACCAGAGGACAGGTCACAGTGATGAGGCAAGGCTGAACGGAAAACAGATCTAGTTGTTTTAAATTAATCTTCCATTGTTATACATATAAAATGTGGAAACCTAGAGTGTTTAAAACATAATTAAGATGTTTTAGCTAGCTGGAGTACTTTATATGTTAGGAGTATTCATTTAAACTGGAAATGGAAGCAGAATGTGTGCCTATCAAAGTTATTCAATGGAAATGTGAATTGCTGGGAATTGAAAGTAAATTTCACATTTTAGGGTGGCCAAATTGAAAGCACTGTTAATATGACTTGGAGATTTTTATTTTATTTTTTCTAATTTGGCCTACGATTAACTTTACATTCCTGATAATTCACACTTTGATTAACCATACCTGTACCACTCAGTTTGTTGGTGATAGGATGATCCATGAATCAGAGCTACCTTGACTTGGGCTTTGCCCTCTCACTGTGAACACACAAAGGCAAGGTAGGTCCTGCAGTAAAAGTTTACATACCTGCCTTCAGTTTAATCATTAATTAAATCTTTCTACACTATAGAAAAAATAATGACTGTCCTATATTACAGCGAGTCCTCTATGGACCTGCTGCTTGCTCGTGTAAGCGTGCAGTTTCCAGTTTTGTGTCCACTATGATGTTCTTCACTCTCCAGTGGGACATGGTGCCAATGCTTCTGTATATTTATGCTACTCCTACAAACAAAATTTGCAAGCCTGCTAAGTAGGTTCAGTGGGAAGTTACAGGAAATTCAATCCATCATTCAATGTATATAAAATCATAAGAGTTTAATGATGTATGTATAAAAGCACTAACAGATGATCATATAGGACAAGTAGATTTCACTTAGACATGGACAGAGGCATGGATCTTACTGCAGTATGCTCACTGTAACTTCTTATTTTAGAAAGAAATCACAGAGGCAATGAGTGTCGGAGAAAAAAATACTAACACACTGCTCTAGAACAGTAGTCCCAGCTCCAGGCTATAAGGTGCAGAGACACTCAAAAATATAGGCTTTTCCTACCTCTGCTCCAATGGTGTGTATTGAGGGGACTGGTTTGGGAACCACAGGTCTAGAACACATTGGTTCTCTAAATTTGTAAGATCACGTTAAAAAGAGGCATTTTAGACATTGTAGCAGTTTAAGCCATACCAGAGGTCCGCAACACTGGGATGTTTCCGTCTGTCTCCAGGTCTCCATAGTCAGCATGGGTCTGAAAGTCACGCTCCAGTATGTCTAGTACAAGCTTGTACTCATGGTCTTCAGAAGAGGTGTGTTTCAAATAGGTGAGAAGAACAAGTTCCACGTCCAAATTCATCCTGTCAGTTCCTGTAGGAGAACACAAGCAGTGTTGTTATCCATGGATGTCAGCGAGTATTGTAGGTTCACACACAGATACTTAGTGGGAATTTGAGAAGGTAGGATATCTCAAGTGTAGTTTGCTCGGCTAAGCATCTTAAAAACAATACCATTTAAAACTAGCTTATAATACTCTTTTTTTCCTGAAAATAGACTGTTCGTGACAAAGTTAAATAAGGGGGGGAAAAAACAAGTAACTGGCTCATGAGAGCTCCTGGGCACAATACAAAACCAATAATATAGAGGTGCTTTCTATTAGATAACTTAGCCAATAAACACTACATTCACCATTCAATGATAACTTTACTACGAAATACAACACACTCATTCAGTGTTTTTTCACCATTGGGAACTGTGCAAACACTGTACAATTAAGTTCAAATTCAAAGAATTGACTACTTACTTGGAAAAATGCATTTTATATGAATTATCTTGGAGTCTATGTAATTGACACTTTATAAGTAGGCTTTACAAGGGGAGCAGTTGCAAAACATAGGGGCAGTGGAAGCTCTGCCTCCGAATCTATGATTAATGATCTAGAGAGACTACCAAGGGATCTGAGTGTCTGATAACACAGATCTCTACTTACCAGCAATCTCTCTCATGTGCTTGGTTAAAGGACCACTATAGGCACCCAGACCACTTCAGCTTAATGAAGTGGTCTGGGTGCCAGGTCCAGCTAGGGTTAACCCTTTTTTCTATAAACATAGCAGTTTCAGAGAAACTGCTATGTTTATGTTAGGGTTAATCCATCCTCTAGTTGCTGTCTCTTGACAGCCGCTAGAGGCGCTTGCGTGCTTCTCACTGGGATTTTCACTTTCATGCTTTCCTATGAGACTGGCTGAATGCGCGCGCAGCTCTTGCCGCGCATGCGCATATAGCTGAAGAGGAGGAGAGCTCCCCGCCCGGCGCTGGAGAAAGAGGTAAGTTTAACCCCTTCCTCACCCTAGATCCCGGCGGGAGGGGGACCCTGAGGGTGGGGGCACCAACAGGGCAATATAGTGCCAGGAAAACAAGTATGTTTTCCTGGCACTATAGAGGTCCTTTAAAGACATTATGAATTGATGTCTTTCAGTACCCTCATCCTCTCACTAACTAGAGTGATTATGGAAAAGAGTTCTGCTTCATGTTCAGAGATCTCCTCTCTCTTTTATTAGATCACTACTGACAAACTGTATAACATGTGTAGCATGCATACATATACATTGAAAACATTCTTGAGATGCACAGGAGAGGTCATGGTATTTGAGAGCAAATCAACAGTCACACGATAAGGATTACAACACCTAAAGCTTACACACCAGCATTTGGAGTGCAGCTTACTTTTAATACCTCAATTACTATAGGTATACACAGTATATTATGATACAATGTTTAAAGGGACTCTCCATTACACAATATAAAAAAAAAAAAAAAAAAGAAATAATCCTTGTTCAGTATATATAGAAACATAGAATGTGACGGCAGATAAGAACCATTCGGCCCATCTAGTCTGCCCAATTTTTTAAATACTTTCATTAGTCCCTGGCCTTATCTTATAGTTAGGATAGCCTTATGCCTATCCCATGCATGCTTAAACTCCTTTACTGTGTTAACCTCTACCACTTCAGCTGGAAGGCTATTCCATGCATCCACTACCCTCTCAGTAAAGTAATACTTCCTGATATTATTTTTAAAGCTTTGTCCCTCTAATTTAAGACTATGTCCTCTTGTTGTGGTAGTTTTTCTTCTTTTAAATATATAGTCTCCTCCTTTACTGTGTTGATTCCCTTTATGTATTTAAATGTTTCTATCATATCCCCCCTGTCTCGTCTTTCCTCCAAGCTATACATGTTAAGATCCTTTAACCTTTCCTGGTTTTATCCTGCAATTCATGAACCAGTTTAATAGCCCTTCTCTGAACCCTCTCTAAGGTATCAATATCCTTCTGAAGATACGGTCTCCAGTACTGTGTACAATACTCCAAGTGAGGTCTCACCAGTGTTCTGTACAATGGCATGAGCACTTCCCTCTTTATACTGCTAATACCTCTCCCTATACAACCAAGCATTCAAATATATATACCTCAATGAAAATGTGCATTAATTTAATTACGCATTTTTTCATTAGAGTTATATCAAAAAACAGCTTGCAAAAGCTGCATATTTCTTTGCAAGCCCTCCTCTTCTTACCCCACCCAGACTTTCTGTGGCTGGTCTGAGCAATTTCTGCCTCTTGAGTTTAGCTCCACTGAGCTAAACAACCAGGAAGTAACAGGACTGGTTGTCTGACAGCCAGGGGGGTGTAACCAGGTTAATTAAAAAAAAATGTAAAGTTCTGTAATTTTTGAAAAATGAGAAGAAAAAAAAAAAAAGGATACACCCTTTACACATGAAGCATTTCAACGAGCGAAAGTGTCTTAGGGGCAGGAGGGTCCATTTAAATAATATCTTGTCATGAGCTATTGAAATTCATGCCAATTAATGATCTAACTGTTGCCATTCACTTGACAGCTCACCACAACGCACAATTTGGGGAGTAAACTCCCAAACATTTCCTACGACATTACACTAAAGGCACGAGGTCTGTTCCTTTTTTGTTTTCAAATTATGATTTCTGGTTTCCCAACCCTCTCATACCAGTTTAAAAATTTGCATGCATGCGCAGTCACACACACACACACACGATATATCAAAGCGTTCTCTACTAATAGTAAGCAAACGTATTGAATTTGTTGTGCAATTTTGGGCACCTGTTCTAAAGAAGGATATTATGGCACTATAAAAAAGTGCAGAGGCGGGCTACAAAATTAGTAAAAGGAATGGAACATTTCAGCTATGAAGAAAGGTTAACAAATTTAAATATCTTTAGTTTAGAAAAACGTCGCCTGAGAGGGGATATGATAACACTATACAAATATATTCGCAAGCGCCTCTAGCGGCTGTCTAGCTTTGAGGGCTGGATTAATCCATTTATAAACATAGCAGTTTCTCTAAAACTACTATGTTTATAAAAAAAAGGGTTAACCCAAGCTGGACCTGGCACCCAGACCACTTCATTAAGCTGAAGTGGTCTGGGTGCCTAGAGTGGTCCTTTAAGTCCACTTTGGTCAGTAGTATAGTCTGTAAAAATCATGCAGATAACCAACTTAAAGCGAGAACACTGGTTTTAAAATTTGTGTAGTCTTTGTTCATATAAGTGGTGCTTCATGTCCAAATAGACTTAAAGATTGATGACCATGTTGGTATATGGTGTGACAAAATTATACATATGCATTACAAAACAATAAAATAAAACCAAAAAAGCTCATTTTATTTCTTGAAAAAATAAATAAAAATAAAACTATACAAAAAAATTTATTTTAAGTTAGTTACCTGTATTCAAGCAGAAATTTCAACTATGATATAAAAGCACAAGTTGAAAGTCTTAGTAATCTTCTGATTAATATAGAAAATTAAAAAGTGCTAACTTTAAAATATAAGTTCAAAACCTAGAGTTTTTTTGCAAATACACTAGTCTATTCTAAATTCCACACACTGAGTGAAACACATTTTGTACTATTGTAGCTGTATTTTATTATTTGAAGAGTGTGGCGAAAATTGTCACAATATAACTTTTAGAAATCTCATTACTTTGTTTACGTATCAATTCACATGCTATTTTCCCACTAATAGAAATGATGTGGGATTTAATGTAGGAAAATAAATATGAAATCCCCATGTGATTCCTAGGTCACTGATAGAATGGATAGAGACATTTTTCAGTGGATCAAAATGTTATTATCTAAGGGAAATGTTTCTATAGATGTTGGGGTATAGTACTGGTGAGTATGTCCCAGAATAAAGTTAAAAAGTTAACTGAAAATAAATGCTATTAGACCAAAACGAGACAAATCTTTTTTTCTTACCTTTTCCTACAAGAGGTGCGTTAGAGCTTCTGAATCTGAAAGTGATCTGAAGCTTCATGACACAGCTATGGGTATATATACACACACAGGTTTCCACATGGGGAGGTGAATCATGCAGCATATGTAGGCACACATACTCATGAGGCAAGGAAATACCCTGAACTAGCTTAAACAAGAATTCATCCAATATATAACTCACAGTCCAAGAGTTTACAGAATTGTGAAACCCACCATCTGTCACCCAAATTAACTCAAAGCACACTCTTCTGCTACACATAATGCATTCCATAAAATACGATTTATGAATAAATTAGTGTAGCCTGTGCAGTGACATCTTTATGTTCTAGGCTAGGTACATCATCTAAACAAATATTGTCCAGGGCAGCTCAGTGGCATCAAGGGGTGTTTCAACTAATCTTGTAATCTTCTACTAAACTACTTGGGCTATGCTTGCCACATTGATTTTTTTAATTTTTATTTGTTTGACACTAATAAAGTATTAATTCTGTGTGGCTTCATATGCTTTCTGCAGGAAATTATTTAAATTATCAACAGCAAGATCTCAAAGCAACTCCATTGATTACTTATTTAAAGGGTTACTCTAAGCACCATTACTATGTCAGTGATCTGAAGTGGTTGTGGTCTATAAGTGCAGCATTTTGCTTTGAAACACTGCAGAGAATTGGGCTGAGGGAGAACTTAGCAGCAAACAGGAAGAGGAGCCAAGTTAAAAGGAACATTATAGGGGCAGGAACACAAATGTGTATTCCTGACCCTATAGTGTTAAAAAAGTTAGCTCCCTGCCGACTTTAAAATTTTAAAAGGTAGAAAACATAACTTTTTCCCATGGCAGCTTGGGCCCAACGAGCCCCCGATCTCCCTCCATGGCTTAGATCATCAAAACTGACTCTCCCATACAATCCCTTGCTTTCCCACAGATTGGATTGGCTGAGATTGTCAATACGGATGATCTCAGCTAAGTAGGCGGATGGGGCAGAGCCAAATGCAGCCCTGGCCAGTCAGCATCTCCTCGTGGAGATGTATTAAATCAATGCATCTCTATGCAAAGCGTAGAGACGCTAAATGCAGCATTAATTCAGGAAGCACCAATAGTGACCATCACTGCCACTGGAGGTATCCCTAGGCAGGAATGTGAACACGGTCTTTTCTCTTTCAGTGAGCGCTTGCAGGGACTGACTATAAGAACCAGAACAACTACATTTGTCTGTAGTAGGTCTGATGATTATAATGTCCCTTTAACCCCTTAAGGGCACATGACATGTGTGACATGTCTTTTATTCCAGAAGTTTGGTCCTTAAGGTTTTAAAGGCACCCAGATGACTTCAGCTCATTGAAGTGGTCTGGGTGCAATGTCCCTGTCTCATTTAGTCCTGCATTATAAAACATTGCAGTTTTTGAGAAACTGCAACATTTACACTGCAGTACTAAGACAGCCTCTAGTGGCACTTCTGTGAGTTTACCGGACTCTAGGTCACCTAAATGATGCTGGATGTCTTCACGCTCTGCATGAGGACATGCAGCATGAGTGAAATCCAAATAGGAAAGCATTAAGTCAATACTTTCCTATTAGGAGGGCCTCATGCATATGAGGCGCTCCGCGCGTGCACATTATGTCCCCCTGTCAGATGACATTGGAGGAGGTGGAGCAACGAGGGACATCGGCACTAGAATTGGATGAGTAAAAAGTTTTGTTTTTTTAGCTGGCGGGAAGAGGTGCAGAGGGCACTATAGAGTTAGGAATACAAATTTGTATTCCTAACCCTACATAATCCCTTAAATCTAAAGCATAAAAGAATGTGTTTGGTGTGATAAATGTTTTCAACCTAGACTATTATGTATAGGCATGCATGGACAGCAGGGTGACAAATTAAATTATGGACTGCCTGAAAAGAAGTAGCTAATTATGTCTGTTGCCATCTCGCTTTATGTACTTTTTGCACAGAACTGACATTAGACAGACCGGAACAGAGTTTCGGGTGCCTAAGTCATGTGTGCCGGGCTGCAATTAGTCCCTCTCACAAAATGGCAAATATCTCGGTATGTGCACCATTTCAAAGCAAAAACATTGTCAAAGTGGTTGGAGTAATCCTTTAAGACATACTAGTTTTGGTTTGTAGACAAAATAAAACTAACACAACAGACAAGCACAAATACCCACTGACACAAGAATCACATATACAGTCAGTACAAATCATTGTAAAGCATGAGCATTTAGAAATAACATAGTGGGAGAAAAAGCTTTGGGGGGGTTGGGGGAAGGGTTTGTAATCTTGATAGTTGCGGTTTTAACGAGATTCATCACCTAACCAGATTAAAAGCACTTGATTTCCCCAGTGATATATTTATAATTAGGCATAAAAAAAGACAAAACAAAAAATTGGGCAGCTAGTTCCAAATTTATAATGTTGGTTATCCCCTTGATTTAGGGCCTCTTCTCTTGATGCCTCTGTGCCATGACACAAAGTTAGAGGAATTACCAGAATACCACCTTAAAACCTCGTTACAAATTGTGTGAAGTCCTGCTGCATGCATTGGATCAATCTGTGCACTGTGAACAAGGCTAACCTCAGCGTTGGCGCACTAAATAAGGGGTGGTCTGCCCTGGGTGGTAGGCAGGAGGATGATGGGTAGAGCACTATTTGTAACTCGTAGAGTGGACTGAGGTATAGGATCTTTTTTTTTATCCTAAAAGTGAGCTCGTCACAGCATACGGAGTTTGGATGGGAGTGGATATGAAGCCCACTGTACATTGAGAGTGGTTCCTGTCAGACCGGGTAGGGGATAAAGAATGCCCTAGATCACGGTCTGGGAGGATATGCTATAATAGGAGTGAGGAGAATAAAAGACAAGAGGTGTGGTAGGAAACACAAATGAGGATTAAGAGACACAAGTGGGATAAGAGACACAAAAAGGAGGCAGCATACACATAAGGGATACAAGAGACACAAACGGGATGCACAAAAGAGGCAAAAGGCAAATGGGGGTATAAGAGGGACAAAAGGAAGGAGGTACAATACATAAAAAGGGGAAAAGACACAAAGGGGGGGTAAGGTACAAAACTGTAAGAGACCCAAGTGGGCTAAAGAAAGGTAAGAGACAGTATGAAACTATATGTTTTGTTTTTAAATTATACTCCACACAGGCAGGGCCAAGCACAAACCCAGGAGAGGCATTGTATTTGAAACAGATTGGTATTCCTAACAGTATTGTGTCCTTTCAATCTTTAACTTCCGATATTACTTGAAGAAACAAACAGTTTATATTAGGAAAAGGGAAAAACAAAAGTAAAAAAACAATTGCACAATGAGGAACAATTAAACCCGATCTCAAGTAACAGAAATGTGCACACTACTCTGAAAAAAAAAAAAGTTATTATTAGACCAGCTGTTTATAGCTCAAGACATTCCACCTTTCCTGTTCAGCAGATCTACTTATGGTCGACACTTACATAAGGCAGTACAGACAGAGTTGCATTAGTGCACACAGGCCAGGAGGGTGCAAAATCCTAATGACATGTGGAAACGGAGGTGCGCATTGAGTTCCCCTTATCATTATCCCCTACCCAGTCTGACAGGTACCTGTACGCTGTGACTGGAGGGGGCAAGAGTTTGCAGCGTGCAGCTGCCTTTCAGACTCGATAGAGGAAATAGACCCTCTACCACGGGCCATGAGGGTAGGTTTCTATGTCTCTTACCCTCATGTGTATAGCTATACACATACAAGAAGCAAGACTTGCCCATTAGAGAGTTGAGATTGCCAGCCAATCACAGTACTCTCACTGAGCATTCAAAGCAAGGGAATGTCTTTGTGAGAGGAGCCTTCAGTTGGTTCACGTGGATTGATTTATTCTATATTTTATTTTAAACAGTTTTGATGGGTTAGTATGTATTCTTAAATAGGCTTAAATGGCCATGTTTAGATTTTGTAATCACAGAAAGGCTTAGTAGTGAAACTAGCGTGTAACTCCAGAAAACGCACTCATGACTGACTCCAGGTAAGTTGATTTCTTCGTTGTGGGAGGGCGCCAAAATACTGGCACCATAACACATTGATTGTAGTGGTTATGGTGACTGGAGTGTTTAAATCAACTTCTAATTCTACTTTTTTAGTATTTATAATTATTTACCTCTAATATGTTTCTTTCTCCAAATATTTTGAGTGAGTGGATAAATTATTAAATTCTTTAACTTGTATCTTGGATTTAAATTTTTTCTTGCTCCACCTGTTTATTTTCCCACCACTAGAGGTGCCTGGAGACAGATATGGATTTTCGGCTGGAAACATACTTTGCTAGGAAACCCATCCCTTCCTTATGTGGGAATGGATTTGGAGTTCATCTCTATTCCTCAGAGGTCCTGCCAAAAAGAAAGGAGTCTAGGTACTCTTCAGATCAAGACTCAACTTTATGGCCTCTTGTGTGCATAGAGATAGTGATGGTAGGTTTCTCACAGTTACTCGCCCTTCTTGACTGTTGGGCCTTGATGTGAAGAACTCTACCAGAACTTTCTTTTCAACCATTCTATCCCTTCTTATTGGTGTAGACTTTAGTGCAGTAATAAATCTGTACGTGGACAGAACATGCATCATGTGAGACTCATAGTCACCATTTTGTCAGAGCAGTAAGTTACATTACAGCCTAGGCACGCCTCCAGTGGCTACTCCTCTGATGGCTACTAGAGGTCCTTCCTGGGACAGTGCTGACATTCAGTGTCTATACCAGTGATGGCAAACCTTTTTGAGCCCGAGTGCCCAAACCGCAATACATGCCAACTTTTTTTTCCTTAAAGTGCCAACACGGCAATTAAACCTCAATACTGAGGTTTAAGTTTAGAAAAAACAACTCGTACTGTTGTCCGAACTAATTAACAACTTTTGTTTTAAAAGAACACAACAACAGAGAGTTCAATGATACAAATTTTAAATAATGATATAAATAGATAAAATTAAGCTTTTATTTATTAGTATCTCCAACAAATGCAATACATACACACACAGACTGCTGAATACATACACAGTCTGCTGAATACACACACACAAGACTGCTGAATACAGAGACTGATGAAAACACACACACACACAGTCTGCTGAATACACATACAGACAGACTGCTGAGTACATACACACACAGACTACTGAGTACACACACAGAGACTGCTGAATACATACACACAGTCCGCTGAATACACACACATACTGCATTGAGGGGTGCAGTGTATGTGTTTGTATGTGGGGTGCCTTGTGTGTGCTGTGTATGAGGGGTGCTGTGTGTGTCTGAGGGTTGCTGTGTGTGTGTGAGGGGTGCTGTGTGTGTGTGTGAGGGGTGCTGTGTGTGAGAGGGGTGCTGTGTGTGAGAGGGGTGCTGTGTGTGAGAGGGGTGCTGTGTGGGTGCTGTGTGAGAGAGGGTGAGAGAGGGTGTGCTGTGCTGTGTGGGGGTAGGGGCTGGGTGGGGGTAAGGGTGCTGTGCTGTGGGGGGTAGGGGTGCTGTGTGGGGAGGGGGGGTGCTGTGTGTGTGGGGCTGGGGTAAAGGTGTTTAAAAAAAAAAAAAAAAGTATGCTAAATCAGTATCCCCCGCTCCCTCCTTCTTACCTTTAATGAAGAAGGGGGGGACACAGCCATCCCTGGTGGTCCGGTGGTGGCCAGCCTCCATGGTTAAGATCACCAGAATTGACTCTCTCAGTCAATCCAATACCTTCCTAGGGGGAAGCATTGTGATTGGTTAATATCATCACTTCTGATGATGTCAGCCAAGGAGGCAGATCGGTGGCAGAGCTAGAACTGGCAGTCTGGAATAAAAGACTTTAAGGGCAAGAGGGGGCGGGGGCAGGGGTGCTAGATAATGATTTTAAAAGTATAGGGTCAGGAATACATTGACCTTATAGGGTTCCTTAAAAAAAAATATATATCGCCTACAGCTTTGTAGGTTTCTCATTATGTGACCCCTGCCTCACAGCCCTTCTATAGTTGGGACATGCATGGTTTATGTCTGGGTAAGCCCCCATACAGTATATCCTGTCTTCTAAGAGTGACCCCACACTATTTCTGCACTCAAGTAGCTGACAGAGGGATACTACAACAGGACTTGACAAATTTTCTTGGAATCTAGGAGCCAACTAAAAATGAACACTATAGTCACAAAAACCACTACAGCTTAATGTTGTGGTTCTGGTGTCTAGAGTCTGTTCCTGCAGGTTTTTCAATGTAAACACCCTGCTTTTCTGGAGAAAAGGCAGTGTTTACATTGTTGCCTAGTAACCCCTCTATTGACAGTCACTCGGGCGGCCACAAGAGAAGCTTCTTAGTCCAGTGCTGCATAGTGTGCAGCACTACTTTCAACGTCTCCTCATTTTGCATAGAGGAGCTGAACGTGCTACGTTTTGCGGTGCGTTTTTCCCACACATTGCGCAGTAGCCTTCCTATGGTAAAGCATTGGCTTGGCCAAGATCATCTTACGGTGTGGGAAAAAAGGAGAGTAAAAACACCTTTCCCAGGCGATCAGAGGGGAGCTGGTCAAAGATACACACTCATTGAGACAGACACACTCACTGACAAACACACAAATTGTTATTTGCTTTTTATTTAAAATTTACCCAGCCCCCCAACTTTAGGAGAGTTAGAGTGGATTGACTTTCTCTGGGGACCACTGTGGAGCTGTGCTGAAATCTTCAAGTTCTGCTACCTCTCACGCTGTTTAGGGATGCCGAAGCCGGAATGACATCATATTCCGGCTCCCGGCATCACAGCAGGGCACACAAGGGAGCAGAGCTCCCTAGCAGCCCGCCTGCATTCCCCCTCCACCCTCTGGGCTGAAAAAGCACCCAGGTCACCATGGCGACAAGGAATTTTGCCCTGGCACCTGTGATTTTTCAAGCCCTGTACTAGATTATTATGACTGGGTGAGCTTTTATACAGACCCCTCTGCATTCTGACAATATCTTTGACTGGTGCTCTTTTGTGCCCCTTATTTGGTGCCCGTTTAGTCTACCTGTTCACCGTATAAGGGTCTATATTTATATATATTTTGTACTGCTATTGCGAATACTGTTGCATAATACTAAGCTCTAATTGGTGCTGTTGTGTCCCTTTGTATGGGCGACACCCACAATAATACGTATCTATTTGATTTCTTTTAGTGTGTAGTATTACCTGTCCCACACCTGCCAATAATATGAGGAGTTTAATAGCAATCCTGATATCCACGCTATGATAAATGTTGTCGTCACCACCGCAGTGGAGTGCTTAATCAAACAACTCATATTTGGGCAAGGACCCCTTTATTGCTTTTTTTTTTTTCAATGGCAGCTTGTATCAGTCTATTCACGCTGTCCGTTCGGCCATTTTGGAGGCACATATTCCCATTCAGGGCTTGCCTGATTAGTCTTTTCTTTTTTTATATATATCACATATACCATTATAACATAACATTTTAGGCATATACATGCACCTTAGTAATTCAAGTAAACATGATAATCACTGTTGGAATATTCATCAATTTAAACATTTAAAATAGCATAGCCTAACACCACTTAATTAAGACGCACGAGTATATAAACACATATTACTTAAACTATGCAGATGAGGAGATTAACGTTCTTATTCCTGTATCTTTAACCTTTTCACTATTGCAAGGAGTAATATTTTAATTTGTTGAGTTTACATATTACTTAGACAGTTGTCGAACAGATTTTTTTAATTTTGTTTTTGGGGATTTAAATTGAACATTTCCTTTTTCATCCGAAACTGAAACTTTAATTGTTGAAAATAAATATTTTTTTGAAAAGTTATACTTGACTTTCAATTTCTGGCAATCACAATCTTTGTTGCAATAAAACTATGTATTGCCAGACATCGGTTATCTTTTGAGAATGATTCTAGATTCATATGTAATAATGCGGAATCGGCACCCCGGTTTACATATTCGTTTGATAAAAGCCTAAAGTTGTCAAATGCCCATTTCCATATTATTTTCACTAATGGGCAGGACCACCAGATATGTAAATATGTGCCAGCAGGATTTCCACATCTCCAACAATTTGGGTTATAGTTGGAATACATTTTAGATAGTCTCAATGGAACGAGATACCACTTGTACATAATCTTAAATTGGCACTCAATTAAATGTAAACAATTAACATTTTTATATAATTGTCTTAATACCACACACCATTCAGTTTCAAAAAACATAGTTCCTAACTCGTTATTCCAGGTGTTTACTATTTTAATAGGTTTGTCGTTTATTGCCTCGATCATCTGATTAGCTTTAGAAGTGATTTTCCCTCACCTTCTCACAACAGAACATTTGTTCCATGTGACTCTGAATATTTGATGGAGATTTTAACAGAGTTGTATGTATAAAAAAATTTTATTACGTAGAAATGTAAACACCTATTATACCTTAGTAGATATTTGAAGTTTTGTCACAATATCTGGAAAAATTAATAATTGATCTTGGTGAGCAATATCCTCAATAGTAATTTTATTTATATTAGGCCAATGTTTTAGAGATAATTCTGACATGTTGTCTTCTAAAGAAGATAAACGGCAAGTTTTTATAATCTTATCTTGAATCATGTTGAGCCAACCCTTCGGAATTTTAAGTGGTAACATTAAAAATAGAAAGGACCACTGTATGAATTTATAGTATTAATTCTGCTGAGCCAGGATATGTCCATTGACCGCCACTCTTTCAATGTCGTGTTAGTGTATTTTAATAACTTTAGAACGTTGACTTCCATGGTTCTTTCTACATTTGCTGTTATAGTTATTCCTAGATAGTTTCGTTCTTAGTCCAAATTAACTCAAATTGTCTTTTTAATATTAATATTTTAATGTTAATATTAATAGTTAACGCTGTCGATTTTGACACATTTAATTTGTCATTTGATATAGCACTATATTTTTTGATTTCCTGCATTAGGCATGTGAGAGAGGTAGCAGGTGATGTTAAAGATAACAATATATCATCCGCATATAGGGATATTTTTATGTGCCGAACTTTCGTATGGAAGCCTTCTACCCCTTTTTTTTCTCTAATATTAATAGCTAGTGGTTCAAGCAATAAGATATACAGTAGTCGAGACAGGGGACAACCCTGTCTTGTTCCGTTTCGTAACTCAAACCACTCTGCACATATATAGGCTACTATGGTCCTAGCAGAGCGGTCTGAATATAGCGCTATAATAGCGCCATGGATCCATCCCTCTACACCAAAGGACTCCAGAACATTAGCAAGGTAGGCCCAACTGACTGTCAAAGGCCTTCTCGTCATCTAGTGACAGAGCCAGGAGGGGTTGTCCGCTTCTGCGGGATTGATCGATTATGTCCAAGATTCTTCTAGTGCAGTTACTAGCCGATCTACCGGTAATAAAACCTATTTGGTCCAAATTAATCATGTTTTCTATTATCAACTTCATTCAAGTTGCTATTATAGCAGCATATATAATTGTGGACATCTGGTAATAATAATTATTAACATTGGTAATATGTTGACCTGCAGCAGCTCTTTTGGCGGTTTTGATTTGTTAGCTATTTCATTATATAAAATTAGTCAAAGGCTGAATAAGTTCTTGTTTAAAAGTTTTATAAAATAGGTTGCTAAATCCCTCAGGGCCTGGGGTTTTATATACATTCAACTTTCCTATCTCTCTATCTACTTCTTTAGTGGTAAAGCAAGCGTTTAAAATTTTAGTAAGTCTGATTTTGTTATCTATTCATATTTTTAAAGTTTTTTTTATTATTTCTTCATCCGCAGAAAGCCCAAGATTATACAATTTATTATAAAATTCATTACATTTTTGGTCTATTTTCACTGGGATTGAGAATATTTCACTTCCATCTACTAACCTATTAATTCTATTTTTAGAATTACTTTTTTGTAAGGTTTTTGCTTGTTCTGTTCCCAGTGAAGTACCCAGCTTGTTTTTCTGAGGCAAATAGCATGCAGATCTACAGCTTCAGGCTTGAATACAGTAAGATTTTGCTATATTTAGGGAGGCATGACTGTGTATCAGCTTGGTGATCGTGTGCACTTCCCCTCAAACACCAGTATTGACCACTTCACACTCCCCGTCAAACTCCTCCTTAAGATACATGCGCTGTTATGTCATCATGTACCCCCTCGTTGATTTTTTCTTTGTATTTCGACCATCCACACAATCAATATTGATGCTTCAACTTCCTAACTGTGTTTTTTTTTTTTATCCCTTTTTTCAGAAAGTTCCAAATATTTGTGTTGTCAATGCCCTTCGTTGTTATGTCTATGCTATTGCACCACTTTGTGGTTCTCAGTCCAGCCAGCTCTTGGTTTCGCATGTCTGCGAGAACAGACTTCAATAGGGGTGAAAAATTGTGTCGCAATATATCCCTTGGGTTCGTGGTCACCCATACGCCTAGGTATTTCATCCTGCCGTGGCACCAGTGGAACGCGAATTGTGATTCCAATGATAGGAATTCTTCTGTGGGAAGTGTGATGTTCAGGACCTCGCATTTTGAGATGTTAAGTTTAAATCCAGATATCCGTCCAAATTTATCAAATTCCGAGAGGAGGCATGGCAATGTGGTCCTGGGGTTGCGGACGAAGAAGAGGAGGTCATCTGCATAAGCAGCCACTTTATGTTGTTCACCTTGGGCTTCGTATCCCTGTATGTCTGGGTTCAGCCGAATTGCCTGCAACAATGGCTCTAGGGTCAATGCGAAAAGCAACGGCGAGAGGGGGCAGCCCTGTCGGGTCCCATTGCTAATTGCAAAATCAGCAGTCGTGGCTCCGTTGACCCTTACCGTTGCGCGTGGGCTATTATACAGGGCGGATATCCATTTGAGGAGTCTTTGACCACATCCCAGGTGTTTCAACGTTGACATCATATATGCCCAGTTGACCCGGTCAAATGCCTTTTCCGCGTCAGTGGATAGTAATAGTAACCGGATACCTGATTTCCTCGCATGGTGTTGGATGGAGAAGAGTCGCAGGGTGCTGTCCCTGGCCTCTCGACCTGGGATGAATCCCGTCTGGTCCACGTGAATCAAGTCAGGGAGAAGGTGATTTGGTTTCGTATGTCAAGCCACACAGTTAAGACTCTGGTTTGCTGGCTTCTTTCTCTCCTGGGTATTGACTCCTTTTTTGGAGCACAATCTGAAGGGAAATGCTGTCTTGTGCTTTGTCCTCAAGAGCTTCACTTGTCGGTATTATGAACTCAGTAGACTGGTCGCTAGAAACTACATTTCTTTTTTTTGTGAATTTTTTTTTTTTTTTTATTGAGTTTTTATAGATATGGATACAGAAGAGTTGTACGCATGCAGGCCCCACCACATACATACATGAAGATATTACACAGATATACAGCTTGTACGGTTCAATTTGCGTTATCAGGTGTTGTATAATTGCTCATGTTTCATTCTAAGTAAAATTATATAGCCTTCCCCAATAATAGCTTTTGTCTATATCTGCTTGTGGTTCCATAAGGCTTCCTGTGTCAGTTGTGTAAGTCAGTCCTTCCCACCTCCATGTCAATGTAGTAAGGTCTGCGAGAGAGGACAGCAAAGAAAGATGCGAGAGATAAGTAAAGAGAAAAGGAGCAGAGAAAGTCCCCTACAGGCCCCCCATGTCTCTCATCTGTGTAATCATTCAAAATCTGAGATTTGTAACATATGAAACAGCGCATGCATCGCAACAAAGTATCATTCCTAAAACGGTTATTATGAAACAGTTATTATATGTTACACATGTGGCTTCCTGGACAATCTATTATCGGTTTCCCACCACAACTTTAGGATTAAGTAAACCGCAGTGGCTAACAAGTTATTCCCGGTTCACAATCATTATACGTATTTTGTACGGAACTCTGCGTTGTACAATGTACATAGTAGAGCATGGTGCGCCAAGCGCACCCCAGCAGTAACACCTGCCAGATTTTTCCCTTTGCTGATTAGGCTGATATAAGTATTAGGAGGGAGTTTCAATCCTTTCCTGCTCTGGTCATCAGAATAAAATCGTAGAAGAGTAGAAACTACATTTCATACATTTTATTTTTGCCCATCTTCACAAGCTGATTTTTCACCGTTATCAGAGTGTTAAAATAGCAAAATATGAAACCTGTCATGAAGTAAAATTTGATCTGTAATATGTTGCAATGCTGCCACCCATCCCATGTGTTCCCTATTAAGGGTTAATAAGTATATAGGGGTGTATATAAAAAATACCCCTCTGTCTCATTGGAGATGTCTTTGACAGAAGCTCAAGGAAGCAAGGTGAAAGGTTAGTGTAGGACCCACCTGAGGGGTTTCACTTAACGTTGGCAGGTGGGCTAAAATCTCTCATGGCCACTGGAGAAACTAAATTACCTCAATTTTTTTAAATGTGCATAGGGAATTGAGAGAGAGTGCAGATAACTTTTTTCCTTTGGTCTTTACTGTATGTATTGGGGCTGATGTGTACTATGGTCATTGCTGCCGCCCAGGAGTGATGGGAGTTGGAGCCCAGGACCTATTTTTTTTGTATTTGATCTGTAATATGCCTTTACATTTATCACTTATTTTAGTTCTTGTTTTTAGCTGCAAGATCATTTCCTTTCACAAATTGTCTTCTCTTTTTCAGTGTAATGTCTCCTGGAATTTCTTCATGAGAGGAGTATATTGCCTGAATTCCTTCTTCAGCAAAATATATTGCCTGCTTGTTTGAGCATGCTTCTGGTTCTTGCTGGTTTATCACTTTTGTTTCTTTTACTAATCGTTATATGTCATCAAAGAAAGTGGAGGTACTTCCTGTGGGGAGGCCTTATAAAACCTGATTGTTTTATCTTTTCACAAAAGCTAGGATAATTTATAATTTAATGGCAGGCTGCTGATATGCTGGTAACCAAAGTAGTGAGGAAAAAAAAGGATGTAAGAATTCTCTGCTCCAACAGGGAATATGAGCCTTACCCCTTTTGGACCACAATGTATCATAGCCTCCTTTCTTGAAGAAAACCAAGCAGGAGGGGGCTACACAGAGCACGACTACAAACACATTACATGCAGTCACCACACACATCACATACAGCCAGCACACACAATACATAAAGCCAGCTGACCTCACACATACAAACACTACATAACACCAGCTCACAACACACTCCACATAAAGCCAGCCCACCACCCACACACACACACACACACACATCTGGTTCTGGTTAGAGTTTGAGCATCCAGCCAGCATACATCACATCTCACACACACACACACACACACACACACACACACTACAAAAAGCTTGTATATTTTAGATGATTTTATGGTGATGTTATCTAAAAGATGGGTGTCAGATGATTGGACACGGTTGTAAGGTACGCGATTTCCGTGCTAGCCATAGGAGCTAGTTTTAGTAAGTATGTCTCTGGGTTGTGGAAAGGTTTAGAATTTCTGACTTCATAACATTTTAGTTAGGAAAAGCACCATATTGAGTGAATTCTAAAATGATATGTGGTAAAAAAGTGACAGTGTCAGAAATCAGAAAAAGATTTTTAACAGGGACGGGGCCTGGCAGCCAAGATGGCAGGATGTGTTTTTTGAGTGCTCTGACACAGCTAAACCTAATTCTAACCCTCACTGCCCAAAATCAAGATATTTACAGCCCTGTATGCAAATGATTCACTGCTGAATTGAATGAGAGCTTCTGGACACAAGTCCCACACCAATCTGACAAGAAACACTGCAGTATGACCATGTGGCCTAATACAAGAGACGACCTGGTAGCCGGGAGAGGCGGACGATCACTTTGACAAGCTACAATCCAGGAACCCCGCAGCCCCTCCCCCCTTTGGACCAGTGGGGGTTATCCCGGTCCCCGCTGGGGAAACATACTTATCTGCTACGGCGGGATCTCTTGCTGAGCAGACCGCATGACAAATCCAAAATGCCGCCTCAACCTTTGCAGTCTCGGGAGGGCCCAGAAATATGGCAATGGAGGGAGAATTTTGAGGCTCAATTTGACCAAATCTGTAAAGCATTCTGGAAATGCATACAGCACACACCTCTCTTGCCGAACTGCAGAGTAAGGACGCTGCTAAGGTCCATCGACCATGCTCAAAGCCAATGGCCTCTCTGAATGTGTGCGTACCTCTCACCACCTATGCAAATGGGGAGATCCCCAAAAGCCAGAGTTCCTTAGGGCACGGGTTTCCACCAAAAGGAGGAGAAGAACCATTAGCATCACAACTCTGGCCCTTCTTAAAGCCAGGGTGGGAGACAAAGCACAACTCAGCAGACCATTCAAGACTCCGCAGTATGAGAACCGGCTACACAGCAACATCATACCGATCATTGAGATGAACTGCTTCTTACAGCCTACTCACGGTAACGGGTGAATGCCAGGTGATGCCTCTATTTCAGCTACCAACCCTAGTTATAAATCAGGACTCACTGTTTGCTTGCATTTATTAATCGCCATTTTCCCAGCAATACCATCGTCTAATTTGTTTCATATGTCTGATAAGCTTGTTACTACATCTATACTTAGTCACTCTCCCTTATATCTGAGAGGCTATGTGTACTATTGCGTTTTTTCTACATCCGTGTTCAGACATACATGCCTAATCAACAAAAGAAGATTGTATAACCTCTGCTACTTATGTATAGATACTCCTGCTGGCTTCATACTTTTGAAACATTGCATCCTCTCAGATGTTCTGTACTTACTCTTGTCACTATTCCTTAAAGGAACACTATAGTCACCTAAATTACTTTAGCTAAATAAAGCAGTTTTAGTGTATAGATAATTCCCTTGCAATTTCACTGCTCAAGTCACTGTTATTTAGGAGTTAACCCCTTAAGACCGGAGGGCGTACTATTACGTCCTCTAATAGGCGGCTCTAAACGCCGCCGGGCGTAATAGTACGCCCTCCGGTCTTTCTGTACTTACCCGGTCGCCGGCGGTCCCACGCCGGCGATCGCGGTGGGGGGGACTCCCAGGGAGCCCCCCGCGGCACGACCGTCCTCCAGGAAGCCCCCCGGCCGTGTGAGAGTGGGGTCCTAGCGAGGACCCCACAATCACATGGCCGGGGATAGCTGGCTTCTGTATTGCCGGCAGGGGGGCTGCCTGTAATGACAGGTGGTCCCCCTGCTGGCTGAAAATAAAAATGAAATAAATAAATAGTGTAAAAAAATAAATAATATATACTTAGATCATATATATATATTATATATATATGATCAAAGTATATATATACACATATACATACACACATGTACACCGTCTAGGTGTATTTTACTATTAATATATATATAATTATATATATATATTAATATCAAATTACACGTACACTGATACTGATTAAATATATATATAATTATTGTTATATATATATTTATATATATTATAAAAAAAATTAAAATGTAAATACGTTAAAAAATAAAATTACAAAAATAATTAAAAATAAATAATTAAAAAATATATAGATGTGTGTTATTTCGTTCTAACTGTATTGTGAAATTAATATATATATATATATATCAAAATACACATAGAACGAAATAATATATATATTTATACACATAAATATATACGTATATATCACTATATATATACCTATATATAAATAAAAATATTTAAAAAAAATTATATAGATATATACATATATATACACATACGTATATATATACATATATTGATTCTACATATATATATGTAATAATTAGGTATAATATTTTTAATTTAGCACTATATTTAACCCTATAACTTTCCAAGACACCATAAAACCTGTACATGGGGGGTACTGTTCTACTCGGGAGACTTCGCTGAACACAAATATTAGTGTTTCAAAACAGTAAAATGTATTACAACGATGATATCGCCAGTAAAAGTGACGTTTTTTGCATTTTTCACGCACAAACAGCATTAAACGGACAATATTATTGCTATGATACTTTTTACTGTTTTGAAACACAAATATTTGTGTTCAGTGAAGTCTCCCGAGTACAACAGTACCCCTCATGTACAGGTTTATGGTGTTTTCAAAAGTTACAGCGTCAAATATAAGGCTTGCGTTTCATTTTTTTCACATTAAAATTCGCCAGATTGGTTACGGTGCCTTTGAGACCCTATGGTAGCCCAAGAATGAAAATTACCCCTATGATGGCATACCATTAAATAGTAGACAACCCAAGGTATTGCAAACAGGGTATGTCCAGTCTTTTAGTAGCCACTTAGTCACAAACACTGGCAAAATTGGCGTTTTTTGCATTTTTCACACACAAACAAATACTAACGCTAACTTTGGCCAGTGTTTGTGACCAAATGGTTACTAAAAAAGACTGGACATACCCCATTTGCAATACCTTGGGTTGTCTACTATTGCAAATGGTATGCCATTATGGGTGTAAATTTCATTCCTGGGCTACTATAAAGTCCCAAAGGCAACGTAACCAATCTGGCGAATTTCAATTTCAAATGTAACGTGCTATATTTGACCCTGTAACTTCCCAAAACGCCATAAAACCTGTACATAGGGGGTACTGTTTTACACGTGAGACTTTGCTGAATACAAATATGTGTATTTTATTGCAGTAAAAGCAAACAGTATTATGACACTGACCGTTTAAAATGTCATGTAGAACTAAAAAAATCCAATAAAATCGTATTTTCTCCCATTTTTTTCATATTAAATTATGTTTCATAGCTAAATATTTGATATTAAATGAAAGCCCTGTTTCCCCTGAATAAAATGATATATAATAAGGGTGGGTGCATTTACTATGAAAGAGGTGAATTACGGTTGGACAGACATGTAGCGCAAATGCCAGGTTTTGTTTACATTTTGTTTTGTTCACAACGTGTACATTTGGCTCCGTCCTTAAGGGGTTAAATCACTTTGTTTCTGTTTATGCAGCCCTAGCCACACCTCCCCTGGCTATGATTGACAGAGCCTGCATGAAAAAAAAAAAAAACTGGTTTCACTTTCAAAACAGATGTAATTTACCTTAAATAATTATATCTCAATCTCTAAATTGAACTTTAATCACATACAGGAGGCTCTTGCAGGGTCTAGCAAGCTATTAACATAGCAGGGGATAAGAAAATCTTAATTAAACAGAATTTAGGCTTAACTTAAGCCTAAATAGGGCTCTCTTTACAGGAAGTTTTTATGGAAGGCTGTGCAAGTCACATGCAGGGAGGTGTGACTAGGGTTCATAAACAAAGGGATTTAACTCCTAAATGGCAGAGGATTGAGCAGTGAGGCTGCATGGGCATGTTCTATACACCAAAACTGCTTCATTAAGCTAAAGTTGTTCAGGTGACTATAGTGTCCCTTTAAATATATAAAAGTGTGCTGATTTTTGTTATACACTTTCCTATACACTTCTTATTTGCTATGTATGTCTCCAAAGTGTACACTGTCCCACACTTTCTCTTCAACATGCACATTAAAAAAAAATGGTGGCCAGTTTATGAGTGCATGTGGGTGTTACCATGCCTCTAAAATAGGTTGTACTGGTTATGGTGCTTGGAGTATCCCTTTAACTGAGTGCTTTAGCATTTTCAATCTTTCAAAATAAAATATTTAAGATGCCTATCTGCTTTTGTTGCTATGGAAACAGTCTATAAATCATGTGACACAATAAGATCGCATTTATAGGCTTCAAGGAAGAACAAACAACACGCAGCAGACATTATTGGGGAGGTATTTCATTTAAATAAATAAACATTTCTGTTTATGGTTTGGGTAAAGTAATCCCGGTGACATTTCTGTCGTATATTCAGTTAAATCAGCATCTTTTGTCAGGTTACAGCATGTTGCCTTTAGGAGGGTTTTCCAATTCTCCCAGTGACTCGGTTCTTAGAACACCATAGTGTTCTATACCTGGACTTAGTGACTGGTGAGATTGAGGGACTATATATTTATGAAGATCTTTCATAAAATCTATACATTTTCTATCAAATCAGAACGCATAAATGAATTGGTGTGCACCATGACAGGTAAACACCCAGTGCATGGATTATAAATCCACCGGTACAAAGCATTCAGGTACAGCCGATCATACAAACAATGGAAACCAGAACAGACAAGCATAGGAATGTCTGATCACTATATTCAGAGAAACCCACAGCATGACCCCGGCTATAGCTAAGCATTAATAGCACACTGACATATTACATGACTTCAAGATACATAGATAGCAACTTAAATCATATTAGAACACTCACTATTAAACCAGGAGGAATGGTCTGTCAGCTCACAGAAATGATATAGCTCGTGTCTTTCCTGCTTCCTACTCCGCCCCTGGTAGATCAGCACTGCCCAACACACTCCTTCATTAAAGGAACAGTAACACAAGAAAGGATATTCAAGGAAGTTGAATTGTACTTATGTCCAGCTTCTAAAAAGTTAATATGTCGTAGACTAGCATGCTCCTAGACCAGTCCCGAGCTTAGTTTACTAGCACAGCAGTTTCTGTTATTAGGTCTGTAAGGCAGTGTTTGATAAATGGCTTCACATGTTTGAGAACGACATTTCCTATTATGCTACTATTTAGACCAAAACAATATAAAACATTTCACCACATATTACATTCCACACCAGGCTGCCCCCTTCTCTCTCAGAGCCGGTGTTCAAGTCACCAGACAAAGGTTGCCAAGTGCCTTAGTCAGGGTGCCAAACTGGGGTCCCCACCACTCTGTTTATATGTGTTGTGTTGACTAAGTGTTGAGTTTGAAAAAGCTGTATGGGGGTGCAGGGTGTGTTGTCAGTGTGTGCCGGTTGAGTGTTGTGTGTGTGTAGTGGCTTAAAGTGGCTCTGTCCCCTCAAACTTACCTTCCTTCTATTGTCTCCTCTTCTCTCCCTGATTTGCAATCTGTTCTTCTTGTCTTCATTTCTGATCCATTTTTCTTTAATACATAAGACAAAGTAGGGACTACTATTTTTCCTAAGCTTGACAATTGTGACAATTGTGACAAAAGGGTGTAGCTTAAGGCAAGCTTTCCCACAATACTCACCTCTATGCTGTCCTGCCTCCATTGTCTTGCGAGATTTTTGATGCCCAGTTCCATTTTAATCCCTCAGTGCTTATTGAGCATGAGTGGTCGTCTCCAAAGTGCTTCATATACTGTGCTCAAGAAAAGGCAGTGAACTTATGTCACTTCTGACACTTAGAAGATGACAGCGCAGGGAATGTGGATCCAGCTACGCAAAGGGATGATTTATTAAGAAAAATATATTAAAAGGGAAACTTTAGGGGAAACCTGGGAGAAGGGAATATTTAAAAAAAATAAAAAGGTTACTGTGTGACAGAGCCGCTTTCATTTTGTGCCTATCTGCAAGTAGGGGAGCCTGACTGTCGTATGTATATGTTTTTATACCCCCCTTGCTTACCTTCACTAGCGGTCCAGTGGAGGATGAGCAGAGTCCTCGGTAGGCCATTGGTGGGTGAGCTGGATCCCTGGTGGGGGAGCTCCATCATTTATACCAATATCAGGTATACACCATTTTAAGAGTGCTCTCAGAGTCATCAAGAAGCAATGGTAGACTACAAGGATGCTCTTAAAGTGGTCTTGCCTGCTATTGGTACAGACCACAATGCTTCTTCTATGAAGTGAGGGAGCGCAAGGCTGCAATTGGAGATCTTTTAATATTCCTGCCAGCATGCAAAGGGTCCTTTCAGAACTGGAGCCCCAGGTCCAGGCCCTAGGCAGCCGCATTGGTTGCAGATTGGGTAATCCAGCTCTGTTCTCTCCTCACTCCCTGTCAGGTTGCCCAATTTCCTCACAAATCCTTATACATCTTTATATAATTCATTGCCCGATTGCCCCTTCCCTGCTCCTTATCCCTAAACTTACACACTTACAATAAAACAAAAACCAGTCTGAGTTTCCCCACTCATGAACAGGAAAAGAAAATTACAATAAATATGGATATACTTTTCCATTTCACAAGTCATGGCCGTGGCAATGGCCGTGGCAAAAAGTAAAATTTAAAGGACCACTCTAGGCACCCAGACCACTTCAGCTTAATGAAGTGGTCTGGGTGCCAGGTCCCTCTGGGATTAACCCTTTTTTTTTTTTTATAAACATAGCAGTTTCAGAGAAACGGTTATGTTTATAAATGGGTTAATCCAGCCTCTAAAGCCTCTAGTGGCTGTCTCATTGACAGCCGCTAGAGGCGTCTGCGTGCTTCTCACTGTGAAAATCACAGTCAGAAGACGCCAGCGTCCATAGGAAAGCATTACGAATGCTTTCCTATGAGACAGGCTGAATGCGCACGCAGCTCCTGCCGCGCATGCGCATTCAGCCGAAGAGGAGGATAGGAGGCGGAGAGCTCCCCGCCCGGCGCTGGAAAAAAAGGTAAGATTTAACCCTTTCCTCTCCCCAGAGCCCGGCGGGAGGGGGACCCTGAGGGTGGGGGCACCCTCAGGGCACTATAGTGCCAGGAAAACGAGTATGTTTTCCTGGCACTATAGTGGTCCTTTAAAAGAACACTATAGCATTAGGAATACAAACCTGTATTACTAACACTACACTGACCCTGTTTTAGCTCCATAATTTTAAATGAAATTAATTTTACTTGCCTTTTTCCAGCTCTGAGGTTCACTTGGCGCTGTTCACCTCTCCGCCTCCCAAAATGTAATGGAAGATGCACAGCCCACTCCATGATGGTCCAACCCAATGCTCCTCATAGAGCAGCATTGGGGACCTGATGCGCATGCTCAGCAAGCACATCAAAGCTTCACCAAAGGAAAGGCATTGTATTCAATGGATTCCTGTGGGCTTCCGCTTCGTGTGACAACTCGGTCAGTGCAGTGGAAGTGACTTCAGTGGCGGTCATACTGACAATTACTAGAGGTGGATTTAACTCTGTAATATAAACATTGCAATTTCTTTAAAAAATTTTTTTTAAAAAAAGCAAAACACCTGCAATTGTATACATTGAATGGTTAAAAGGACAGGAACACTGCACCCAGACCACTTCATTGAGCTGAAGTGGTCTGAGTGACTATAGTGTCCCTTTAAAAAAAGAGAGAGAGAGAGTGAGAAGAAAAATAAAAAGAGTATAGACAAAATTTTATGCCAAGAAAATTTTTATAAATTAGAAAGAAGCCACTTGAACCTTTTCTTGCAAAATTGTCAATATCTGCTGCCCTAATTGTTCTTCAGAGAACACTTGAATAGCAGCAGCACAAGAAGTGGAAACTGATGTTCAGAATGTCAATGAATTCCAAAAACCTCCAGAGCATTTTTGAGTTTTCTAAATGGGTTACTATGCATCAGCTCATGCCATAAGCCCTTTCTTGGCACACAAAGGGATGACAAAAATATGAGAAGCATTCCATATGATCTGTGACACATGGTGGAGGCAGTGTTATGGCATGGGCACGGACAGCCGCCAATGGAACTTAGTCGCCAGTGTTCATTTATGATATGACTGCTGACAGAAGCAGCTAGATGTCTTCTGAAGAGTATAGGGCTATACCCTCTACCAAATATTGCAAAACTGATAGGATGGCGATTTACAATACAGACCCAAAACATAATGCAGAAGCAACCGAAGTAAGTGGAAAATTCTGCAATTGCCAAATCATTCACCTGATGTCAACCCAGTAGAACATTCCTTTGAGTTGCTGAAGTCAAAACTGAAGTCAGAAACACCGACAAAGGGACACACTAATCACCAGGAGCACTGCAGTAATTTGAAGTGGTAATAGTGCTTTGGAGACTGTATGTGCAACAGTTTATAGTGAAAGGTTTCACTTACAGAGATATCGCCATATGGTAGTTACACAGCTGTTAAAGGGATTCTCTAGTGCCAGGAAAACAAACCCATTTTCCAGGCACTGTTGAATCCTGTGGTGCCCCCCTCCCTCGCACCCCCGATCCCACATCACCTGAATCGATGTGAGCCGGCGGGGGAGACCTAATGCGCATGCGCAGCAAAGGTTGCACTCACATTAGGATTTTCCCATATGAAAGCATTATTTATTGCTTTCCTATGTGGATTCTGATGACACTGGAAGTCCTCATGCATAGTGTGAGGACGTCCAGCGTCGTTTAGATGACCAAAAGTCGTCTAAGCACGCGGAAGTCCCTCTGGTGGCAGCCGCTAGAAGAGGACTTAACCCTGCAAGGTAATTATTGCAGTTTCTCAGAGACTGCAATAATTACCACTGTAGGGCTAAGTGACATGGGACATTGCACTCAGACCACTTCAGTGAGCTGTTTAAAGGGACACTACAGACCTCTAAAACACTCTAGCTTGCTGAAAGTAGTGCAATCGGTACATTTAAATAAGGAAGGTTTATTACCTGAAGCAGTACATCCGTGTAGGGAGGCAGAGCCATGTCCTCGAATAGATCCTTGGTTGTTGAAGAATTGCAGATGATAGGGTTGAGTGCGTCCTGAAGCCCAATAGTCTGTGGGGCGAGGCCTGTAGCCTGTGAAGGCTACTCTGCTGGTGTTTCGGCCCCTATAGCATCCAGCCCTTCATGAAAAACAATGGGTTTGGGAGCGAAAGACCCTGCATAACAAGGACTGGGCTTTGTTTATTGCGGTAAAGGCAGAGACGTGCTTGGAGAAGTCTCACATGAAGCTGTCGCCAAATAGTAAGCCATTGGCTTCTGGTCCCAATTCTTTGGCACTCAATCCTACTAATTTGACATCCATTTTATAAAGTGCTGCCATTCGTCTTTTGGTTGAAATTGCCAATGTACATTTTATTATTATTATTGGTATTTATAAAGCACTAACATATTCCATAGTGCTGTACAGTCAGGTAAAACAGACAATACAGTATATTCAAACCCTGTGAGCTTAGAAATGTACAGCCTTTTTAAACATAGTACTAAGCTAGACAGCAGGGGTGATAGGCACTCACTATCAGGCCCGGACTGGCCATCGGGCACACCGGGCAAATGCCCGGTGGGCCGCGGTGGCCATGGGCCAAGGCTGACAGAGGTGGTCCCAAGATCTCCCCTGCCGGTTTATGCAGGGCCGGCACTCTCCTAGCGCCGGCCCCGCTGTTTGCCACGACGGGCCGGTGGGGAGATCAAAGATCTCCCTCACTGGCCCACATGCGGCCGCCGGCGAGGATAGAGGGAGGGAGCCAGCCAGGAGAGGAGGACCCAGCGGAGCTCTAACTTGCAGCTCCGCCGGGTTCCTCTCGCGAGATCCGGCACGTTGCCATGGCAACGACCGGATCTCGCGAGAGTGAACTCTAGCTCCACAGGCTATGCGGGCTAGAGTTCACTCACCACGAGGACCACCAGGGAACACTGCCACCCCGCCTCCCAGTCACCAGTGTGCCGGTCCCCCCCCCTCCCAGGCTAAAGGTAAGAAGGGAGGGGGGATTTAATGCCTGTTTTTGTTTATTTACCTCCCCCAAACACACACACAATCCATTCTAACATTTATACAGCACTCTCACACCCATCACACACAGCACTCTCTCACAGCACACTCACACCCATCACACACAGCACTCTCTCACACAGCACTCGCTCACCCATCACACACACGGCACTCTCACACACACGGCACTCTCACACACACACCGCATCCTCACACACACAGAGCCCCCCCAACACAGTGCACCACACACATACACAATACTTCCAAATATATATATATATATACACACACTACACTCTTAACATACACACTCTGGATCCCCTATACACACATTAGATTCCTTGTAAGCAAACACACACTACATCACCTATATACACACACACACACACTATAGCCTGTATGCACACACTTGCTATATCCCCAATACACACATTCTCTACAGCCCATAGCCACATATGCATCACATTACACCACAAACACAACATGACTAAAACCAACCTTATTACACAATACCACACCACATTCAGCTCACTCTACACACACGCAATACCACAAGCAGGTTCCAAACACATGCACAATACTCTTTCCTGGCCCTTTTGTCTCCTGGTATACATTTATAGAGACACCAGAGACAAGTTGCATGGAAACACAGTGCAAACATGTTATTAAATTTGCTTGCACTGTGCAGAACAAATACAGAGCTTTTTTCTCATGCTAGAGCTCTTCAGCAGAGCTCTGTGCATGGTCTGCCCTGGAAGAGCATTGAACCCCCATGCTCACTTCGAGAGGGGGCGTGTTTGTCATTGGTGATGACAAAACACACCTCCTGCCCCGCCCCGTTCTTAGTGGGCCGCTGTGTTAAAAAAATGCCGGGGCCAAATTTTTCTCCCAGTCCGGCCCTGCTCACTATAGCATAATAAATGGATGCCTTCTGTAGACTGCAGTACACAGTACAAGGATTCCAAAACCTCGTGAGTGAACAAATAGCAAAATAAATATTTTAGTGTAACAAGACAGGGTTGCCCACTATCTCCCCTTCCTTTTTGTTTTAGCGCTCGAGCCCTTACTTCAAGCGATACGCCGGCACCCGAACATTGCAGGTGTTAGGGTGGGAGACAAAGAGTTTAAGGTGTCGGCCTACGCAGACGATGTCCTTTTGACCATCTCAACCCCTCACAAATCAATGGTGGCGATAAAGGATGTGATAACGGAATTCGGTATGGTATCAGGCTATAAAGCAAACATTCAGAAGTCCAGCGCCCTCCCGATCTGTCTAACACAAGATGACACAGCTAGATTACAGGAGACCTACCAAATACGAATGGAGATGGATTCTCTGAAGTACTTAGGGATTAATCTGACAGCGGACCCTGGGCGTCTATATTCTGCTAACTACGCTCCGATGCTCAGGGAACTGTCGGGAGACCTCGACAAGTGGACAGATAAACCTATTTCCTGGATAGGCAGGATTAATTCGGTAAAGATGAACATCCTTCCACGTATATTGTTTCTTTTCCAGGCACTACCCATCCGGGTCACAAAGACGCAACTGATTCCCCTGCAAAGATCTATAGGAGACTTTATTTGGCAGAATAAGAGACATAGAATCTCCAAACAGATCTTATACAGACGAAAAGATAGGGGGGGCCTGGGCCTCCCGAATCTTTACTTCTACTATCTAGCGGCCCAATTGACGCAGATCGCCATGTGGCACTCCACGCCAGATGAGAGAAAGTGGGTAGACATTGAGTCTATGATGGTGGGCGTTGATGTGCCACAGTTTACGATCTGGGTTCCTAAAGAACACAGACCGATGATACGGGTCACATGCCCGGCGATCCTAAACTCGATTCGAATTTGGGACACATGTAACACCAAATATAGGCTGGCGTCATCCCCCTCCCCCTTGACCCCGATCCTCCGCAACAGAGAATTCCCTCCCGGCATGGCCCCCAGAGATTTCCGCAATATAGAAAGAACGGGTCTACAACGGCTACATCAGCTCTATCAAAACGGGGAGTTTATACAATTTGCAGACCTGCAATCGGGTAACCACCTAACCCCTGCGGACTTTTTCAGGTATGTTCAAATTCGGGATTTTGCGAAAAAACAACACATTAAAACAGCTGCCCTGGGGAAACCCACCTTTTATGAGAAATTATGTTCCGATGGGGTTGCCCCCAAGGGGATGATCACGCTACTATATGCACACCTTAGTGAAGAAAATAAAGAATGGGGAAGATTGTCCTATACGGCCCAATGGGAGACCGACCTCGGGGAGGTTCTAGAGGGGGTAGAGTGGCAGGAGATATGGGAGGCGAACGCTAAAGTCTCAATATGTGTCACCCTCCAGGAGCAGTCTTGGAAAACTATGTTTAGGTGGTACACTACCCCAATCAAATTACATAGAATGCACAAACTGGAGACTGACGATTGCTGGAGGGGATGCGGAGTACGTGGATCATACATCCACATGTGGTGGGAATGCCCGAAGTTGCGGGGTTTTTGGGGATCCGTGGAGGATTTGGTAAGACAGACGTTTGACTGGCCCCTAAAACTGGATCCGTGGATTTACTTGCTGAATAGATCTGTGGACGGGTGGACAAAGAGGGAACAGACACTAGTACACAAGATTACTTTGTGTGCACGCCGAGCGATTGCGATAGCGTGGCTCACACCTGAGGGCCCAGAATTTACAGGGGTTATCTCCAGAATCAAAGAGTGTAGAATCATGGACGATCTAACTGCAAGGGTGAGAGGGAACATCACGACATTCCAAAAAACATGGGAACCATGGGACAATAGCATAATGGGCTCGAACGGAGCTTGAGAGCCTCGCACATATGGGAATGAACCCATGATATACACATCCGTACGGAAGGTGACACGTCTGTCAATGCCGTGGCTGCGCTGCCCCCCCCATCCTCCCTTCACCCCTCCTTTGCTTCTCGTTTTTTCTCTGGTTTTTTCTATCCCAACCTTTTCCTTTTCTTTTCTCATTCTTCCTACCTCTTTGTTTTTAGTTTCTTTATTCAAGCAGGATCATACGGTCAGAGGAATGATGTAGCTTAAGAACTAGAAAGATAAGCGTACATAGAGGCTAATTGATCTACTTACTGGCCTGCCCTTGGTTAAAACATAACTTACCCTAATAGACTGGGGGCCCCAAGGGTTTCTAGCAGAAAGCGCATGCAAGGTTCAGGTTGCGTATTATCTCTTTACAAGCTATGTAATTCCTTTTGGCTTCCTAGTGAGCCCAAGAGTGTATATACACCTGTTTTGTTTATGGTGACAGTTAAATTCCCCAAAAGAGAACTCACAGAATTTAAACCAACAAAAAGGGGATTGGGTATGATAATGTAAAGCCCTCTGTAGACGACAGGTACCAACGTTTTCTTATTTCGAGGAAAGGGCCAATGTTGTATCGGCTGATTTACGATACGTTTTCAAAATTTATATCCAAGTTGGCTTCTGCGTAAGCCCAAAAGTTTATGTAATCCTGCTGTGTCTATTGTGCAAAATCAAAGTTTTACAAAAAAGAAAAATCCCTTGGCAGGTAGCCAAATCAGCATATCGTTACCATAATTACTGTTTATGCATTGCATTAGCACCTGTATAACTACAATTGAACTTGCGTACTACTTATCGGGCTTTTGCATAAGCCGTAATGTTAATGTTAACTGGCTACTTTTGTCAAGATGAAAAAATAAAGAATTTTAAAAAATATATATATATATTTTAGTGTAGAAGTATTATATCATCTGAAGATTTATGTACATTTAATTCTGGGTGCGGTATACACTATTTATTTTGCTATAGTACTAAGCAAGATGGCTCTTGAGCTTGCAATCTAAAGATTATGATTTGTACCTGAGACAGTAGGGAGCAGGGGGTATTTGAAAGCAATAGCCAGCGAGCCATTGAAAGCTTTTGCACAGACTGCTAAAATGTGATCTGATTGAGGAGGTAAAAGGGGAAGACATGAAACACTTGCAAAGGCATGCTATAAATGAAGCAGAAACCAGGACAGATGAATGGGTGGGAAGTGCTTGGTAAAAGTGTTGCTGTAGATTTGATGTAGGTGAGGTCTTATGGGTAACATTGTGAATTCAAGCATTACCAAGTAATTGTGGAACTTTGCACTTCCTATATAATATACACCTTTCTTAGAATCCAAACTATAGAATGCAAAGCTTGTATTGCACCATAGAAGAAGTCATGGGGACACATCCTGCCTCAAAATAGTCACAGCCACTTGTAAGGTTACTGAGAATTAATACAAATAATGTAAATTGGTGCTACAAACATAAATATACTGTACAATGAAAGAAAACATAATACAGTAACAAACAAAACGCAATAGCTATCTGTGTGTCAATGTATTTTAATAAAAGTGTTTATCGTGCTTGAGGGGAGTTACCTGTATGGCGACTAACTTAGCATGCATAGTTATTCAGCCATATACAAGTTAATACACCTAAGATAATTTCTGGTTAAAATGAGGAATTTTATACCAGAATGAGGATTAGGGCCTAATAATATCATCCCAACACTTAAAGTTGCTGCAGACAACCTTAATTTCTAAAACCCCAAAATGTCATATCTCCTTGGCTCTCTAGTACCTTCTCCCACTACCAGCTTAACAGCCCAAGACCTGGCAAACTACCATAACCCCTTAAGGACCAAGCTTCTGGAATAAAAGGGAATCATGACATGTCATGTGTCCTTAAGGGGTTAAAGGAACTCAAACAAATATGACAAGTTACTAATGAGGTTGGAAAACAAATGCAAGTTTTGCCTGGTGCTGACAAACTTTACCATGGAATCATTAGTAGAAAAGCTGCCAGACAAGCTAAGCTCCTTGAAATGATAGGGGTCAAACAATCCAGTCACGTAGACAAAGAAACCCACACCAAATTTTCTATTGAAACCACTAAACCTCCTTGCCCCCTCCCCCCCACCCCAACTTCCCATGATAACATGTCACCCACAGGGCCAGCTTTACCAAAAAAAAAAAAAAAGGTTATCGGTGACATCTTTGTGCCCAGTTTCCCATGGAATCTCTGTCCTCATTACAACTTCACAATGCCATATTTGTGCCCAAATGTGGGCTAGCTTTGCTTCAGTGCTAGCTTTGTCCCAAAATGGCTAATCAGTGCCATTTCTCTTTCAAATCAACTTATATGTTCCATGTCGTCCTCAAATAGTTTGTCATTGCAATCCTAATGCCAGGAGGTGTCATCATTTTTGCCTCCCAGCACTGTCACCAACGCTAAACGTGAGGAGGAGGAGGAGCCTAAATCAAGGGGCAAAGACCCACCTTTCCTACCATCAGAGGCAGAAAAATTTATAAAAAAAATTAACTTTGACTTGCCCGAAATCTGGCAATTTCTACAATTGTGCTCTGTGCAACGGACTTCCATCCGCTGTCTGGTCCAAAACTGTTACTCTTTAAAAGCATCCACCAGATGACCCAGAGCTGCAGGCTCATTGGCACCTCACTTCCCTGATGATCAGTGTTTCCTCATAAGATATTACATGGAGCTACATAGGTGTTTGGACAATGTCATCAGTGGGTGCACTGCGAGACAGTCTTTTAAGATCCAGCACAATGGCTGCCCCCTCCCGCTTGAGGTTAACTGCTAGGCATGGAAATAAAATAGTGCAATGTTTCAGAGAAATCACTGAAGTGTGCAAGGAGTTATGATAGTATCTTGCATAACAAACCATCCACCTATGAAAAAGAAACAGCATCTATCCCGTGGCGGTAGCAGCATTCTTCTGTGTGGATGCCAGAAGTAATTAATGAGTCACAGCGACAGTGATGTCATGAACTGGCCATTTACACACACGGGCGGGAAGATTTATCAGTTTTTCTATTCTAAAAATGTGCAAAGGGAGGAGTCACCGATTAAATGTGCCTGTTGGTTTCAGTGGTCACTATGGTGAATGTTCCACTATTAGTAATTTAGATCACTTTTTAGAACAAAACAGACACCCCCGGTCTTTAAGCACAATGCAGATAATGATGCAATATAAAATAAATACATACTCTTCCCCTTGAAACTCTAAATAAGGGTCCCCCATGACTTTTTGACTCCAACCTCTCCTTCACCCCTCATGTCCAATCGCCAAATCCTGTTGCTTCCATCTCAAAAACATAGCGCGCATCCGCCCCTATTTAACGCCAGATGCGGTTGTTCGTCTTAACTACTGCAATCCCCTTCCCAGTGGTCTTACATATTCCCAGATTGCACCGCTGCAATCTATAATAAATGCAGCGGCGAGGCTCATTTTCCTGTTCGCTCGCACCTCCCACCCCTCTTGCTTTGTCAGTCCCTGCATTGGCTTCCAGTTAAATATAGGAATCAATTTAAAATTCTGGTGCTTGCCTACAAGTCCCTACATAATGCTGCTCCAACCTACCTTTCCTCCCTAATACACAAGTATGTCCCATCGAGGCCCCTACACTCTGCCAAAGACCTACGTATATCCTCTGTCCTTACTCCCACCTCTAATGCTCGCCTCCAAGATTTCTCCAGAGCTGCACCTCCTCTGTGGAACTCCCTTATCTTCTCCGTAAGACTTTCACCCAGTCTCCATTCATTCAAAAAATCATTGAAAACGCACTTCAAGAAAGCATATCAATTAAACTGTTAGCAGGATTTTATCCCCCACCCCCCATGACTCCTCTCCTGCAACTGTCAAAATTACCTACGAAGCCCTCAGTGAATACTTTTCTAACAACCTACTTTGTACTCCTACTTTTACCCTTTGTGTCACTATACCCCACTCCCTCTAGAATGTAAGCTCATTGAGCAGAGCCCTCCATCTCTCTATTCCTGTACGTCCAGTTGTCTGGTTACAATTACATGTCTGTTAGTCCATGCATTGTAGAGTGCTACGGTATCTGATTGTGCTATGTAAATAATAAAATAATAATTTCAATTCCCTCCACTCAGAAGGTGCACTCTTTGGAAGATTAGATATCCTCCTCCATACCTCCAGTCTATGCAGCTTACCTGAACGGCAAGTCTGCACAATTATTAAATATTGTATAGTTGATCATTGGTAGTTAGATGCTTTTTAGTACTCAGACACATATTCATGCAGTCACACTCACATATTACATGAACAATATGTACATTTTTCCTATATTTATATTAACTGTGAAAAGTGCAAGTTTTCACAATGCTCAGACATACTGACGTTTAGAAAGACCTGAATGAAAGACTACGTGTGGCAGGTGTTTTCCAGCCACACACTGACTTCCACCTGAACAATGCCATCTATATTTTATGGGCTGAGTGCAAATAACTCTTGAAACCCAGCTCTTGGTATGACGTATCAGAGGCTTCTTTAGAATTTTTATATGTATTGATCTGTATAAATCTATTAGAATATTTGGATGAAAAACTTTTTTTTCGTATAATGTACACTCCCCCCATCTCATGTCTCTATCCAGGTATCAGACAGCTGCAGCTTATCCTCCTCAAAGTCTCCTTAGTCCTTAGTATTGAGATTGATGTGAATGTGGAATTCCAGGGTTGGATCAAGCCACCAGAGAGCCAGGAAAATGAACGTAAGTTATAGATCTTTATTTGGCAACAGTAGAACATTCACTTTATATGTCAAAATATGTGGGTTTGGTTCAATGTGTGCATGTTTTTTACTTTTTTACACTTAGTATAGAAACACTCATTTTTTTTATTCAGCTGTGATAACACAAGGGATATTGCCAGGGTTGTGAAGATTTCCAGATATTTGTGACGCTCATTTAATCAGCGCATGTCTCCTGGCAAATGATGTGTCATTTCGGTATGTTGCCAAGTTATATCAATGATCTATTCAAGGAATATCAAGCTTTTTCATCTATCTCTTCAACCATAGTGTTAACCAACACATAATTAAAGAAAGTAAATAAGCATTATTCTTTAGTTTCAGAATACACATGAAGCTTACAGCAAATAGAGTTGTTTTTTGTAATGTATACATTGCATACTGCATTGGTAGACTACAAGAAAACCATTTAAGGAATACTCCAAGTGCAAAATTACTTTTGCTTAATGTAGCCTTAGCCACACCTCCTACGGCTATGACACAGGCTACATACGAAATTTGAATACATTTTCAATCAGATCTTGTTCACATGTCTATTCACGGTTAATTGAACTTTAATCACACACAGAAGGCTGCTGTAGGTTCTGGCAGGGAACTAACATAGCAGAAGATAAAAAATTCTACATTAAATGCACTGTGCAATAAAGGAAGTTACACAATTTGAGATACTTAACAGAACGTGTGTAAGGAGGCCGTGTTTGTCTTAGCCAGGAGAGGAGTGGCTGGGGCTGCATAAACAAACTGATTTAAATGGCAGAGAATTAAGCAGTGAGACTGCAGGAGCATGATCAAGACTAGGGCAAGGCAACCGTTGGCATTCCAGATGTTGTGGACTACATATCCTACAATGCTCCTACAGCCATGTGCTGGCAAAGCGTCATGGGACATGTAGTCCAAAACATCTGGCGTGCTGAAGGTTGCTTACCCCTGATTTAGACACCAAAACCACTCAATTAAGCTAAAGGTGTTTGGTGCTTAAAGTGGGATTTTAACCCCTTAAGGACCAAACTTCTGGAATAAAAGGGAATCATGACATGTCACGTGTCCTTAAGGGGTTAAAAAAATCTGGTATTTGATTATATTGAATTTTTTTTAAACCAGACACATTTTACATCTGCAGTCACTTTAATATATACACCACAGTCAAATATGTATTCACACACAACATATTAGCAAGGGCCATGATTAACTGCCAGTTGGGGAATTCAGCAAACCATCAGTCCAATGTAGTGGTGTTGGTGAGGTGCTCATTACTTGATTGACCCAGGACAGTAGTTTTCTTTAAACGCTTGGTTGACAAATTTGTGACTCACATGTTGTGAGGGGAGCCCATCAGCATATATTACAACTGTAATCTTTCAATTTTATTAATGACACGGAGGCTCCTATTATGCTCTCTTTTTCTTACTTTATTCCTCAGCAGCAAAGAGAAATATAAAACTGAAAGAGAAAAAATTTAGATATGCAATAATAATAATAATAACAGGTACAACCAGATCCGCCTAGTAACAGGGCAGCCAATCAGCTTAGTAGGAACAGTCCATAAATGCCTTGCTTAGTACTTCCACTTCCTCTTTCTTTGCTGCTGTCCTCAGACCAGCTAAGTATTAATTTCACTCCTGTATATTTTAATCTTGGATTGTTTTTATGGGTTTATCTACTGATATATTTAATGTATTATGTACTTGTATGCTGCTTTGTGCACCCTATATGATTTCTGTGTTTTGCTCTGTTTCTTCCCCTGCTTTGCACGGTCTCCCTGCCTGTGCTGTACCTTTTGTGTGCACAGACAGGGACCGCGGATCACTGGGGAAGCGGTTTTCTCGGGAGCTGAGGTGCTCCCTGACCTCCCTCCCTACTCCCCTCGCGACCGCATGTGCGGCCGCGTGCGGTGACCCGCTCTACCTCCGACCTCGTGTGTTTTTTCCAGCGAGCTCCCCGGCCATTGGCGGGGGAGGAGCTTGTGGCCGCGGCATGCTCTGCACGCGGCGGCCATCTTCTTTCACACACATGGCTGCTGGCGGATCCGGCGGTCGGCTCCCTCTACCCCTGTTTTTTCTCCACGGGTATTTGCTTTGTGGGTTACTCAACCCCTGTTCTGTAGTTTAGGTTTTCACTCCATCATACTGTTATAACATTGTATTCTGAGACTGGTGGCCTGGCTCCCATAATATTTATTGTGGCTTAATATTTTATCTGTGTATATTTAAAGGGACATACCCCTTTTTATCCACAAGCTTATTTACCCTCCTGTCTATCATGCAGGCTAAGGGTGATGATTCTGGCTGTCCCAGCTACCCCACCATGGAAGCCTTTCAGGCCCCTATCTCAGGTGAAGGGGGTCTCACCCCCTCTCAGGAGTTCCAGGCCCTTATTGATTCTACTATGCAGAGGGCCCTGGCCTCTGCCATGGGGACAGTCTCATCATCGCTGTCTCACACTATCCAACAGGCCCTGACTCAGCCCTTGGCTTCTCTTATGTTGGCAAGCCCCCTGCCTGCGCTGCAACCTCAGGTCAGCCGCAAGGCATATGCCAAAACTAAGCATGTCTCCCCCGATATGACACAGGTGGTACCTGCCCTGACTGACGTGCCTATGGCCGTCCAAGATGGCGCGTTACCACGCAAGAGAGCCGCTGGCCGGGCAAAATCGGCCAGAAAGTGGAAAAGGGCGCGTGCCCATGACAATGACGGGTCTGATTCAGATCCAAGTGGGGAGACAGGTTTGGACACCCCCGACTACGCCTCTTATGAGGAAGGGGACTCCGACGCGGAGGCGGGGTCTGACGCTTCGGCATTACCTCCGAGTGAGGAACAAGGCATATGCGATCCGCAGGGTTACCCCCTGTTCGATCCTGATGACCTTCGCCACCCTCGCTCGGCGGAATGGGACCCGCCCGAGCATATAGCTAGCTCTCTAGCGCTTCACATGCGTACCCCCTTATCCAAGGAAGGGCGCAGTAAGTTACGGGCCGAATGCCCAAGGCCCTCAGTGCCTGATGCGGCGTGTAAGACGCCAGAGGTTGACCCTCAGATCTCACAGTTCCTGACAAAAACAGGCTGGAAACCCAGAAAGGGTTTGGAGTTTTCACTCCATAATTGCCAGGACAAGATTTTGGACACTCTAGGTCCCGTGACTAAGCTTTATGAGCTATTGGAGACGGCTAAAACAGGGGATACCCCCCTGGATTTCGATGTAGCAATAGGTTGGGTCCAGAGATTGATTTGCCTACGTGGCAATGCTAACACGGCTATGTCAGCCGAACGCCGAAAGGCGATACTGCTTAAAATCGAACCTAAACTGGTTAACCTTGCGGTCAAGGAACCGGGCGCTGCCGCTAAAGGCATGCTCTTTGGTGAGTCTTTTGTTAAAGACTTGGGCTCTTTTGTGCGCACCTTCACCGCCTTAGATAAGGCCCAATCCAACCTTAAGAGAGTTTTTGGTCCAAAGGTTTTCAACAGGGCCGGGAGGTATAGGAGCCGTCCGCCCGGCCGTGGAAATCGAGGTCCCTCACGGACTCAAAGAGGTTCCTTTGCTGCCCCTCGGGCCTATCAGGACTACAAACCCGCTCCCTTCTTTCCCTCCCGCGGGAGGACATGGCAGAATCGGGGAGGACGTGGCCAACCCTCATACAGACGCCCTTACGGTGAGTACTCAAAAAGGTTTTTCTCTCCGGGCGAGTGTGGGAGGCAGGTTGGCTTTGTTTCTCGACATGTGGGGCATGATCACCACGGATGTGTGGGTGTTAAATACTATCAGAGGCTTTCGCCTGGATCTTTTGTCTCCCCCTATCCAGGTGGACTCACCTCAGGAACTGAGGTTGCCGGAAGATCAGTCCGGGCTGATTACCAAGGAGATCTCGGAACTTCTGGCCAAACGGGCAATACAAGAAGTCCCGTACGATCATCCGGGATTTCTAAGCAACCTGTTCCTCGTCGCCAAGAAAGGCAGAGGTGTTCGGCCGGTGATCAATCTCAAGCGACTCAACGGATTCCTTCGTTACCATCACTTCAAGATGGAGGGCATACATTGCCTCAGAGATCTGCTTCGGCAAGGGGATTAGATGGTCAAGCTAGACCTCAAGGACGCATACCTGACTATACCTATGGCAGAGGTACACTGGGACTTATTGCACTTTACGTGGCAAGGACGTCGGTGGAGGTTTACCTGTCTGCCCTTCGGTCTCTCTTCAGCACCTTGGTGCTTCACGAAGGTGATGAAGCTGGTGGTGGCGTTCCTCAGGTCGCGGGGCGTACGCATGATTATCTACCTGGACGACATACTTATTATGTCCGCATCCCCCGATCAACTTCTACAACACCTGAGCTGGACGGTGAATCTTAAGTTTTCTCATAAATTGGGAAAAGTCCATGGTGACCCCATCGCAGAAAATAGAATTTCTGGGTTTCGAAGTCGATTCGGTTGCCCAGTTTCTGTTCTTTCCAGAGACCAAGCTAAAGGCTATGAAGAAAGAAATAAGACTTACTCTACGGACCACCAGTCTCTCCGTACGACAATTGGCGAGGGTCATTGATCTACGTCTGAAAGGATCCCACCTTCGCTCGGGCAGTTCGTACGAAAGCGAACTATGCCTGGACAGAGACTCCAAGGAGGAACTTCGATGGTGGTTGGATCATATGGAGGCATGGAATGGTCGAGCAATCTTCGGCACCGCCCTGGACATGGTGATAGAATCGGATGCCAGCCTGCATGGCTGGGGCGCTCGCTGTGGAGATCTCTCCACAGGTGGCAGATGGTCTGAAATCAAATCAAAGCTACACATCAACTGTCTGGAATCGCTGGCGGGATCGTTCGCTATTCGCAGCCTGTCTCCAACCCTGGGAAACTGCTGCGTCCTTCTGCGTATAGACAATGTGTCCGCGGTCAGATATATAAATCACCTAGGTGGTACGAAGTCAAAACAACTGGCGAATCCAGCGAAGGATTTCTGGCATTTCTGCCTCCACAGCGCGGTGTCGGTCATGGCCGAACACATCCTGGGTTTGGACAACGAATGGGCGGACTGGAATTCGCGATACTTGAAAGACTCCGGAGATTGGCATCTGTTACCTTCGATCTTCCGATAGATAGATCGACTATGGGGCCCATTACAACTGGACCTGTTCGCATCCAGACTGAACGCTCAACTACCCCAATACTTCAGTTGGAGACCGGATCCATCAGCCACGGCGGTGGACGCGTTCCTGCAGATATGGCCTCAGGGTCGTCACTTTGCGTTTCCACCTTTCAACCTGATCTCTCGGACGCTGGCATACTTGTCCGGACAAGAATGCACGTTGGTGGTGATAGTTCCCCTATGGCAGACTCAGCCTTGGTTTCCACGTCTTTTGGAGATGGCGGCGGAGTGCCCACGGATGATCAGGATGCGATCAGAGGTGCTTCTGGATCCGGATGGGAACTCGCACGACTTAGTGGACCAGAACCTGCTCCAGCTCACGGGTTGGTTGATTTCCAGGGACCCTGGTGTGTCTCAGACGTTCCGCAGGCTACTACAAGACTCCTGGAGAATGCCTGGGCACCGGGGACCATTACAGCTTACAAGGCTGCATGGCGTGTGTGGTCTGGCTGGTGCGTGGGCAGACTGCTGGATCCCCTTTCTGCCCCTCTGAAGGAGGTGCTCAGTTTTCTGTCCACGCGTTTTGAATCTGGTTTGGCCTATCGCACTATCAATGTTAATAGATCGGCCATTTCAGCCGGACATATAGGTATTGACGGATCACCGATTGGACAACATCTTTTTGTGTGCCGTTTGTTGAAGGGTATTCGTTACTCTAGGCCTCCGAAATCCAGATATTCATTGTTTTGGGATGTTAACGTGGTGCTGGACTAATGAGGACCTGTCACTGAAGCAATTATCCTGGAAATTGGTTATGCTCCTGTGTCTCCTTTCATGCAAAAGGGTTTCAGATGTCAGGGTTTTGGACTGGAACACGTTATCCTTCACCCCAGAGGGAGTGTCGTTTAACATCTCTAGGAGGACGAAGACGTCTTCTAAGTCAGTGACCTACCCTAGGTGTTCAGTCCGACCTGCTCTCTGTCCGGTAACTTGCCTACAAGTGTACTTGGATCGCACTCACCTATTGAGGTCATCGGATTTATCCCAATTGTTTATTTCATTTAAGAAACCGTTTCTCCCGATCTCCTGGACTACGTTAGCTCATTGGATTAAGAGTCTTCTGTCCGCTGCAGGAATTGACACTTCAATATTTTCGGCCCATTCTGTCAGAGGCGCCATGGTGTCTAAGGGCTCCACGATGGGATGTCGTATGGATGATATCCTGAAGGCAGCGGATTGGTCTAGAGAATCTATGTTCCGCGATTTTTATTTCCGCCCGATTGACCATGTTTCCTCGTTAGTTATGGCTCAGCTTTAAACTAGCATAATAGGAGCCTCCGTGTCATTAATAAAATTCCCAGATTTTACTAATAACATGACGTAAAGTCATGATTTTATTAATGACACGGAGGCGAGTATTATTCCCACCCTCCCACCCATTGGGTATGGTTTGGGTCTATACTTATGGTTCAATCGGGTGGGGGCTCTTTTACCTCAAGGTAAGTGTTCACAGTTTTCTCTGACTTATTTGGATCTATGTACTTATGTGGTTCTGATTTGACGTTTTTTAGTCCTGCAGGCCAGATTGTCATGAAATGTTACATGCAGGTCCGGAGTTTGGATTTTACCTACCTTTTCTCTGTTTTACAGCTTGATTTCGTTAAGATGACGTCTACCTTGTTGGAGATTGTTCTTTCCTGATGTGGAAGTTTGGTTTGGGTCCAGAAGGCAAAGAAGAGGAAGTGGAAGTACTAAGCAAGGCATTTATGGACTGTTCCTACTAAGCTGATTGGCTGCCCTGTTACTAGGCAGATCTGGTTGTACCTGTTATTATTATTATTATTGTATATCTACATTTTTTCTCTTTCAGTTTTATATTTCTCTTTGCTGCTGAGGAATAAAGTAAGAAAGAGATAGCA